TTCCGTAGCAACCAACTGCATGAGGAAGGAGCACAGGCATGGGGCTGCAGGCTGGGAGGGGGAGTGCTGGGAGAGGCAGGAGCTGTGAAAGAAGGGTAGGTCACGCCCACACCTGACCCGGATGGTGTCCCTATTAACTTTTAAAAACAAACTTTAGCTTTGTTGATTTTCTCTATTGTAAGTTAGTTTTCTGTTTCCTTGATGTATATTTATATCTGTATGCCTTTGTCATCTCTTTGGGTTTGATTTGCTATTCATTTAGCTTCTTGAAAAGGAAACTTAGATGATTGATTTTTAACTTTTTTTCTTTCTTAACATATGCAGTGAGGCCTGTACATTTCCTCTAAATGCTGCTTTAGCTGTTTCCCACAAGTTTTGATTTGTCATTTTAATTCTCATTACATTCAAAATATTTTAAAATTTCCATTATGATTTCATCTTTGACCCTAGGTTATTTAGAAGTGCATTAATTTCTGAAATGCTCATATTTTTTGTTATTGATTTGTAGTTTTAATTTCGCTAGAGTCAGAGAATGTATTTAAATCACTTGAAACTATTGAAATTTATTGAGGCTTGCATGTATAGCCAGTTTCGGTAAATATTTTATGTACACTTAAAAGAATGTTTATTTTGCTGCTGTTGGGTAAAGTGTTCTGTTTAGTTGCTTAAATTAAGCTTGTTAATTGTGTTGTTCAGCTCCTTTATATCCCTATTGATTTTTGTCTGCTTTTATAACTAATATGAAAGATTTGTTAAAACATTCAAGCCTCCCACATGGTTGTTGATTTTTGTATTTTTCATTTTAATTCTGCCTATTTTGCTATTTTGAAGTTATTTTATTGGATACACACAGATTTTACTTATTTAATTTTTCTTTTTAATTCTTTTTGGTCAAAGGGGAATTTTTATTGCTTTTATGTACAGAAAGCTCAATAGTGTACACTTAGCCAGTGCCTTAGCCTTGGCCTTCTCCAGCTCGGCAATGTGAGCCGCCGACTTTGGACCCAGGACGCTGCCTCCCCGGTGGTGGTGGAGCTCATCATACCTGTCGTTGTGATTGGTCCAGATATCTTCCAGCAGCTTAGCCAGAGCTCCTTCTCTTCTGAGGTAACCCATGTGAAGGCGTGGTGGTGCAGGTCTCCCTGTGGACTGGATGCCCAGGCCTGGCCTTCAGCTGGGTGATGCAGTTGGAAACTCCCATCTTCCCACATAGGGCGGTCAGGAAGACAACCAGCTCAATGGGATCCACACTGTGTGCAGTCACTACGGCCAGGCCATCCTGTTCTCCGCCAGGGTGGTGACAGTGTTAGCCTCCGCTCGAAGGACAGGTGGCCTCTAGGTGGGATCTTCTCCTTTGCTGACAGCTTTTGTCTCTCACCAGGCCAGCAATCTCTGCTTCTTCTCTTGCTTTGTCTCTGATTGGTCCTTGTGGGCCAGCCTGAGCAGCTACATAGCTGTTGGGTGGTCCAAGGCCTGGGTGAACTGGTTACTGGCAGGTGGCACTTTCAGACTCTTACAGAGAACAGTTGTTTGCCTCTGCAGCCAAATGTAGTGGGGCCATTTGACAAAGCAGGTGAGGTCCCTTTTGAGCTGGATGTCCTGTCCAATGCTATAATTTTTGGGCCTTTTCTCAAACAGGGGATTTACCACCTCCTTGGCCTGCTGCTTCTTCATGACGGTGGGGCCAGCACCACCTTTTTCCCCGGACCTTCATTCCCTTTGTTTTCCTGGGCAGCCAGGGGAGGGGAAAGGAAGGGAGTTGTGTCTGGATACATACAGATTTTAAATTGTTGTATCTTCTTGGTGAATGAAGAGCAACATATTTATATGTGCATATTTCCTTCTCTTACATAAAATATAGCATAGTCTATAAACCTATACTTTGCTTACTTTATTTTGTTTTTTAAAGATTTTATTATTTCAGAGAGAGGAGAAGGGAGGGAGAAAGAAAGGAAGAGAAACATTGACCTGCCACAGAAACATCAGTCGGTTGCCTCTTGCATGCCCCCAACTGGGGACCTGGCTCGTAACCCAGGCATGTGCTCTGACAGGGAATCAAACCAGCAACCTTCCGGTTCGTAGACCAGAGCTCAATTCACTGAGCCGCACCAGCCAAGGCTACTTATTCTAATTTGTTCCTAAAATGACTACTGATAAATGAAAGGCCTTTCATCAGAAAAAAATATTTCCATCAGTTTCAATGAAAAATTTTGATGCAGCCCATCCAACCCAATACCCAATTAAATACATCCTATACCAATACCAATTAATCAAATTTATATTTTTAAAAACCCTAATAACTTGAATATAATACTTTACATATACAACTTATTGTAATGAGGGTTTATTGCCTTGTTGAGGAAGGAAATGAAGACTTAACAGGGGTGGTGAATAATGGGTGTGAAGGAGTCATAGAGAAGGTACATATTTTTTCTATATCATTTTTTCACTGTTTTTCACCCTTCCAGAGATTCATGGCTATCTTGCACTCAAACTAACTTTAAAAATAAAGTTATAGCATGGAAAAACACCTTGAAGGCAACATAAGTACTAAACCTGAAGGCACGTTGAAACACTTGGAAATAGCTTGTACACTGAACAGACTGCAGAACCAGAGAAGATGCTACCTCTTCAGCCCTCCCAGTTGGCATGCATATGCAAAACAAAGTGTTTGGGGTTTATCCAATCATGGCAAGCAATGCAAATTTGTTCCCTAGGCTATCATTGGGCTAGACACTGTTATATTACATAAATTGGTGAGTGCGTTTATTCCCTGAAAGTGTGATGTCAGAATATCATTCGTTATGGCATGTTTATTTGGTGTATTCAGGGAAGAAAAAGTTATTATACTATCATTAAATAGGAGTGTTCGAAAAGTGATACAGGTGTTTAAGAGTCATCATGACCAAAAGTCTAGTGAACAGTAATTGAGCAGATAAGTCTGGAGAGAGAACTTTACCTTTCCCTTTCCATGTAAATACAGAGTTTTAAGCAGTGGAGTGGCCTGGTCAGACCACACTGTTAAGAATTCCCTCTGGCAGCTGGTATTGAGAGGATGCAGCCAGAGGGACAAGTCTTGGAAGAAAAAGGTCAGGGAACTAATGAATGCATCTAAGTAAGAGACAATGGGGCCAGCGGGGCAGAACGAGGTCCCAGATGAGGCCCAAATGCATGAGAGGATTCTAAGAATGGTAAAGGCCATTTTTCAAATCTCTGGGGATACTGTTGACATAATTTCATTTGTGGGGGGAGAAAAAGTAAAGCTGAATCCTTATTTCACTTCATACACAAAAATAAATGCTAGATGAATCAAAGATTCAAGCATAAGAAATGAAACAAATGAGATATAAAAAACATTGAGTGAATTGAAAAAATTATCTCTGAGAGGCATGACACAAAACTCAAGAGTCATAAAGAAAAAATGATTTGACTCCATAAAAAATGGAGACGTGGGAAAAATATCAAGTCAAGTCAAACAGCCGAGAAACATCTGATAACACACAATTTTGTTTGGATTCAAAAAACTCTTACAAATGAATAAAAACAATAAATACCTCATAAAATAGGTAACATATGAATAGGCAGTAAATGAACTTAAAATAAGCGGCTTGACCTCACTCATAATTAAAAAATAGTTTTGGAACAAAGTAATGAGATACTCTTGTAGAACAAGAATGAAAAAGTTGCACACAGTCAGCTAAGCAATGCTGGGGGAAAGGGGCCTTCTCCTCGTCTGTTGTTGGAGTATGCATGAGCACAGTTTCTTTGGGTGGCAATCTGGACATATCAGTTTTATCCCCCAAATTTTCTAATGAGAAATTTCAAACATACAGAAAACTTGGAAAAAAGTGTGCAGTGAACAACCATATATCTCAGATTTCATAGTTGTCAATATTTCATTTTATGTTATCACTTATATAATTTATGTTTATATTTTTGCATATTTGTATTCTATATTACATAAAATACATACATATATATCTACCCATATATATTCACCTATCTAGCCAGCCAGCCACCTTAAATTTTGATGCATTTCAAAGTAAACTGCAGACATCGGTACCCTGCATCTCTTAACGTTTCAGCATACCTGTCAACTAGAGTTTAAGATTTACATAGGTTTTCTTTAAGGTAAAATTTGCATACAGTAAAACACACAAATTATAAGTGGACCCCTCAAAATTCTTGGACAAATGTGTAAAACATTGTAATCCAAACTCCTATAGGATATAAGACATTTCCATCACCCCAGAAAGTTCCTTCCTGTCCCATCCCATTTAATCACCCGCCCCCAGGAACTAATCTATATTTTACACAGATTAGTGCCATTGGTTCCAGAACAGCATACATGTGGAATTGTACAGTAGATACTCTTCTGTGTCAGTGAAGCTGCTTTCACAGTGATGTGTGTGACACACATACTATTGTGTGTGTCAGGTGCCCGTGCCTCTTCACTCCTGAGCAGCATCCCACTGCAGAAATCACCACGGCTGGTTCATCCCTTCCCTGGGCAATGGCCGTCGGGGTTGTTTCCAGGTTGGGGCTGTTACAGATGAAGCTGCTATAAACTTTCTTGTGCAGGTATTTTGAGGACATGTTTTCTCTTAATCACTTGGGGGAACATAGTCTGAATGCATGCAGACCCTCACCTTGGGGCTCACTGTCTGCTTTAACTTTGGTACAAAGACATGAGGATGAGCATGTGTTAAGTGACAGGTACCGAAGTGTGCAGTGGGAGGTGAAGAAGGTGGGCAGTGTGTCTGGGGGGAGAACCAGGGAAGGCCTCCTGGGGAAAGGACCCTGGGGCGACACAGCCCTGGGTCCGACACACCTGCATTCCAGTCCTGTTCCCATGAAAAGAAAAGCCCTTGGGAGTCTGGCTTTCCTCACCTGTCAACGGGGACGGTGACACTACAGAAGTTGGCGGAATAGTGTGTGGAAAGGTCCAGCCAGGCCTCGACAGGTGCCTGTTTTGCTTAATGTTCCTCTTTTATTCGCAGGCCTGGCTCCTCTGGTGGCCTTCAACGTGGACGTGGCCTGGCCCTGGGTGACTCCCGAGGGCGGTGGGCCTCACGTGCTGCGCTCCCTGCTGCACCGAGACCCCAGCAGCAAGCAGACCTGGTGAGTGGGGCCCGGCAGACAGGCAGCCTGAGGACTGGCGGGGGGGCCACCAGGGAGCCTGAGGGGCCCCCCAGAAGCCTGGACACCCCACACCCCATCTGGGGAGGACACCCTTGAACTCTCCCAAGGGCATGCAGGGGAGAGAGGGAGGCTCAGAGAGGCTGTGAACCCCAGGCCAGTCCACCCGGGCCCCTCTCCTCAACTGGCCTCTTTCCTCATGGCTGAGGCAGGGGTGGGGCGACTTCGAAACTGTTTACAAATAAAGTTTATTAAGGCTCTTTTGTCTCTTATACATGCTCAATGTAGAAATTGGGGACAGTGACAAAAAACATTTTTTAAAAATGGAAACTATGAGGCAGGAGGGAGTGGTGGCTGGTGGGTCCGGTGGCCGCGGTTCCTCGACAGCTGCGCTCTGTCTCTGCGGCCAGATGCTCACTCCCTGGCCTGGCTCCTCAGCTGTACAGAGGGGCGTGGCTTACCTGCCTCACGGGCTGATGCAGACACTGCTTGAGTTCATGCACACAAAGGGCTTAATGTCATTTCTGGCCAAAACGAAGCTCTACTATGTTATCTTATATTTTTAAAATATCGTTTGTACCCACCCATTGGATAAGCAAAAAACTTTACATCTGACAGCATTCTGTTGGTAAGGATGTGGTGAAACTTTCAAGAACGTAAATTGGTGTAACCACCTTGGAGAACAATTTTGCCATATGTGGTAAAACTGAAGATGCACGCGACCTTGGACTCAGTGATTCCACTACCAGATACCAGCCCTAGAGAGATTCTCAGGTGAAGGCATTTCGGGTAGCCCTGCGTGGAATTGTGAAAGACTGGAAATGCTCATCATTCTGAAAACAGAAGGAATAAGCTGTGAGTCACACACTGCAACCCTAGCGGCAGGTAAAATGAATGAAAAGAGTGCAGTGGTTATTAAGGTAGATCAATCGTGAAGCACTGCAAGGAGAAAAAGGCAAGTCGTAGAATTACGTATACCCTGGTTGTTCACTCAGCAAGTGTTTGTTCGGAGCACCTCCCGTGAGCCAGGTCCTGAGGACACTGAGCAAAGCAGACAGAACTCCGAAAGCTCAGGGCGGGCAGACAATAAGCAAGTCAAACTTGCCTTAGCATCAGATGCTGGCAGTGGTGGTATGCTGGTGGGGAAGCACGTCTTTAGTGTGCTTTCCCCACTGTTATCACCAAAATGACCTTAAGGACTGCTTCTGTCTTAAAGCCAGGGTCCAGTCAAGGATCACTGTTGTGTCTCTTAGTCTCTAAGCTAGAGCAATCCTTCCTCTCTGCTTTTGTTCATGACAATCACAAGGCTTTTCCTGGGCCTGCTCTGCAACCCAGCTGTGCTCAGGCACTGCTTCCCTCCCCACCCCCACCCCTGCTGCTTTGCTTTTGGACAATGGTCAAGGAATGCCTTCATATCCAGCACACCTGAGCCAGAGCCCAGGGTCCAGCAGGCCTTGGGGCAGAGGCAGGTGAGATGCTCAGAGTTGCTGGCTGGGTGGAGCTACACATCTCCCTGAGCTGAGCAGAGCAGGAACTCTGTCTGGTGGCCAATGGGCGGGCACTGGCAGCCCTGCGACTTGGGCCAGGACACTGCCAGCCAGTAAGCTTGGACCTCTTCCTGGGCTGTGGCTTCTCCATTTTTATAGTGAAGAGGCTGGTGACCATCAAATTTAAGTGGTGAGGGCAGGGTCAATTCTTTCTTTCTTTCTTCTTTCTTTCACTTATTCATTCACTCAGCAAGTATTTACAGAGCATCTACTCAGTGCCGAGCGAGATTTGGGGGACAAGACAGTGAAAGAGATGCAGTCCCTGCCCTCATGTAGCTCCCAGGCTCGTGAGAAAAGCAGACGGATCAGGAGATGACAAGAAGAGTGATGACTGCTCTGGTGGGATGTCCAGGGCTCTGTGGAGATGTAGAGGCAGGTGTGTCCTTCAGGCAGAGGATGTGCAGAGGCCCTGGGACGTGGGGGAGGCGTAGGAACTGGTGAGAGAAGGCACAGAAGCAGGTAGTCCAGCTGGGCCTGGAAGCTGGCCTGAGCAAGATCCAGGAACTGAGACAAGGTCGGTGGCCGAAGCTGGGCGTGGGGAAAAATGAGGAGGGGGAGGTGAGCAGTGCCTGTCGGCAAGGGTTTGGGGAGAGCCGGGAAGCTTTGACGCAGGGGTGGGGACAGCAGGTGATGAGAGGGTTGTTGGGAGGTTTTTGGCTGCAGGAATTTGAATCAAAGGCTGGTGTTGGCAGTTTGTCTTCGTTTGGTGAAACTGTGCTGGCATGTGCCACACAGAACCATGCACACACTGTGAGCGACTCAGTGAGTGCTTGCAAAGTGGGCCCTGGGCAGGCGACGTCCAGACTCGGAGTGGGACATCACCAGCCACACCAGCCACAGGCCTGCGCAGAGCCAGCCACCACCACAGCCACCATCTCCATGCAGTGGCTTTGCCTGTTCGTGAACTGGTTATAAATGAGGTGCACAGCAGGCTTCTCTCCCTCACATACATCTGTGACGTTCACCCAATGGTCTTGCCTGAGGTGATAGTGCTCATTCTCTTTGCTACAGTTTTCTGGTGTGAGGAGTGCCATGAGGGCGTTTGGGCTGTTTCCTTGGGCTTTTGTGCAGAGTAGGGTGTGGGCCAAGTGCCCTTCCCACTGTCAGGCACGTATGTGCCCAGCAGTGGGGCTGCTGGGCCAGGGCTTGTGCTGGCTCAGCGCTCCGTTTTCCCAGCTTCTCAGTGCAGGATGTTCTCATCGCCCCACATGTGTGCGAAGCCAGGCTTCAGTCTGGCGTGTCTGTGACCATCTCCTGCTCAGTCCCCCAGCACCGGGTCTGACAGACATTAAGACTCTGTCCCTCAGAAGTCCAAGCTGAAAGGCCACGATGGATGAGGGGAGTTTGAAGTCCTCGCCCCCAACAGAAGGCCCTGAGCCCACCAACGATGGGGGAAGAGCCCAGCTGGGCTCATGAGAAGCTTTCTAAACACCAGCTGACGTGGAGGAGGGCTCATGGGAGGATGTGGTGAGATGCACTTCTGGGGGTTCCTGCCACAAATGATGGGGCTGTGACCATGCACCTGCTGCATGGGGCAGGAAATGCTCTGCTAGCCACCAGGCCACAGAGAGAGGCTCAGGCTCCCCGTGTGAGGATGACATGTCCCTGTCACTCCTCACACTGTTTCTCCCTAAAATGTGACAGCCAAGGCTGGCAGCATCGTGGGTGTGGCTGGCCCAGGGGGAGTGGAATGGGCATCTGGGGACAGACAGAACACAGAGACAGGCTAGAACTGGGTGACTCGATCCGATGGGCTGTCAGCTGTTGGTGGGCTCAGTTACTGTTTAGTTCATCAGTCACTCAGTCAGTGAACCTGGAGATCAAGAGACCACCCAGCATGGCGGGGTGATGAAGAGGTGGGTGGCAGGGGCTGCTCAAACTGGGCCCCCAGCCGCAACACCTTGTGGCTGTGATATGAAGGGCACCCTTGGGTTCTGCAGGGCGCAACCTGTGTGGCTGAGCGTGGTAGTCTCTCAGGAGCTCACAGTCTGGGTGGGAACAAGAGCCAGGAGTGGGGGTGGGTTCTAGTAGTCAGGACTACTTGGATGGCTTGGAGGGGTGAAGTAGCTCCTTCTTTTGGGAAGGGCCCCTGAGGAGCTGGGGTTTGGGATGCTGGCTCAGCAGGCAAAGCAAGGGAAGGGCATTGTGGGCAGAGGAAACAGCTTGGGCCAAGGTCTGAGGAGGATGGAGAGTGAGGCTGCTCCAGGCCCGCACCCCCCACCCCCACCAAATCACAGCTGGGGCAGAGCCCGGTTCTGAGGTGCTGGGGCCAGTGAGGGAGGCAGGGTTGTTGAACAGGTGACCTGATTGTGGGGCTCAGCTGCAGAGCCTGCAGAGATGAGTCCCTCACCTGCTGCCCGGGCTACCATTTAGTCATCATTCAACAAATATTTCCTGAGCCAGGCCCTGGGAACAACATGGCAAACGGGACAGACAAGATCCTCAGGGAACTTATAGTCCAGTGCGGGGGACAGGATATAAGCAAGTAGACATGTAAGCAGGACACTGTCAGACGTGACAGGTTCTGAAGGAACTAAAACAGGGTGGCTTGAAGCAGAGGAACTGGACTGCGAAGTTGGAGAAAACTGATGAGGAGGTGACCGTTGAAGGAGGCTGAGTGGGGAGAAGGAGCCAGCCTCGGGGTTGGGGGGAAGGCCAGTGTTCCAGCAGAGGGCACAGGGGGCACAGGGCTCCACTCAAGGCTGGAAAGAGCCCGTGGGGGTGGGGGGCAGGAGCAGGAGCCAGGTGGTGTGTGGCCGGAGAGGGAAGGAGCAGGAAGGGAAGTGTCGGAGGCGTGAAGGGGCTGGATCTCAGAAGGCCCTGTGGCTGCAGCAAGGGATATGGATTCTTTGTCTAAGTGCACGGACGCTGCTGAAGCAGCGGAGTGACATGGTGCAAATTATGAGTTATTTTAAAAAGTAGTAATAACAGGATGGTATTACCATAGACCAGACCAGATAATGGTGGCCTGGATGGTGGTGGGGAAATGGAGAGTAGAAATGCCCTCTAGATATAATTTGGAGAAAGAAGCAACAGAGTTTATGGATGGATTGGGTGGAGGGGAGAGTGGAAAGGTGAAGCAAGTGTGCCCCCAGGCTGCGGGCTGCAGGCTGCAGTGGTTGGTGGAGCCATGTGTTGCTGGGGGAAGGCGGAAAGGGGCAGGCTTGGAGGTCAAGGTCACGTGTTCTGTTTGAGATGGGCAGTTGGTCATTGCTTCCTATTGCTGCTGTGACAAATTATCATACATTTAGCTTAAAATAATATAAATTTATTTTCTTCCAGTTTTGGAGGGCAGAAGTCTCCAGAATGGATCTTACTGGGCTGAAATCAGCATCGGCAGGGCTGTGTTCCATCCTGGGGCTGGGGGAGAGTCCACTTCCTCACCGTTTTCAGGTCCTAGAGGCCATCCGCATTCCTAGGCTCGTGGTCCCTGCCTCCATCTTCAAAACCAGCAGCGTGGCATCTTCAGCTCTTTCTCTGACCCTGACCCTCCTGCTTCCCGCTTACAGAGACTCTTGTGATTACAGTGGGACAGCTCAGTAATCCAGGACACCATGCAATATCACATGCATGCGGGATCTACAGAACAAAATAAATGAACAAAACAGCACAGGAGCAGGCTCATAGATGCAGAGAGCAGACGGGCGGTTGCCAGAAGGGAGGAGGTTGGGGCACTGGGTGAAAAGGGTGAAGGGATTAAGAAGTACAAATTGGTGGTTACAAAATAGTCCCAGGGATGTAAAGTTCCAGCATGGGGAATAGTCAATAATGTTGTAATAATGATGTATGGTGCCTGGTGGGTACTTGAAATATTGGGGAAACACTTTGTAAAGTATATGAGTGTCTAACCACTATGCCGTACACCTGAAACTAATGAGAAATAATATTGAAAGTAAACTGTAAGTGCATAATAAAATTTTTAAAAATCCAAGATAATCTCCTCATATCAAGATCCTTAACCTAAGTCCACAAAGTCATTTTGACCATGAAAAGTAGCATAGTCACATGTTCTGGAGATCGGGACATGACATCTCAGGGGGGCGGGGGGACTTTATTCTGCTTCTACTGCCAGGCTAGTCTGACCCCTGGTGGAGGGATGCCAGGGCCACGGGTGTGAAGGCGGCAATCTCAGCGTTTCTAGGTGGGCGGGAGCCGTGGGACTGTGGGGGGGGGGTCCCTGGGGAGAGAGTGCTGGCAAAGGAAACAGACCAGGCCCCAGCACTCCCGTTTGGAAGTCAGCCGGCTGGTGAAGGGGTCTGAGGAGGAGTCAGGAGAGGGGAGGAGGCAATCAAGAAGAAAGGGTTTCAAGGAGGAGAGGGTCACTGACTACCAGGGCTGCGGAGAGCCTGGGGAAGGCGAGGACAGGAAGGTGTCCACTGGGCCCAGCAACGTGGGGACTGCTGGTGGTGTGGGGTGGAGCAGGTCAAGCTGGCGGGGCGCACACAAGTGTAGAGACAGCACCTCTTTCCTGCCCTCCACCCTCTAGACCCTCATTACGACCTTTCAAAGTCATAGACTAATTATGTACTTCCCTTTTATAAAGTCCTCTGTGGCTTCTCTCCACCCTCAGCACAAAGACCCTGGACTTGTGTCACCATTACCAAGCTCAGCCTCGGGGCACTCCCAGCACCCCTTCCTGACAACCCTAGGATGGGCTCACTCCTGTCTCAGGCAGCCCAGCCCTCTCTGGGCAGCGTGGCTAGTGAGCTCGGGGTGGGCGGGAGCTGGGGGAGTTTACTGTTGGGCATCATAGCTCCTGAGGCTGCCTTAATTAGGCTGAGGTGCCCAACCCAGACCTCCAGTTCTGACCGACTCATAGGATAGCACCAGCATGCTCTTCTCAGGGAACAGTGTCATTGATGCCAGTTGGGACAGCCCCTCTCCACGGCAGCCACTGGGAAGCCAGCACTGCCCCCAATATAAGCGACTATGCTGTAGGTGGCTTCCGGGTTCCCCCCACTGCCACCAAAGAGCAGAATGTTTGTTTACCACCAGCATTGCCCCATCCGTATCAGGGTGGATGAGAGGGCAGAGAGGGGCTGCCCTGGACCCTTTCCTGCCTGGAGCTGTGCAAAAGTAGAGGCTGAGCAATGTTCCGCGTGGTGTGGAGTCTGCCTACCTTTCCTCGGTCTGCGCCTTCTCCCAGTTTTCCAGCCAGGGAGCCCGTGGGCCCTTGGGCCTGGAATGGGAAGACTGTGTGTGCACAGGCAGGGAGGAGAAGGGGATCAGCAACCAGCTAACTTTGCGGTCTACCCTCCCACCCAGGCTCCTGGTCACCAGTTCCAGAGCCAACGGTACAGCAGGACCCCTGCACCGGTGTTCCCTCAGCCAGGATGCCCTCAGCCAGAAGGAGATCCTTTGCCAACCTGTGGGTAAGTCAGACCCAGCTGCAGGGAATGCTCCCAGGACCTCTTCCAGGAGTCCCACTCATCCAGCCCAGCCCACTGCAATCCCCGCCCCATATAGCCCAGTCCCTCCCCCATAGACTCCACTACCAGCCACAGCCCACCTTCTCTCCCAACGTCCAATCCCATCCCAGCCCAACCCTAACCCCCCCCCACACCTTTCCTGACCCAACCCTAACACCAAAACGACATTTAATATGTATTGAGTGCTCACCATGCTAAGTACTTCTTCATTCACTTTTACTCCTCAAAACCATAGCGTTTGACAAGAGAGGAACCTCCAGTTCAGAGAAAACCTTTGGTTGACCTTAGTCAAGGTTGCACAAATAGTACTGGTCGCACCACAGATGCAAACCCAAATTCCCCTGGTTCCCAAGCCTATTCCAACTCATCACATCTCGGTGGAATCCAGCCCTACCTTCCCAGTCTAACTGTGGCCAGCCTAATATCTAGCATGGGACATGGGACATATTAGGTGCTCTATAAATGCTGTTTGAACAAATGAATGAACCAAATTCTCTTATTAACCAAATGCTACCCATCCCACCCAATCTAGCTCAAGGCACACATTCGCTGATGACCCCTCAGCTCTGTAGGGCAGAGCCTGGTCTCTGTAAGAACACTGTGTTGAACAGCCTCTGGAGGGCACATAGTCCAGCTGGATGACAGGGTGATCTAGTGGCTCAAAAACGAGACAGTCTCTTGAGGCCCACATTGGCAAGGGAGAGGAAGGAGCTACCATGTCTGCCCCTGGAGTTGTGGGGCAGTAAGATTGCCCAGAGGCAGGCTCTTTGAGACTGGAGAGTTCATCAGTCCATAGAGCTAGTCCCTCAGCATCTTGCACAGCCCCCCTGCTCTGTGCACACCTACCACCTAGTTCTTCCCCATCCATCTGCCCCACCAGACTGGGAGCCCCCAGAGGAACAACACCAGGTCTCAGTTATTCCTAGGTCCCCATCACCACTTATCACAAGCCAGCACAGAGCAGACATCACAGGCCCTGTGATCTCTCTGACCTTGGCTCCAGGGTCCCGCCCACCTTACCTAGGCTTAACTGTTTCAGAGCATGTCCGCATCCCAAAGGGGCGGCACCGGGGAGTGACTGTGGTCCGGAACAACGACAGTGTTTTGGTGAGTGTGCATGGGACTCGGGCTGCAGGGCCTTCGGGAGGCTGGAACTGACCCCTATGGCAAACTGGTTTTCATACCAGTCCTCACTGGTGTGCTATTCTCAGGGCCAAGCCCAGCTGTCTCCCTGGTGCCAACACCAGGGCTGACCTTGGCTCTGACGGGGTACTCCATGTACTCCCAGCACACTGACCCAGGGGCTAACCTCAGCTCTGACCCTGGTACCAACTCCTACCCCTGGTGAAGGGTGAGCTAGCTGTTCTGGCATCCCCTGCCTAGTTGAGGCACTTGGTTCTGCATAGCTGTGACTAGGGGGCCTGGGCTTGGGATGACCCAGACTTTTCCTCTCCCTTTCTCTCCCTCTTCCCCAGATCTGTATTCAAATGGTGGCCCGGAAGCGCCACAGCCTCAGCTCAGAACTCACAGGCACCTGTAGCTTACTGGCGCCCGACCTCGGTCGCAAGACCCAGGTCTCTTTCAACAATGTTGGTAAGGACTGGATACTCACTGGCCTTGGACAGCTCTGAAGAGGTCTCCTTGGGTCTCCAAGAATAGGCTCCAGCCCACGGCAGAGGGACACAGAGGCCCAGGGAGGGCAAGGCAGGCCTAGGCCCCACCATGGGCTAAGTGTGGGCTTCCCTTGAGGTGAGAAGGGAGGCTATCTGACTCTGAGCTCTTTCATGTGTATTTTTTAAAGAAAATCTCCTGGATCCCAGGGCGAATATGGATGCTGGAGACTGCTACATGAACAAAAAAGGCAGCACAGAGAATGCAGCCAGGTGGCGCCGGGCTCTGGGGGCAAAGGAGGAGGAAGAGGAGGAGGAGGCAGAAGCTGGTGAGAAGAGGCAGACGTAGGTTGCTCCCAGAGGCTCCCAGAGGCTCTCAGAGCTGACACCTAGGCTGGTGACATCCATCTAGCAGTGAGAAGTGCCTAGGTCTGCGAGATGGGGAGCAGTGACTGGCTTTTGCAGTCCTCACCAGTCCCTGCTCTGCCCCCTCCATCTTACAGATGAGCAAACTGAGGCCCGAGAGTGGGAGTGATGGGAGTGACTCACACACAGTCAGAGCCTGAGCAGGTTCTGGCTCTTTCTCTGCATCTGAGACATGGGCTTCACTCTTGGGAGCTTCACTGACTTCTTACCTGAACTGAGCCCTTGGGGCTTGAATGGGGTGGGTGCCCTACAGAGCAGGACAAACCACGCTCATTGCTGTCCCAAATTCCATGCCCACTCCTGACCTGCTCCCTGTCTTGACCCAGGCACTGAAATCGCCATCATCCTGGATGGCTCAGGAAGCATTGATGCCCCAGACTTCCAGAAAGCCAAAGACTTTATCTCTAACATGATGAAGAGTGTGTATGAGAAGTGCTTCGAGGTAGGCTTCCCCAGGAGCTAGACTTACACAGTCTGTTGCTGTCTATTGCTGTGAACAAACCACCTCAATACAACGACCACTGAGCTGTTCACAGGTCTGTGGGTCAGCTCTCTGGGCTGGGCTCAGCTGGGTGGTTCTTCTGATGGTCTTGCCTGGAGTGATTTCCTGCAGCTGCAGGTATCTGGTTGCTTGACTGGGACTGGATGGCCTAAGATGGCCTCACTCGTCTGGCCACGTGTCTCCAGCAGGTCGGCCCAATGTTTTTATGGCTGCAACATTCCAAGAGGATGAGACCTAATGCACACAAGTGCTTTTCATGTGTCTGATTATATCCCATTTGCTGATATCCCAACAGCCAAAGAAAGCCACACGGTCCATAGGAAGGGGAGAGGGACTACACAAACTCATGGGTTCAGGGAGAAGAACCCTATGGTTCACTGGGGGCATTACTGTCACACTTCCCTCCACCCCACTTGCTCAGAGATTTCCCTGTGCCTTAGCATCTTCTCCTGCAATTAACGAGGATGAAGGAGTGGATTCTTCCACCCCTTCCAAGGGGAGCCACTCAAGGGCCTTGGGCATGGTGACTCTGTTAACCTCCTCCCCCCACCCTCCCTCCAGTGCAGCTTTGCCCTGGTGCAGTATGGAAGAGAGATCAAGACCGAGTTCGACCTTAAGTACAGCCAGGATGTGATGGCTTCCCTCAGCAGAGTCCAGAACATCACTCAATTGGGCAATGTCACCAGGACAGCCTCTGCCATGAAGCATGTACTGTGAGTGTGAGGGCAGTGGGAATTACCTGAGTACTACTGGGTGCTGGCTGGCACTCCTGCCCAGAGATTCGGGGGCATCATGCCCGGAGAGGTGGCTGGACAGGACTGTGAAGAGGAATTGGCTGAGAGGGGAATGTGAGGTCTTTCCATGCAGCCTTGGCTGATGAGTGACACTCTAGGACAGTCCTCCAAAAATTCTTCTGAAGACTCCTCTTGTGAGCAGCTGTGCATGCAGGGCCGGGCTCAGGGGCCAGGCTGCCTGGGTCTACATCACAACTCCAGTTTGTACTTGGAGACCTTAGGTGCCTAACCTCTCCACTCGGTCCCTCACTTTAAAAATGAGAATAGTAATAGCACTTGCCTTAGAGGATTTTGTGAGGATTAAATGGGTTAAAATACTCACAGTGCTTATAATAGTGCCTGGCACACAAGTGCTTGGTAAATATCAGCCACTGTTATTAATGTCAGTATTACTCCCACACACGTCTGTTCCTTGTTCTGTCCAGCACTTTTCTGTTGGGAGCAGGCTGCCTACCCCCAGCCCTGCTGTGCGCCACAGGGCCACCCCACCCTCACTTTCCCTTACTTAGAGACAACATCTTCACACCAACACACGGCTCCAGTGAAAAGGCATCCAAGATCATGGTGGTGATCACCGACGGGGAGATATTCGAAGACCCCTGCAACCTCACGACTGTCATCGAGTCACCAAAGATGCAAGGTGTTAGGCGCTTCGCCATTGGGGTAAGAGCCAGCAGCAGGGCCCAGGCACCTCCTGACCCTGTGCAGCCCATGGTGGGGAGGAGCTAGGGTTCCTCATGGGGGCTTCTGCAAAAGGCTTACCCAAACCCTGTTCTGTTCACAAACACTCATCAACTTCTTTTCTCCCAGGCCCCATGTCCCGGGCATCACTCCCACTGCCACCTGGGTCTTCCCGCGGAAGGCTCATTCCCAGTGTGGTTGTGGCTCACATGCCAGCAGTGGTGGGGAGAACAGTGGTCACTCTGGGAGCCCACAGGAAGGACATTGGGGCTGGGGGAAGGATGGTCCCAGAGGAGATGGTGCTGAGCTGAGTTTTGGAGGACAGACAGGGTACAGAGGAGGAGGGAAGGGTTGTGCAGGCAGTGGAAACTCATGTGCAGGGATGAGAAGGAGCCTGTTAGGTTCAGGAAATGTAAAAGACTGGAGCCCAGAGTGTGTCTTCGGGGGAGGACAGGGAGCAGGGAAAGGAGAGGGCAAGTGATAGAGGCGCTGAGGCCAGGGGTCAGCCCTGTCCCTGGGCCTGGAGAGCTCGGGGCTTAGGAAGCAGCCAGCCCTCATGGTGCTGACCCATCTATTCGGACCTCTGTGCAGGTGGGAGAGGCATTTAAGAAGCCGAAGACTGAGAAAGAACTGAGGCTGATCGCCTCGGACCCCAGTGAGTCCCATGTCTTCAAGGTGACCAACTACACGGCACTGGGGCCGCTGGTGAGCGAACTGCAGCAAAGCATCGTTCCCATGGAAGGTGAGAGCTCCAGGGGCCTCGGCCACCCTGTGGCTGCCCGCTTGGCCTTCAACAGGAGGCTCCAGTCCTTCCCTCCAGCCCCACCCTTGACCTACTTCCCTGGGGCACTCTGGGCAACTCCCGTCACCTCTTTGAGCCACAGCTGTTCCATCTCTAAAAAGGTAACAATATCCCCAGCCCTCTGCACTTCACTGAATCTCCAGGGAGCTCTGATGAACTGACCAGGTGCTGGAGAAGGAAGGGTGACTGTGAGTCCCCAGCAGCTCACAGATGAGGAAGCCAAGGCCCTGGAACGGGGAGGGAACTACCCAAGCTCTCTTCTGGGTAGCTGCAAAAGCAGGACCCACATCTCTACCCTCAGCCTGGTGCTCGTCCCATCACACCAGACCTGGTTCTGTCTGTGAGCGAGGCCAGGCTGGACCTTCCCTGGCATGGTTTCTGCATCATCTTGCCCTTAGCAGTGTCTCACTGGGCTTCTTGCCTTGCAGGTATGGTCGGAGAAGTCCACCACTACCAGCTGGCACAGGTCGGGTTCAGCGCCCAGATCCTGGACAAGGTACACGGCCAACGCAGCACCAGGCATTCTTGCCATAGAGGAAGGGCGCCAGCACTCCCAGGGACTGAGAGACCCTTGCTCCCAGTGCAGGGCTCTGCCTTCCTATGGGGATGTCTCTGAAGGAGCCATGTTAGGATAGCAGAGAACACTTCTTACTCACCCTAATTTGGACCTCTGAGGTAGACCAAAGAAAGACCATATTTATAACCATATTATGGGAGGTCTTCTTGTTCTATGTGCTCTCAGACTGAGCAGTTCTTAAAATAGAGGGTAGTAACAGGCTTTGGCCTGGGCCAGCTTGCCAAGTGGCCTACTTCTGCCCATGGGGTGGGGGGGGGCGGTGCTGTTCCCACAGGAGGGCTGAAATGCAGGCACCGTCAGGACATGGCCCTCGTGCACTGTCACTCAACCCAGGTGGGCCCTGTGTGCCAGGCCCAGGCTGGGCACCCTGCAAGAAAGGAGAAGATCTCTGTCTTCTCAATCATACTTGTTTCAATGCTTCACTCTGGGCCCTGGGATGGCTCTGGGGTTGCTGGGATTAGAGGGAGAGCTCCCCTGCCAGGAACCCAGTGTTTGCCATCCCACCTTCCTCCTGTATTGCTGGCCAGGTGGGCACGGGACCACAGAACATCCCCTTGCCCCCACAGCACAAGGTTTGCTGTGCTGGCTGGTAGATCTGAGGCCACAGTGACTGGTCTCAAGTACCTTCAGCTCAGATGGCCTCACCCGTGTCCCCTGCAGGAGCAGGTGCTGCTGGGGGCCGTAGGGGCCTTTGACTGGTCAGGGGGCGTGTTGCTCTACAACATGCACAGCCACAAGGGCCACTTCCTGAACCAGACAGTGGTGGACACCAAGGCTGGAAAGCACAGCTACCTGGGTGAGTGGGGTGCCTGGGGGAGGGCGGAGAGGCCACCTGGGGGAGGGTGGGACCTGGAGACCACCTGGGTGAGGGCGGGGTCTAGGCAGGGACAATGAGGTTTTACCCTAGGCTGCACTAGGCTTTCTAGTTGGGAATGGCCCAGATTGGTCTTATGGACTAAAAGATAGTCCCTGATTAGGGACCTGAAGGTGAAAATTAGGGCCTTCTGGGAAGGGACAGGGCTGCTCAGTTCTCGATTCATGGAGTGGCCCTGGATGGCTACCTAGGGAACATGGGGTCTCACCATTAATGATAGTGGTGGGAGACCCTTCAGCCCTCACCTCAGTCCTTATATCCTGGGTGTGCAAATGAGTGTATTTTGAGCAAAGCTGTATGTATGACAATGCATGTATATCACATCTGTGTGGTAGGGCACGTGTGTGACGAGTGGTAGTAGGTAAGTGGGAGAGCTCCTCGATGCCAATTTTTAAAAAGATGAGTGCGACAGTCTCCTATTTTGTCCTCCTGCCCAGGCCACTTCCAAGGCCTGGCTGGGAAGGTGGTGACGGGGGCGGTAGAGTGGCCTGGTGGGAGCCCCAAGCTCAGGTCACAGCCACAGCACCCCTGCCCCAGGTTACTCGGTGGCGGTGCTGCATAAGGCCTGTGGCCTCTCCTACGTGGCGGGGGCTCCACGGCACAAGCACCGGGGGGCCGTGTTTGAGCTCCAGGAGGAGGGCGGAGAGACCAACTTCATGCCAGTGCTGGACGGAGAACAGGTACCTGCTGGGGAGGGACCTTGGACCCCTCCGTTATTACAGATGGGGGATCGGAGGCCAAGGGGAGGGACAGGCTCCAGGGCACACAGTGGATTGGGGACCCAGCCCGGGCAGAGTTCGTGCCGCACGTCTGGTTGTGCCGGCGGTTCCCCACTGTGGGGGTCGGGCTGCTGTCCCGGTCTCCTGTGTTACTCTGGTGAACAGGCTGATCTGGAATGCCCCAAATTTGGGCGTCTGGGAAGAGCAGGAGCAGGGGTGTAGCCTTGCTGAGGGGGTACAGGAGGGGGCCTCCCCCACGTGCCCTGTGAGCTGAGTTCTTCCTGGGCTGTAGATGGGGTCCTATTTTGGCTCTGAGCTGTGTCCCATGGACATCGACATGGATGGAACCACGGACTTGTTGCTGGTGGCGGCTCCATTTTACCACATTCACGGACAGGAAGGCAGAGTCTACGTGTACCGTCTGAACAAGCAGGTGGGAGAGTCTCCACGCTTGCTGAGGCTGAGGCTGCTCAGCCTGGGCAGTGGTGACGGGGCGGGACTCGCCCTGGCCCTGCCTTGTGCCAAAAAGCCGCGACAGGGCAGTGCCCAGGGAGGACAGGGGCCAGGTGGACAGCGGCTCCACTGCCTCCTGTGCCCCTCTTGCTCATTTTCCCCATCTCATCATCTCGTATTGGTGGTGACGATGTCCCAGAGAGCAGCATGGTTGACAAAGCAGGTTTCGTGTATTATCTCACCTGGTAACTATGGGAGGTAGCTGACACTCGCACCTCACAGGTAAGAAGGCTGAGTGAGGCTCAGAGATGTTGAGGTGTGCTCAGGTTTACACAGTAAGTGTGTGGTCAAGACAGGACTGGAGCCCAGGCCTCCCTGTTGCCAGTCCGGTGCCCCTAACCACAGGGGCAGAGGGCACAGGCTCTGGTCCAGAGCTGCATGGCAGAAGGACCCCAGCTTCACCGCTCGCTCACTGTGTAACCTTGGGAAGGCCTCTTGCCTCTTCTGAGCCCCAGACTTCCTGCCAGAGGATCCGAATTACGAGTCCAGTGAGCATGCCTCTTGGGGTGGCCAAGGGTGGGCCCCCTGCATCCCTGTCTTGAGGGCTGAGCTGCCTGTTTGCTTTACAGGATGGTTCTTTCTCCTTGGCACACACGCTGCATGGGCATCCTGGGTTCGCCGATGCCCGATTCGGCTTTGCCATGGCAACAGTGGGGGATATCAGTCAGGATAAGCTCACAGATATGGCCATCGGGGCCCCCCTGGAGGGTTTGGGGGCAGGTGATGACATCAGCTTCGGCAGCGTGTACATTTACAATGGGCACCGGGATGGCCTCTCTACCAACTACTCCCAGGTAACCTGCAGGGCTCTCTCCTGCTTCTGTTCCGGGGTAGGGGCCACTCCCGCCCTGCCCCACCAGATGTGCTGGCCTGAGCCCCAAGTCAGCTCCAGGTCTGAGTGCCAGGCACTCCCACAGGACTGAGAGTGCCCAGTGAAGGGCAGAAGTTACTCAGGCGGTGGGAGGTCCCAGGTCGGGCAAGAGCTTGTGGTAACATCTATCTGCTCCTCCGGCCTGTAGCTCCCTTCTCTGGCATACCTGACTGCGGACCTGCCTCCGATCCTCCTTCCTCTCTTCCTGTCCCTTCCCTGGGTCCTGTCCCCCCACGTAATCCCTCCACGCCTTAACTCTCATCCCCCAGGGGTCTGTTGCCAACCTCTCTTGCGATCTTATGCCACCTCCAACTAGCTTCTCACCTAAGCTCCAGTCCCGCCTGTCCAGCTGCATCCTGAGCACCTCACCTGAATCGCTCTGAAGCATCTCTCTCTGATGCTGCCCAACAGAAAGCACCCCCTTGCCCCCAGACCTGCTGCTCCTCTGGGACCCTTCCGCCCCACCAGAAACCCAGGATAATCCCAGACACCCCACACTCAGCACAGCCTGTCAGTCCCCATGTCCATCCTAACATTCTAGCTCTCTGGATGGAGCCCCTCCCTCATCGCCAATGCCCCCCGGCCCCCCCCCCCCCGCCTCCTCCCCATCTTCCACCCTGTGTCTGACTAGACACCCTCCCACCCCTCAGGCCCACATCAAGCCTCCTTACACCCAGCTCTCCTCCCGTTCCTGCTCCCTGGCCCTAGTTTCCTTAGACCACCCTGCTCTGCCCAACCTCTGCTTTCTCTTCTCCCCTGTCAAGTCCCACCTGCCCTTCAAGTCTCCATTCAAATGCCACTTTCCCTGGGAGACCTTGCCCTGCTCCTCCTGGTCTCGAACTGAGGGCTCCCATTGAGGGGTGGGGCCCATGCTGACTTGCTTATTTGAGTGAAACCAGAAGGGCCCTCCTTTCCCTCCCCCACACCTTGTGTTTCTCCCTCTACAGCGCATCAGAGCCTCGGCGGTGGCCCCAGGACTCCAATACTTTGGCATGTCTGTGGACGGTGGCTTAGATTTCAGTGGCGATGGCCTCGATGACATCACCGTGGGCACTCTTGGTCGGGCGGTTCTGCTCCGGTAGGCGTCTGCCCTGCCTTCTGCGGCCCCAGGGCCCAGCCTCACCCCTACGTGCCCTCCCCTACGTGACCCTGTGAGGACACCAGGCACTGACTGGAGAGAGCAGGTGGCTCGGGGCACGGGCCCTGGAGTCTGCCCCTCTGGGCTTGAGGCTCAGCTCTCACCTAACGGTGTGTGTGTTTGGGCAGGTTATTGAACTCCGGGTTTCGGTTTTCTCATCTGTAGATGGGGGTGACCACAGTGCCCACCTCACAGAGTTGTGAGGATTAATTGGGAGAATCTCTGCGAAGCATTTAGCGCAGTGCCCGTGATGGCTGCCGTTGTTGTTATCACTAACCCGGGGCTCCTGTGCACACCCCTGAGTGAATTACCAAGTGCCACGTGTGTACATACGCTGACAGGGCACCTATCTGCCCTGCGCTCCCCACGAGCCCCAGACGTGGCTGTCAACTCAGCACCCTGTCTGCTGTTGCTCCCAGGCATCTCAACGTCAACTTGTCTGAAAACGGACCTCTTATTTTCACGTGCATTTTCACCTCCATTCTCCCCCACCCAGACCCCGCTAAGCTTCCTATCTCAGCAAATCCAGCATTTGTTCAGGATGAAAACCCAGGGGTCATCCGTGATTATTCTTTTCCTTCCCCTGACACTTCATCAACACACCTTTTTTTTTGGCTCTACCTCCAGATACCTCCCCATATAAGACACTGCCCCCGTCACCTGGATCATTGCCCTGGCATCTTCCAGGCTTCACTCCCTGGGCTCCGGTCTCCACACAGCAGCCAGAGCAATCCCTCCACTCTGCTGCTGAAACCCCTCAACGGTTCCCACTGAGAGTAAAACCCAGATTCCTTCCCATGGCCCACAAAGCTCTCCATGACCTGGCCCTGCCTACCCCTCCTGTTACTACTGCCCATCTCCCATTACTATTAACTGTGCTCCTGTCATGCTGACCTTTAGGATCCTTAAACCAGGCTCATTCCTACCACAGGCCCTTTGCACCAGCTGTGCCCCCTGCCTGCAGTGCACTTCCCCTAATCTCCACGTAGCTGACTCTCTCTTGTAAACAGATCTCAACTGTCTCCTTGTCAGCGAGGCCATCCCTGACTACCCATCCAAAGAAGCCCCAGTCTCTATGACCTTATCCTATTTTACTTGCATTATAGCATTACCTGTACCTAACTGTTTCTTCTTGTGTATTTGCTTATTGTCTATTTTTCCACTAGAACAGGGACTTATCTCTTTCCCTACTGTAACCTGAAGACTCAGAACAGCAGGTGCACATTAGAGATGTTTGATAAATATTCACTGAACGAATGAGTGAGCCAAGCACTGATTTGATCACTTCTCATGGTCCTCTTTGCTGTCTTATCTAGCTCCAGACCTGTGGTTCACCTGAAGGTGTCCATGAACTTCACCCTCAAGATGCTGCCCATTGGCTTCAACAGCAATGTGGATGTGCTTTTATGTTTTGAAATCAGCTCTGTGACCCAGTCAGGTAACAGGCAGCTGAGCTGACCCTCCCAGGGTTGGCTTATTCCTTGGTGGCTTGGGGGAAGGTGGGACAGGCAGAGAGGATGGGGGTAGGGTCGGGTATGTGAGCTATGAGGTCCCTGTGTTTGAAATCCCTCTATTTGGAGCTTAGCTCCTTTGACATTAGGTTCTGTTTAGTGTGAACCGCACCAGTAAAGGGTGATCTGCTGTTAAGCCCACACTCTGAAGGGGTGTATCTGACCTTGTTGGGAAGAGGGGCATTGGAACCCTTCTTCGGGTTTGAAGGGGTGAGTTTCAGAAAGACGACTCAAAGAGAGGCAGCCATTTCTCCATCTCCGTCTACTGTGTGCATGCATAGGGGCTCCTGGGCAGTGCCCTTCCCCTTTCTCCCTGATTTATGTCTTCTCCCCTCCCCTCCTCACTGTGTCTCCCTGGCCCAGGTGGGATTGGCACTGGTTGGGAGACAGGTCTGTTTCCAGAAGACAGAGGGTGGGCGTGGCTTTCCCAGCCCCGGGAATTACTGGCACTTTAAGAGCTCCCCACTAGAGTAATCTGTCAGCAACAGTCCCCAAGATTTAACAGCTCAGTAACAGTCCCTGAGATGTCGCTATGTTTCCTGCAAATAAGAAAGCACTCTCCCAGGCAGGGTGGCTTCACTGCAGACAGAGGCCATTGTCAAATGTGGGGGTCAAAGAGGACAGGCCTGCCAGTTCCAGCTGTATAGGCTGGAAGATTCAGGACGTGGAGCCTGATCGGTGGCTGCTGAGTGGCTGTGTGCTACCAGGCAGGGGTCTTGTACTTTCCGGGCCCTGGTTTCTGTTCTGTACAGTAAGGGAGTTGGCCGGGTCACCTATATGGTGCTGCCAGCTCTGCTCTCCTTACGTTTTACTCTGTGGTTTCCTTCTCCATCCCCTGTGTTATTTCCCCTCTTCCTCCTTCTCTCACTGATCCCAGACTCCCCCATGAGTCCTCCCTGTCCTAGGGAAGGCTTACTCAGCCCTGGGAATGTGCTACTCGGGGGTTGGGACTGGGGCACTGTGGGACCTCAGCCAAGTGCCAGAAGACCATGAGGCAAGTACTTTCGAAGTGAAGACCCTCAGAAGTCCAGCCCCAGGGAAGCACCTGTGTGTGGACACACTCGAGAGGGGCTCCCAAGGAACCTCAGGCAGGCTGGGGTCCTATGTCCGAGACTTGCCCACACTAGCTTCATCGGGAGGGTCTGGTCTTCACTCCCAGGCCTTGGAAAGATGTCTCTGAATTTCACGTTGGATGTGGATATGATGAAGCAGAGGAAGAGGCTACAGTTTCTGGACCAAAGAACTTGTCAGAGCTTCCTTCGGGAGTGGAGTGGCAGGACCCATCTCTGTGAGGACCTCAAGCTCATCCCCACAGAGGGAGAGGTAAGTGAGGGGCTTAGAAGGGTCCAGAGGGGTCTGTGTTGTTGAGAAAAGAACTGAGGGGTGTGCAGTGAAGGATATCTGTCTGTCCGTACAAACTAGACAATCAAAATAATAATAGATCAAGAACCAGGGGACTAAATGGTAATGAAAAAAAAATACAGTAAAAAAAAAAAAAGAACCACATAATGGTATGGGAGATGGAGTTAATTGTACCAGAAATACAGACTAAAGAAACCTGCTGAAATTGAACACTAACTATATCACCGAGCCTCCTGGCATCGGAGCAGAAAGAGAACTGTTCTAGTTGCTGTTTCTTCCCATCCCCGTGTCATCTCACCTGGTGACAGCAGTGGGGCTGGGGGTCCTTCGAATCAATGTCAGGGAAACTGAATGAGGAAAAGTAGAAATGGAAAGACAAAAGTTACCTTTCACAAAGGTTCACTCCTGACAAAGGTGCCCCAAGGCAGAGGAAGTGCTTGTCAGGGCTCAGAGCCTGACAGGACCTGGAACTTTGCATCTAAAAAGGTCATTTATTCCACTAACCGTGTAAATTATGCTTCTGGCTACACATCCATTCCCATATCTGTTCCGATTATTAACTGGATTAAGGGAGAGTTTCTAGTGAGTTTCTGTGGCTTCTTCACACAAAAGCACAACCACCTTTTCCACCACGAGGCATGCTTGCCTCCTCTCACGCCAGAGCTTCCACCACAGCAGAAAGGCTCACTCAGAGAGAGCGAGCGATGTCATCCCAGGCAATCTCCTTGTTTTGGTTTTTGCCTCTCTAATATGTCCTCCATGCGGCTCTGATCTTTCTTTGTAAACACAGATGTGACCACGAGTCTTCCCTTCCATGGCTCGCATTTGCGTTTCCTAATCAAGTCGAATCAGTTTTAACTCAAGCCAGAATCACTCTGTGATTGGGGTGGAAACCATGAGGAGTTATGAGATCCGAGGCCATAGCAGATCAAGGGAGATTGTTTTCGCATGCTCTTGGCAGCGTGGCTAACTTAAAGTTTCCCTTCAGCCTGGCTTATACAGAAGAGGCTTAGGACTTGTGGCTCACTGCTTTCATTGCTTATTTCTTATTGTGACAACCTCACAATTAAAAGCATTCTCCCTGTCATCTTCTCTTCATCTCCAACTCCAACTCTGTGTTCCTTGGTGACGCTGCAGCTCTCTGAAGAGGACCACTTCTCCAACGTCAGTATCTACGTCAGCTACCAACTCCAGACCCCTAAGGGCTGGAGCCACCATCCCCACCCTGTCCTGGACCTCTACAGCAAGACCTCCGCCATCTTCCAGGTGACTCTACCCACAGCTAGGACCACACCCTCCTGAGAGCCATCCCCCCAAAAGCACCTGCTCCCCTAACTTCAAAGATTGCTGTTAGAATTGGGAGTGTGCTTAGACTGCATCTGGGCCCCTCCCTGACTGCACAAACGGGCCTCACTGGTGGGTAGCCGCGTCTCCAAACTGCCACCCAAGGCTGGCTCCTCTGTTCACAGAAAGTGCTTGCAGCGTGTCTCATGAAGTGTTTTGCAGTGTGTCTCATGAAGTGTATGAATACACTGCCTGACTTGGCAAGAGTCTCCAACGACAGTATGTGTGTGTGTTGGGGGGGTCCTGTGTGGGGGCTTGACGGGAGCCGATCTGCCCTGCACTGCAGGGAGGCTGCCCTTTGGCGCACCTGTCTGCCCAGGTCCCGCTCAGGGCCTTCGGGCCTGGTGTCTGGCCCACCAAACTTGCACCCTAAAGGGTGTGTAGTGTTACAAGAAGCTTTTCTCATAGAAAAGGGGAATCAGAGGGGAAAACAAACAATCATACTTCCTGATGCTGTGATACCTAAGGTGATTTTGCTTGTATCCAGGCCCCAGACCCTAGAATATTCTATCTGCCTGCCTTTAGAGAGTCTTACAGGGTATAGAAAAGTCAACAGATCCAAAGAAGTGACAATGTGAGCATTAAAGCATAATATTTACAGTCAGTTGGAATGAACCGAGTCTCCAAAATTAAAACTAAAAAGCCAAAAGTAGTTCATGCTGGCAAAAAAACTTCAAATAACGTATTTCCAGGTAACCATAGCACAGCCCCAACTGTCCACTATTTTTACCCAAATGCTGTATATTAATTAAATCACATAAGCTTTCAGCTCCAGTTTTGGCCAACAGCCAGTGTATCATTCACAGACAGCGAATAGAAACCAGAGGGCAACTAGATCAGAGCGTCATTTCCACTGCCCATCTGCCCGGCGGGCCGGGGGGGGCGGGGGAGGAGGGTTCCTCGGGGACAAAGGTGTTCATCTTAATTTTTTAGGCAAGAGACTTTATTTTACTTTTTTAAAATTTAAATTATTTTATTGTTCAATTATAGTTGTCCATATTTTCTCCCCACCCCTCCCAAGAGACTTTATTTTAAAAACATAATAGTGTATTTATTTTGTAAATAATTTTTTAAAATTTTGGTATTGACAGCAAGGTAGATGCCAAAAAGATTGGGAGAACTAATGTAATAAAGTTGAATCAATAAAGATATTATCACTAATTATATATATTCTGTTTTTTTAAGATTTTATTTATTTATTTTTAGAGAAGTGAAGGGAGGGAGAAAGAGAGGGAGAGAAACATCAATGTGTGGTTGCCTCTCATGCTCCCCTCCAGGGACCTGGCCCACAACCCAGGCACGTGCCCTGACTGGGAATAGAACTGGCAACCTTTCAGTTTTCAGGCCAGCACTCAATCCACTGAGCCACACCAGTCAGGGCTATATTCTGTTTTTTTAAATAACTTTATTTTGAAATAATAAAATTACTTCATACTATAAAATTATAAGAATAGTCCAAAAATCTCCATGCATTCTTTATCCAGATTTCCCAAATGTTAACATTTTCACATATTATCACTCGCTTCATCATCATTCTCTCTCTCACTATGTACAGAGACAGCACACACACAGGTATACATGGGTATTACACACATGTACACACATTCATATTCCTGAACCATTTGAAAGTAAGTTATAGATTTATGCCTATCAGTCTGCAATATTCAGTATATATTCCTAAAAAACAAGGACATTCTCTTATACAATCTCAGTGCAATGATCAAAATCAGGAAACTAAAAAAATACTATTATTTACTCTATTTAAATTTCCTCAGTGGTCCTATTAATGTCCCGTGTAGCGAAAGGAAAATGTCGTTCTGGCCCAGGATCCGTGACTGCGCTTCGCCATCACTCACGCGCAGTCCCCTCGAATGGGCCAGGCTCTCAGCCTTTGTCTCATGGCTCTCACATCTTTGAAGGCGCAGGCCAGTTATTCTGCAGAGTGCTTCGCAACTTTCGTTTATCTGATGTGTCCTCGTGGTTAGACCCGGACGATGCATTTGGGCGAGGCTGTCCCAGCAGTGACGTTGTGTGCATCCGAGTGTGTCCGGTCGGGCCGCACTATGTCGTCCTGTTACCATGCTGTTTTTCTTTGTGGTGTGTGAGCGCCTCGTGGGGAGGGGACTTCAGATTGCGTGCGTATCTTTTTTAACATCCATTCATGATGCTTACCTGAATCATGATTACTCTGGTGGTTTGGCAAGGAAATTTTTGTTCCACGGATAAAATGGATGAGGAGAAGCGATTTGGTATTAGTTCAGGCACATAGACATTTCCAGAGAATGAGTTCTAGCTGGGAGCTTAAGGCAGTTTCACCCTGCTTTCTTGCTGGGATTGGGTAAAAGAGAGCTGGCTACTTGGCTATATGAAAAACAAAACTGAAAAAAAAATTAAAAATACCTTCCCTGAAACTGTTGACCTGGTCAGAGTGTCAAGCTCTGACGTCTTCAAATTGCAACTCCCTCCTCCAGGAAGCAGAGGTTTGCTTTCTAGCTCCGGGCTGCCATCAATGCTCCAGACCCTGGACTGAGTCCTTGTGTACAGCTGCCAACACGGTCACTGGCTGCTGGGGAGATAAAGGCAGAGGTTTCCCAGTTAAGGAGCTGGCTGTGTTTCCTTCATAATAAAAAATAAACACAGATTCTTCAGAAAATTTGAGTTTTCAACCTGAACTAGGGCTTTTCCATCTGAACTGGGCCTTTGGCCCCGATGTGACTTTCTGAATTAGTTTGTTGTAGTGTGGGCAAGATTGCAAGGGGACTATTTAACCTACAGAGAAGGCTGGCCATGGGGTCAGAGGACCTTGCAGGACTGGACCGTGACCATATTTGGTTAAGTGCCCTCCATCCGTGCCTCTGCTCTTCCTCCCTCTGCTTGAAAGGACCGAGGAAGCTTTTCTTCATATAGGTTTTCCTCCCCCAAATTTCAAAGCGGTGAGTTGTGAGTGATGCTGTGACAGGCACTGCCTCCATGCCATGAAGGTCACCCCATTGTTGACCTTGGCCAGAGACCTCACTCATGGTATACCTGTGTTGTGGGAGTAGACACACCCCTTACCGTCACCTGTCACCTGACTGTTCCTCCTATCCCTGACAGATTAAGGAATGTCACGGTCACAGCTCTCTTGGCCAATGGACACAACCACAGCCTGTCAGCCTTCACTCCCCTGTAACTGCACTTCTTGAGAGTCAAAAGGAGGGACAGGCATGTCCCAAGGAGCAGATCATGAGGCAAGACTGCCAGGGATGGCGGGTCCCTGGGCTGACCCTGCCCCTTTCTGTGTCGTTACAGCTGCCCTATGAGAAGGCCTGCCGGAATAAGCTGTTTTGTGTTGCTGAGTTGCAGCTGGCCGTCACCACCTCTCAGTGAGTTGGATCCCTCATCACAGTTTCTGCAGCTAACTTCCTCCTGACGGCTTACCTGGGCAAACCCCTGATCAGGGTCAGCTGCATACCACCTTCCCCTTCCCCTCATGGCCCACAAAGGGCTTTTGCATTTTTTTATCTCATTGCTTCCTCAACCATTCCATGAGGGAGGCAACACAGACATCTGCTTTCCCATATTCCATAGAGCACAGACTCAGTAGCTGAGAGCCTGCATGGGTCACAGTGGTATCTGGTGGACCCAGGTCTCTTGATATCCAAGGCAATGCTATTTTCATAGTCTAGTGTTTCTCCTGGGACCACCTCAGTTAGAGGTAACCTCTTCCCTGACTCACCTTATTGTTTAATTCATTAGATATTTATGGCACATCACCTCTGTGCCAAGCACTCTAGGTGCTGGAGATGCGTCAGTGAACAACACAGACAGAAAGCCCTGCCCTCCTGCTGCTGTTAGGGGGAGAAGATAATGAATAACTAAATATTATGTTGTCAGGATGTACTATGCCGGAAAATCAGGTGGGGAAAGTGGGAGGGAGTGCTGGGAGGGGAGGCGGTGGCAGTTTTAAATAGCGGTCAGGAAAGGGCCTGCTGAGGAGACACTTCGGTACACACAGGAGGAGGTCAAGGAATGAGCTACGTGGGCACCTGAAGGAGAAGTAACTGCAGGTGCCCTGAGATGGGAGCACCTGGAGTTGGGGGAGTGGCCCGGACCCCATGTGGTTGCAGTAGGACTAGGAGGGAGAGGCAGTGCTGCATGGGCCCTGCATGGGGCTTTTACTGTGAGCTGGGAAGCCAGAGGAATGATGTGATCTTTCACTTTTATCAGGACCGTTCTTGCTGTGGTGTGGAGAACAGACTGTAGGAGCAAAGGTGGAAGCAGGGAGATAGGAAGGAGCTCTTCTAATCCCTCAGGCGAGGAGTGATGGTGACTTGGGCCAGAGTGGTAGCGATGGAGGTGGCTGCATTTTGAAGTCGGAGCCCACAGGACTTGATGAGAGACTGGATGTGGGGAGGGAGTGAAAGAGAGGGCTCTAAGACATCTTCAAGGTTTCAGCCTGAGCACCTAGAACTGTGCTATCAAATTTAAATGAAAGTTGATTAAATACAATGGAAATTTCAGTCCCTCGGTTGTGCTATGCACATTTCAAGTGCTCAGGACCCACACAACGCTAGTGATATTAAACGACACAGCTGTGGACTGTTTCCATGACTGCAAAAGTTCTATTGGACCACACTGAATTCTAGAATGACAGTGATGCCAAGAACTGAACTGGGGAAGCCTTTGGAAGAATGATTTTGGAAGGCTGGGTGGGGAGGAGGAGATCAGGAGTTTGGTTTGGGCACGTGGTGGTCTTAAAAGGCCCTCCTGGCTATCAGTGCTCTGTGTGTAGCATGGTACCGACGGCCAGTGGCTGGAGTTGGTGTCCACGGGGAAGACACTGTTTCCCAAATCCTGGTAGGTTTTCTCATAGACATTTTCAGGACTTGCATTTCAGACATGGATTACTTAGTGCTGCCCATCTCAGTCTCTAAGGATCCAATTCAAGACTTTTAAGTGCTTTGGAATCCAGTCTAACAAGCAGGCACAGCTGTTTCCAGCAGGGAATTAATTACAGCCAAGAGCCGCCCTCTCAGCCAATTCCTTGTGAACTGGAGATGCTTCACACAGGGCTGGCCCGACACCACCCCCTAGTGTACACAGCAAGCAGCCTCTTCTTTTCTCAAAAGTATAAACAATGCTTAATCTTCAGCATCCAAACGCTTCAGTGGTCTCTGACCCTGCTGTGGACATGGACCTCCTAAAGGATCTAAGGAAAACTGCAGACCCTTCTCCCTAGAAGATCAATGTGCACACATCCGTGTTTGCATTCAGGCCTCCGACACTGTCCCTGGCCCTCAGGTTAAGAACCCCTGTTACTACTCCGACGACTCTTAGATCTCTCTCCTGGTTCTGAAACATTATGTCCAACTGACATTTCAACATCTCTACCTTCTTATCTAAAAAAAAAAAAAACCCAACAAAAAAACAAAAAACAAACCCAAACACCTCTCATCAGGTCCCAGACTGAACTCTTCCACCCTCTGGTCTTCCGCCTGTGGTCTCCCTCATCGGTCATCCAGGCTGGAAACTTAGGACTCATTCCTGGGTTTTCTCTCCTTTTTGCTCTGCCGGCAAACACAGCCTTACCACCTCTGGTTTCTACCCCTCCTCTCCACCCCAGTCTCTACTGTCTTATTTCAGGTGTGTGTCATCTCTCAGATGGCTCTCCACAGCAGGCTCTGTCTCTGGCCCTCTCTCCCTCCAATCAATCTGTCCTCTTCCCAGCTGTGATAAAAAACAAAAACAATACAACAAAACAAATGGTTACTTCCTAGAGCTACATGTTCCATCTCTGACTGTTTCAGATGGTGGGACAGTTTTCTTTGTACTGTTGAGACATTTTCCTGCAGACCTCGGTTACTGATAGTTGCTCTGCACTCTGGGGCCTCAGTGCCTCTGCAGACTGAAGGGAGCGCTTGCAAATCCCCATCCTCGCTTCACGGGGCTGAAGAGACTCACGTGTTAAACTGTAGCCTTTACATCGGAAGGGCCTGAATGATTTTGTGGGTGGGAAAGCTAAGGCCATGAGAGGGGCAGGGGCAGGGGCAGGGGCAGGGGCAGGGGCGGGGCAGGGGCGGGAGTGGCGTCTGTCTCGTGCACCACTGCTCCCCGGTGTTGAACAGGGTGTCTGGTGCAGAGAAGCTGCTACCTAAATATGTGAAATGGATGGGTTTGTGTGATGAGTGGTTGAAAGAGGAATTTAGATCCAATTCTCCCAATTTCTTTTTGAGGCTGTTAGACCTTAGGCAGCAAATTAGAGAGCCTCTCTTGGCTTCTATTTCCTTCTGTATAAAATGGAGAATACCCGTCCTGTTTCACAGGGTTATTGTGAGGATACCCTGAGCATGTGAAGCATTTAGCACAGTCCCTGGTATATAATAAACACTAAAAGTGTAGCCATTATTATTATTTCACAGGGTGACTGAGGTGGGTGTGGAGGTCTGGGTGTCTGCTCATGTTAAGGGGAAGAAAATCTAAGCTAAATGTATCCTTTAGGCAACTTATCTAAGAGGTTAGTTAGAAATGTGCTACTGCATTGCATCGAGGTTTTTACAGAATGAATGAACTGGTAACACTTATCTATTTGCCTACCCTCTGCAGGCAGAGATTGGTGGTGGGTGTCACAAAGGAGCTGACAATGAACATTAACCTAACTAACTCTGGGGAAGACTCCTACATGACAAGCATGGCTTTGACTTACCCCGGAAACCTCCTGTTTAAGAGAATACAAAAGGTAACTCTGACAGCAGTTTTGGAAACATGCCACTCACAGCTTTCCCTCCCTGCAGACCTGCTTTTCTACAGCAACCTTCTAACTCTGCCTCCAGCCTCATCTTGGCCAGTTCCAAGAAATGAGCATTAACTGGATGTGTCCAACTTTATGCCGTGGGTCCAATTGTGCCATTCGTCTCGCAAGCCTTCAATGGTACCCTTTTGCTGCACAATCACTCCTCCCTGTTTGCGTCCTTTCTTAACTCAGATTCTGAGAGAGAAATGATCTCTCATAAACTAGCCAGGACTAAAAAGTAGAAGTCTGCCCTGCCATTTATCAGCCTGGGATTGCAGACACAAAGCCAGCTGCAAGATACTAGGGAATGGCATTTTGCCTAAGGACATCCTGCAGCTGTGAAGTATCATAGCACTGAGAAGTGTTGTTCTCCAAAATCACTGGCCATTAAACTTGGCTGTTTGAAGTTCTGTCTGTAATTGTGGAATCATCTCACTTTCGCCTGGACAATCTAAGTCACTTTGATGAGAACAAGCAGTCTAGATTCACCAGCAGTACAGCACTACACATGATGCATTTCTGGACAGAACTTCTCACACCCATCTTAATCGTTTGCAAAGAAATGGGTCCCGGGGCCCACTTTGCAGTGCACTTCTGATGCTGAGTGACCCTTTGACACACAGTCCTGCTTTATTTATCTATTTTTATCCTCATCAGAGGATATGCTTATTGATTTTAGAGAGAGGGAAAGGGAGAGAGGGGGAGAGAAAAATCAGTTCATTGCCTCTCACACATGCCCCAACTGGGGCTTAATCTGCAACCTAGGCATGTGCCCTGACCAGAAATCAAACATGGGAGCTTTCGGTTTATGGGGCGAGGCACACCAGCCGAGGCAGCCCTGCTTTATTTTGAGCCTATCAAAACACTGCTTCATTCACATTTCACCTGAACACCACCCTTTCCCAGAGTCCTTTAATAACTATCTTTTCCTTTGTTTGGTAAGACAGACCAGCGCAGTTTTCCTCACTGTAATGGACCAATAAAGCTGGCTTCGCCCCTGATGGTCTCAGGCTATTTGGGCTAGGGCAGCATCCCTTATATGAAAAGAATGAAATGATCTCCTAAGCATCTAGAATGGACTAGTGATGCACCCTCCTTGGGAGAATTGATAGTAGTTGCTCAAATCCTTTTCTGTATTCAGTGGTCCGGAGGAGGAGCCATGGTTGAAGGCGGCAGGGTGGTGCTGGGGCTCGTGCCAGACTTCCAGCCACCACAGTAGGTTAATTTGTGTTGGCCTGTGGCCTGATGCACATGTCTCCTTCCCCATGAAGACTTTCAGTTTCCTCTGAATTCGAATTCATCTCTTTCTCTACTGCTTTGCTCTGTACCTCTCACAGACCCACTCCCTAGGCCTTGTGTTTAAATTGCTCAACCATCTACTACTGAGGCCTCCTGCCCAGGTTGTGAGGGAGACTGGGACCAAGTCTGAGTGGTACACTCAGCTCTCAGCAGGGTGTCTTGCATGTGAGAAAAATCAGCAAATGGCAGTGTGAGGAAACTGCTCCTTTTTTTTTGCATTTTAATAAGTCTTTTCTGTGTTAACAGCCTCCTTCCCCAAACATTCAGTGTGATGACCCTAAGCCAGCTGCTTCTGTCCTGGTCATGAACTGCAAGATCGGTCACCCCATACTCAAGAGGTCATCTGTGAGTCTGTTTTGATTGGCTGACTCTTCTCACTACTCTAGACTTGTCTTCTACTTCCCAGTCTCATTGGAATTTCATTTGTGGTCTCCACACTTCCCTGTACTGTACAGTCAATCCATAGCTGTGCTCAGACCTGCCGAGTTTGTTCTGAAAATAGGGAGTTGGGGGTTGGGGGTACAGCCATAAATTGTTGGCTCACTGCAGTACAGCAGAGGCAGAGGGCAGTATAGAAGGGTCATCAGACCCGAAGTTATTCAGGTCTGATGTGCCACTGCCGATCTTTGAGCGGTGAGAATTTCTCAGATGCTTCCTCAGTTGTAAAAGGGGAATAAGAGGCTTGCATGGAATAATAAATGTGGAAGCATTCCATGACACCAAAGTGTGAGAAATATACAGCCTCTGGCAGAAGTAACACCTGCTTGAGAGAGGGTTGGTAAGGTAATAATATGGGTGTAATAATTTAATTTGAATTTGAACATTTCACCTAAAATGTCATATGGTGTGTTTGAGTGTGATACTGTTATGTTACAGAATTACATGCTTGTGATTTTGTAATAAAGGGGCATTATTTGTGCCAGAGCCTGTGTTTCCCTGGACTGTCTACTTAGTAGGAAGCAGTTTGAATTGTGAATAGTACAGAGAAGAATCAAGTTACTTTTTCTTTTTTCAATAGGCAAACTTCTCAGTAGTCTGGCAACTAAAGGAGGGTACCTTTCCGAACAGGACAGCTGACATCACTGTGAACATCACAAAGTAAGCAGTGTCTGTGTCATAGCAGACCGGGCTGTGGCCCTGGAAGAAGTCTCCCTGCCGTGTGCCTGCATAAGAGCTATGGCTCCCTAACTGCCCAGGAAGAACCTCAGTGACCCCAGAGAAGGCACCTTTGTCCCCATGGTTGTTATCAAAGAGATTTAAAACATTCTTTTATTGGCACACAAGTAAAACTGTGGTATAGTCTGGTAGAATGAGCCTTGGACTGGAGTTCTAGTTCTGGTTCATTTAACTTTGGGGAAGCTCTGTCATCTGTGAAACCTGTGTGTCTGGGGGTAGGGTGGGGGACAGTGTTGGGAAAGGGTTCTCAAATGAGAGTGATTCTGCACCCCAGGGGCAGTACCTGAAGGTGTTTTTGATTGACACAACTTGGGGGTGCTACCAGCATCTAGTGGGTGGAGACCAGGGATGCTGCTTAACATCTTGAACAATCAGGACAGTCTCTCACAATCATTACCTGGCCTGAAATATCAATATTGCTGAGGTTGAGAAACCTTTTTAAATCAAGGTTTCTCCAAGTATGGTCTTCTAGCAACTCTTCTGCACTCTGCTTATCTGCAAGCCTTTTCTTATCTGACCCCTGATGACCCTGGGAAGCCAAGGCCCAGAAGTAGACATATGTACAAAGCAGGTGTGCTAAGAACTGACACTTTTATTTCTTAGTGCCAATGAAAGACCGTCTTTGGTCACAGAGACCCAGAGCCTTCAATTCAGGCATGCCTTCACTGCAGTTCTTCCCAAGTAAGTACCTTCAGGGGGCCAACACCTACAGGACAGTTTCAGGTATTCTCTCTTGTAAGTGGAACTGGAGGGCAGGCTGGATGTGGGCACTGCTTTTCTTTGAGAGGAAGCTCCCACTGATCTCCAGGACCTTAACAGTCGGGTCCTAGAAACCCACAGCAGTAATTGAAGTAGTAGTGTCAACTGGTCTTGCTACAAAAAAGTACTGACATGATGTTAAGGAGGGAAGAAGACGGGCTCTGGGATTGAAAAGTAAGGAAGGAGAAAGGTAAGGCCACTGAGAAAAATTATTATACCCAGAACCAGCCCACATATTCTGCCTGATCCCAACTGCCCTACCACCAATTTACATTTTGGTATTTAGCTTTGAATCCTCTTAAGGAACCTGTCCTAGTGTATCCAACTGGTAGTGTTCAGGTTCACTTACAAGGGGGCCTTGAGGCTAGCACATGTCCTCTCCATTGTAGGCCATCAGTGATGTACGTGAACACAAGCCAGGAGCTCCGTGGCTCTGACTACAAAGAATTCCCCTTCAATGTAAGTGCTTAGTAATTATCATTGCAAAGCTGTAGGTGGCAAAGTGACACCAACTTAGACTTCCCACTCTTTTCTTTGCAGATACATGGCGAAAATTTATTTAAAGCCGAATTCCAGCTGCAAATCTGTGTTCCCATCAAATTACAAGGTCTCCGGCTTATAACAGTGAAGAAACTGACAAAGACTCAGGTACTTAGATGTGGTTCTTACTCCCAATTACATTTCTTTCCACAGTGACTTACGAATTCTCAAAAGTATAAAAACCAGAGTTCTAGAGTTAAAACAAGATTAGTTAACCTGGGAATACATTAGGAGTAAATTCCTTCATGTTCAGAAGGAATATCAACCACCAAGCTCTTAAAGCAACATTTGGTTCCCTTTCCTTGATGAAAAATAAGCAAAAATTCAAACCTTTTTAGTAGCCATGGAAACATTTATTTTCCTGTTGAAAATTGCTAAAGTCTACTTCTCTGTGATTGGCAAATGAGTTTGGTAAGTATGTGGCACTTCTTGAATGTCTCCCTATAAACTGGCTACCATCTTCCTTTTTTCTCTCCCTCCAGTCTGTCTGTTGTGGTCTCTGCTTTGCTGTCGGTTGACTCCTGATCTGTAGCATGGTTCCCAAAGCCAGCCTGATGATACCTACAGGCTCTGCAGGTTCTGATTAGTATGACAGTGGAGGTCTTGGGCTTTCCTGAATATTTTTTTCTTTAAGCTACATAAAGTGTCAAGGCTCAAAAATGAAATGTGCAAAGACATTTATAGAATGGACTCTGCTGACTGAAAGAGGGTTTATAAGTTGTAGACACTTATTCTCATGTGTAGTTTATTTTTGAAGAATATTTGTCATTTAAACATTTCAATTTCCACTTGGAAACAAAATTCTTCTTTGGAAAGCTGATTAGAAACATGGAAAGAATGAGAATGTCACCATCCTCTGGGGATAGAGGTTGAAAACAGCGCCGGGGGGTGGTGGGGGGCTTTCAAGACTAGTGGCCTCGAAGTTTAGGGTAGTAAGGCACCTCTGACTTACTTAAATAGACTGTGTTGGCAGAGCAGGTCAGTGGCAGAGCTGAAGTTCAGCATTGTCTTATGGAAATGCAGGATCTTTTGCCTCGTTTGCTTCATGGAAGGGGTGTTATGTTTAGTCCTGAAGGTCATTTCTTTCAGAATCTTGTCTGTGAGGTAATGTAGCCAGAGCACGTTACTATAAGGGTGATATTCACCCCAGCAGTTGTTGTTCTCTTTCCTCATGAGCCTGTAAATCTCAAACTGGTAGTCACCTTCACCTGTAAATAGGTCCTCATCCATGGAAATGTCGCAGAAAACCACGATCCCATCCCGTTCCAGGCGTGACAGGGTGTAGTCAATGATGTTGACTTGCAGCCCACGGGTGGGGATAGTACTGGTCTTCCCATTGAGGGTGTAGTGGACTTCTTTGTGGCTGGTCTTCTTTAACAGCACATTCCCCCAGTGTAAGTCCCGGTGCTCAAAGTGCAGTGATGCTTCTGCCACAGCGAGGGATGCAGTGACCTGGTGTAGAATGCTCTTTGCAGTAGCTATGGAGGACAACTCCCTTCTCATTTGCTCTAAGTCAGTCCCTCCAGATTCAAATTCTAGCACAATGAAGAGCTGGTCTTCCTCAAAAAAGTCAGGCCGGTCATTTGCAGACCCTTTGGTTGACTTATAGTGATCCCAGGCTTTGAGGAGCAAGGGAGGGTAAGGTCCTTGAACACAGTGCACTGAGTTCAGCCCAATAAAGCCTTCTGTGCGGTTGCATACCTCATCTGACAAGAGGCTCAATTCTTTGGAGATGATGATCTCTGGAAGGATTTCCTCAAAAGTTTTCTGATGTGTTCCATTGATTAAATCTGGTCCTTCAATAGCAATGATTTTTAGGGCAACAGGTATATGATTAACAACTGCTTGAAACACTTCGCCAAATACCCCCTCCCCAATCTTCTCACAGCATTTCAGTTTTTCCGTGGAAAGGCAAGAGCTAAAGGGGATAAGACCCTCCTGGTTGCATTCCCTAAAAACCTTTTCAGCATAAGATGCCTTTTTGTCTGCGACAGGTAGTGTCTTTAAGGGGCTTAACAAATGCATGGAAGAGGAGTGCCAAGGGGACAAAGCACTGTTTGTTGTGTTCATGACAGGAGGGCTTGGATTTTCTGATATGAGGGAGCCAGAGGGAGAAGTGGCAATGTTGTTGCTGCTGCACACCTCTGACAGTGCAGTCACGATCTTCTTCTTGTGGAAACTGAAGGAAGCCCTGGCTTTAGTCCAAGAACTGTCCTTCTGTAAATGAGCCAGGTTCTGGGTGAGGAATGAGTCTTTTTCCATATTTTGGCCCTTTTTAAACTTGTCCCATTGGAGGAGGGAGGTTTCTACTGCCTCCTGATGTTTCCTTTTCCGTCTTGGGCCAATTCTCTGGGGCCTTTTCATTTTCCCATTGGCCTCCTCATAGTCTGTATGGACAGACCCTTGAGCCCCAGTCTCTAGACATGAGTTCTGGGCTGTGGCCCTCTTCCTTCGGATGCTTGATAAAACTGGGCTCTCCAGCCTCTTCCCCACCAGTATCCTTTCACAGCAGGTCTCCCTCATACTCTTCCCATCTCTCCCAAACTCAGAATCCTCATGGTTTCCTGTGTCCGTAAGGCTACAGTGAGCTGACCTGAGGCTGGCACTGGCGTGGTGGGTCAACCTGGTGAACCTGCCTCCTCCTGTTGCTGCCTCCTGGGAGCAGGGATAAGGTGCTTGGTCCAGAGAAGCTGCACCCAGAGGGGCGGAGGGGCCGATAACACTGTCTCCTGGCACTGGAGACCCAGAACCAGGGCCCGGAGAGGCCGGGGAGCTAAACAGGGAGGCACTGGTGCCCAGCTCGCCGCCGTCCCTGGACTGGCTGCATACACTGAGGCCCGGGCTGAAGCGGCCCGGGCTGCTGGGCGGTGAGCCGCAGGGGGTGCTGCACTTCTGCGGGGGCCGCGCTCGCGGCCTCAGGCGTCTTGGGGTCACGATCAGGCTCGGCTGGTCATTGGAGAGTCGACCGCCAGCTCGCCTCCGCCGCTGACCCACCTGGCTGCAGAAGTCGGGGTCGTCAGAATCGTCGGAAGTGACAGACTGCGAGGGTTCCTCGCTGCTGCTGGCGTTGCTGCTGCTGGTGCTGCTGAAGAAACGCTTTGGACCTTGAGGCGCGAACCACTGCGCGCCTGCCCGGCCCGGCCGCCGAGGCCCCCAGCTGCCCGCAGCCCCATACGTTCGTAAGAGCCGATTCCTGTGTCGCGGGACTGACGCCGCCATAGCTCTCACCCGCCAATCGATTTAAATGCAAACACCGCGAGACAACCTCACTGACGCAGGCGCAGAGGCGCTAGCCGGCAGGCCCGCCCATCCGGTCGTAATGCCCCATCGTACGCGCACGCGTATTTCTACGGACTCTTTGGAGCTACCGGCTCTGAGGACGGATTATTTTGGTGGTTTCGGTTCTTATTGTGTAGCGGTAATGGATCTCGTTTCAGGATTACACTGTGTGCACCCAGAGTCGGGAGCGCGCTTGTGGGAGCGATCCGGTTCAGGTGAGCGCTGCGGGCCCCAGAGGGCAAGGGAGGGAGGAAGGCTTGAAGCAGGTGACGAGAGGCCCCGATACTACTTTTCCGACCTTTGCCCACCCCCAGGCCTCGCAACGCAAGCGGGGCGGCCCCAGCGCCATCCTTAGCCCTTTCACTGGATCACGTTTGCCTAGGTCGTGCCTTTGCTTTGGCCAAGGTGAGCGATGCAGCCGCTCTCATTTGTATTGCCAGACCTTTAGGTACTCTGTGCTGTTAAAATCCCAGCTTTCCCATACTAAGAGGGATTGTGCTAACTAGACTTTCCTTTTCCAGCATGTGGAGGAATGGCATTCAGTGAGCTGTGCCATCAGTTCGGATAAAGAAAATGTAACGGTAGCTGTAGAGATCTCCGTGAAGGAAGCCAAGCAGGTACTTGAGACTGTGAAATGCTCCAGAGTTGATTATCCTGCAACTCACGGGCATCTGTCTTCCGTAGAAAGGTTAATAGCAGGATACTAGCATCTCAAATATAACATGTCCCTTGACCCACATTCTGCTCCCGCCTGTTCCTTACCCGATTACACAGGATAATTTATACTGCAGTTACTTTCTAGGAATTTCTTGGGACTCCTCGTTTTCTTACATGCCCGTACCTATTCCAACAGCAAGTTCCATCATTCCACTTCCCAAATACCGTATTTTGCTGTGTATAATGTGCACAATTTTGCCCAAAATTTTAGGGGAAAATAGGGATGTGCATTATATGTGGGTAGTACTAATTCTGTATCTACATAAATGTTTTTAAGTCTTTTATTTAGGCTTATGCGTTAAAAATGTAGCTCTAAAAAGCAATAACGATGTCCGTATGTTCAAAAATAAATGCTAAAATTCCTTTCTAGTACCCAAAACAAGGATCTCAATATAAATAAATTAAAAATTGAATTAAGAACTTAAAGTGAAAGATTTTTTCCCCTGAAAGTTTGGTCCCAAAACGTGGGTGTGGATTATACACGGCAAAATAGGGTATATTCTAAATCCATGCACCCCTCCCCACCCCCACCCCCCACCAATGCTGTAGTTCAGGTGGCCATCTTTTGCCCAGATTGTTGCAGTGCTCTTCTGTCTGCTCTTCTTGCCTCTGCTCTCAGCGTGCCCTCTCCAAACATTCTTCACAGAACAGCTATCTTATAAAAGTAAATGTTGTGCTTTTGAATATACTTAGACTAAAGTCCATACTTTAAGTCCATACTGTGATTTCTTATATTTACCTCAGATGTTACCTTCTTAGAGAGGCTTTCTCTGATCACTCATTCAAAAGTGAGAGCTACAGTGTAGGTTAACGTCTTGCAGTGATCCAGGTGACTGATGAGATTTAAACTGGACAAGTAACTATGGGGATGGAGAAAGAGAGGCTCAAAAAAAGGACACATTATCAAGAAAACTGAGCTGGGGTGGGTGGGTGAGCGTGTGACGTTAGGTAAAGGGTGAGGGAAAAATTGAGGAACTACAGGTATCTTGCTTTGGTAATTTGGTTGCCAAAGCCATTAACTGGGCTAAGGAATACTAGAGATGGAACACGTTTAAAGGGAGGATGGGGAGGATGGTGAATGCTGTACATAAACAGTAAGTCCATGTCTAAAACATGTTTCTTCTCTCCTCCCCCCTCCCCCCATAGGTCCTAAGAGATGTAACTGAACTGCAGATCCTTGGTGAAATATCTTTCAACAAATGTCTGTATGAGGGGCTGAATGCAGAGAACCACAGAACTAAGGTAATCCCTGTCTGTTTTCTGGTTTCCTGGGTAGTGTCCTAGAAGACTGTGCCTAGCCTTAGTGCTTCTGCACAGGTGCTCTGCCGTTTGTTGCCCTGTTCCTGTTTTCAGTCTCTTCGCCTCTGATCTTGCCAACTCTGCCACCAGCTGCCTCTGTGACTTTGTCTCAATTTTTCCATCTGTGAAATGAGGCAATTAAACATGAGGCCTAAGCTGAAATAACTAGGCTGGATCCAACAGTGACATATACTTTGATTTGAGAAGATATTTTTTTAAAAATCTGTGAAATGAGAAATTGTGTGTATTAACCCTTTCCAGTGTATAGTGTCAGCATTTCATTACAATATTAAACAGTTGCCGTACTCAGAAATCCATACTCCTTTGACAAGCCTTAGACTAAGTACTAGAACTCCTGGGGTTGGTTTTACAGAAGTGTGACTGCAGGCCAAACGGACGTCTGCAGTCTGTGGCCTGAGTACTGTGTGCGTTCCCCTTGGTTGTCATTCTTGATGACACTCACCTAGATGTGCTCCTGGCTTCAGAGATGACCCATCTCTTTAGTCAGGCATGGTTCATTACTGGAAGGAATGTTTAGAGACTCAATTGATAACTGTTAGATCCTCTGATTTCCTTTCTGGAGGAGGAGGAGAAAGGAGCAATTCTAGACATGTCAGGAATAACATGTCCCTTTATTTTTAAGCATTTCTAACACAGGAAATGGTATGGAAGAAAGAGAAGGGCCCCATTATTCCACTGCCCAGATTTTTAAAAAATAGAAGTAAGGCATAGAAGAAAATCCAAGCCTTACGGAAAGATATCAAATGAAAAATAATGGCTCCTTCCCTCCACCCTTTCCACACCAACTCCTCTTCCCAAAGGGAGTTACTGTTAACAAGTTTCTTCTGTGCATGTTCTTAAATATTTATGTATTTCCTCATCTTACCGATATTTCTCTACAGTATAGATTTCTTATAATTATTTTCTTTAAATTCAATACCCTAAGCCAGGGATGTCAAACTTATTTTCACCAGGGGCCATATCAGCCTCTCGGTTGCCTTCAAAGGGCTGAAATAATTTTAGGACTGTATAAATGTAACTACTCCTTAACTGTTAAGGAGTTGAAATTACATTCGGCCCTTTGAAGGCAACCGCAAGGCTAATGTGACCCCTGGTGAAAATGAGTTTGACCCCCCTGCCCTAAGCAAAGTATTAAGTAGTTCCAGACAATAAGCACCTGACTTGCAGTGAATCTGTGAGTACAAATAGCTGTGTATCCAAGTGTGTTTCAGCTGCAAGGAAGGGCAGACTCGGCCTTTGTTGTTCACCTAGTAAGGGAGGCAGACGAGGGTCAATGGCTGGTCTCCTTTGAGTCTTGTGCACACATCTCTGTGTTGGTGATGCTTTCCTCATGGCCCGCACAGAGCTCCGCCTTGCCCACAGCTGTATTTTCACACAGCAGGACACAAAATAGGAAGAGGTCAGTAGCAAAAAATCTTTTCTTCATGTGCTTTCCCTTTTCAGGGAGTGAAATTTTCCTAAAAACTCCCAGCACATATTTCCCTATATGTTGTTAGTGAGAACTGGATCTTATGTCAGTTGTTGGCAGAGGTGACAGTCAAGCTTTGTCGTGATTAGCTTAGACCAGTCATGATTTCTGGACCAAATCTAAATGGAGAGAATGGCTGTGGAGTAGCCCCGTCAGTGTCTGCTACAAGCAGTGGTATCCTGTGTCCTGCCTCTCCCTTCACCTCTACCAGGGCGGCCTTGGGGCCCTTTAGAAGCCTGTGGGTTTGGAAGGGAGGAAGGGAAAGAGACTTTGAGAAATCGGAGCATTTCTTCAACTCAGACCTGGCCTGTTAAACCACTCTCACCTTGGAACTTCCTTTCATCACTTTCCTAAGCCCTGGTTCTCAAGTCCTTTCCTCCTCCCACTTCACTTCCATAGAAGGAAAAAACCCCAGCTCTCTTCCTGTTCCTCCCTCTCTGTTGCTTTGCTCCCTCCTACTCTCAAAACCTAGAACTTAATCCATTTTAAGTTCAGCTGTGTAAATAAGGCCTGGAGGGTCAACGCTAGGAAGTAACCAGCATGTGTTTTTTCTAATTTACTTACTGATTTGAGAGAAATATTGATTTGTTCCACTTAATTTATGCATTCATTGATTGTTTCTTTTTAAAAACAAGTTTTACTTACTGATTTGAAAGAGAGAGAGGAAGAGAAAGAAAAACATCGATTGGTTATTCCTTTTATTTATGCATTAATTGGTTGTTTCCTGTATGGCTCTGATCGGAGATCAAACCCGCAATCTTGGCAAATGGGGATAGTGCTGTAACCCACTGTACTACCCAGCCAGGGCTACCAGCATTTGTAACTTAATTAGGAGAGGCTTTAGAGACAAATTTGTCCAGCCTTCCACTCCATACAGAATTTCATTCCAAAGCATTGATGACCTCGGTGCTTAAACACTCGCGTGAAAGGAACTTGGTATTTTGGGCAGGCAGAGAAGTTCTGGTGGCCCTTTGGCCTCACTTAAGTGCTGGGGTCCTGCTCTGGCCATGATGTGTATGCTCCCCACAACTCGGGACAGCCACGTCTGGGTCGCACTTGGGAAGCACATCCCCTGAGCTTTCCAGCTGAGTCCTGTTGTCACTAAACCACAAGTGGGGTCCCGCTGCCCAGCCACCCTCTAGGCAAAATTCCGTAGGCACAGCTTTGGTGATAGAGGAAAGGAGTCTTTATTCAAAAGCTATACAAATTTTGCAATAACAGCTTTCCATATGCATTAGTCATTTAAACCTATCAAGGCTAAACTCTTTTACTCCTGAGTTCCCCTGTCATTCCCTCTGTTAGTTTTTAATTATTTCTGTAGGGTTAGTTTATAAGCTAAAACAATGTAAGACACAAAAGCTACACAACTCTGGAAGAATATCAGGCTTCGTGTCAGAGCCCATCCCTTCTAGCACACCCAAAGAATAACCCTGCCACCCTCTGCCAGGCCAGCCCTATCTAGGCTGTGCCCGGAGTTTCTTCTCCCATCCGAAATACATCCAAAATACCAGCCTTTGGGGAACGCAGGCAACTGCAGCATGATCATCCAGGCATCCTTGAGGAAGAGAAGCCAAGAGCCATCTCTGCCCTCCTTGTATTTTTAAGCCTGGCCCATGATTCCAGACTCCCTAGGCTGGTGGTTACCATTGCCTCGGGCAGCCTCCTTGTCAGGCCCCTCCCTCCTGCCTCCTTCCTCCCCAGTGATCTTATCGGATCTCTCTGTGTGGCTATTAGTGAGGAGACAGCTTAGACTTTGAAACTGAGTCTGGGGATTGCTTCTCATGAAAGAGCTCTACAAAGTGCCACATGGGTGTGGTTCTGCATTTATTTTCGTGTCTCTGGGGTAACATACACTTTAGTCCGGTGAGGAGCAGACCAATATCTTTGCCATAGAGTTTGTGGAGAAAATTGTATTATCAGACGTCGTAGAACTCAGAAAACGCTGTCAGAGCAGAGTTGGAAGGAATTAAAGATCACTTTCAATAGGTCATCTTTTTGAAGATGATGAGCTTGGGGATCAAGGATGTATAATGGCCCAGCTGTCAGTCTTTAAAACCTAAAGACCTTAATCCCGTGGGACCCTCTGTTAAATTGTCAGAGAATCCTTAACAGAAGGTCACAATCTTCTGACAGACTTAGCTCTATTTGTGTATTACAAGTCAAAATAGTTTCTATAAAGTATTCTCATTATTTTAAACAGAGGGGAAGGGAAGGAGAAAGAGAAGAACAGAAACATTGATTAGTTGCCTCTCGCATGCCCACAGCTGGGGACCTGGCCCACAACTGGGGACCTGGCCTGCAACCCAGGCATGTGCCCTGATTCAGGAATCGAATGGGTGACCTTTTGGTTTGCAGGCTGGTGCTCAGCTGCTGAGCCACACCAGCCAGAGTTGTTCTTTTTGCTTTTTGAGGATTTTATGGATTTATCTAGCTCAGAGAGTCTTGCCTTAGCCAAGGTCAGTCTACTGATGACCCATCAAAAGCATTCTTCGTTTTTGTTACAGTGTTTTATCTCTAGCATTTCTTTTTGGTTCTTTCTTAGGATTCCCATCTTTCTACCTACATTGCGCATGTGTTCTTTTTCTGTTCTTGCATGCCGCCTACTCTATCCATAGAGCCCTTAGCATGTTACTCATAGTTGTTTTAAATTCCTAGTCTGATGATTCTAATGTCCTTGCCATGTCTGGTTCTGATGCTTGCTCTGTCTCTTCAGATTGTGTTTTTTGCCTTTTGGTATGCTTGGTAATTTTTTCTTGACTGCTGGGCACAATGTATTAGGTAAAAGGAACTACTGTTAACAGGCCCTCAGTGATGTGGTGGTGAGGTGTGGGGGAGGGGAAGGATGACAGAGCATGTAGGTAGGTCTCAGTCTCTTAGGGGGCTTGTGCCTCTGGTCTGTGACTTTCAGAAGTGTTTCTCAGGTTTTTTTCCAACTGCCATAGGTGGTACAGAACAGCTAGAGAGGGCTCCAGTTGAGTATTTACCTTCCCCCACCCAGGTAAGTTAGGCCCCGAAAATAAATACCCTAGTAGATTAGGCTGTGGTTAACTAGTTTCTCTTGAAGGCAGGCCTTTTTAGGAGAATGGGTGCTCTGGTGTATTTCAAAAATGGTTCCTTTTCCTTCTCCCCCTGCTGGGAGGGGAAGAGATTTTTCTCCAGTATTTACTGTGGGAACCTGGTGAAGCTCTTGGATGTAAATCTCAGTGTTGTGGGGACCTCCTTATGACTGGATTCCCTGGAGTGTTTTTTTTTTTTTAAGATTTTATTTATTTTAGAAAGAGGGGAAGGGAGGGAGAAAAAGAGGGAAAGAAGCATCGATCGATTTTCTGTGTCTTGCACACCCCCAGTTGGGGACCTGGCCCACAACCCAGGCATGTGTCTTGACTGGGAATTGAACTGGAAACCCTATGGCTCCCAGGCTGGCACTCAGTCCACTGAGCCATACCAGCCAGGGCTCCCTGGAGTTTTTAACTCTCAGAGTTGTCCACACTGAGCCTCCAGCAATTCATCGATTCTAGTTCAGGTTTCCTACCCCAGCACTGTAAGCCTCTACTCATATTTTCCTCCTTAAAATAACGTGTGGAATTTTTTCTCATTTGCTTTACCTGACTTACTGGGTGATCTCTCTGTTTTGTCCCAGATCACTGTCATCTTCCTGCAGGACGAGGCCCGCCACTCCTTGCCTCTCATCATTGGAAGCAGTGTTGCTGGCCTTCTGGTTTTGATCGTGATTATAGTCATCCTGTTCAAGGTCAGTTCTGTCGTGTCCATACAGGTTCTGGTGCTGGGCACAGTACTCTCTGGGACAGCCGGTCCAGACTTAGAGCAGCCGCCCTGGCCATTTGGCCACTTGACCCTCTTCCTTTGGCCACACATCTGTTAGGCAAATGAGTGAGACAGTTTCTCTCTGAGAAAGATAAAGATGTAATTGAGGTATTGGAGTACAGAGAGTTTTTCCTCAGATCCGATTATTGCTTCCCTATTTAAATCCTTCTTTTAATGTTCTTTCTTTCTGCTATACAAGATTCTCTATTCTCTGGCCTCTACCCGCTCCGCCCTTAAGTCTTGCTTTTTTCCTCAGAGTGTGAACTAAGTAGGTTTGCGTCTTTGTGCTTGGAATCAAGCTGTCTACCGCCCCATGCTCTTTCTTCTTCACATGTTCACTTTGCTCACACTCTTCCCTGAAAACTCAGCCCAGAGAGTCCTAAGTCCTTTGAGCTGAATTACATGCTTTTCCTGTGAGCTCCTTCCCAGAAACCCTTCCAGGTGGCACTATGTGGTAATTCTTTCCCTTTTTACCAGATGGTGAGTGTCTTGATGTAGGAGGCCATATTCGATCTTCTGGCCTTGCTATAGTAGGCTGAGTCCTTTTACATAAACAGGGTCTGGTATAGCCAAAACTGTAATACTTTGCAGAATTAAGTTCAAAGGGTTAAAGAACTTTGAGGGTTTAGAGAAAGGGTGAAGATCATTTCTGACTGGGGAGTGAGCACCAGGAAAGGCGTGTGGGAAAGGCAGCATTTAAGATGAGTCTTGAAAGATTGTGTTACCTGGGAGAGAGTCAGAGGAAGCATGAGCACCCGCGGAGTATAAGGGCTCTTTTGGCAACAGCCATATAAATGGTCTATAATTGGGCTTCCCTGCCCTTTGTTTCAGTGTGGCTTCTTTAAGAGAAAATACCAGCAACTGAACTCGGACAGTGTAAGGAGGGCCCAGACGAAATCAGAAAATTCACTCACAGAAGATCAGGACCAGCTTCCTCGTGCATTGGGAGAGACCGTCAGCCTGTCCTCGAACCTGTAGAAACTTGGTGTTTTACTAATTACTTTTTCTTTTAGGATGATCTAGGGCAGAATTGAAGAAATTGTTTGTAGAATATTGGTTTTTAATAATACATTGTCCCAAATGTGTCTGTGCATTGTGCAAAAAATAAACTTGGGAAACATTTGGTATTAAATAGTATTAAACTGTTTTCTTTATAGAAGTGTCTTTGGCCTTGGCTGGTGTGGCTCATTGGGTTGGGTGTTGTCCTGCAAACTGAAAGGTCTCTAGTTTGATTTCCAGGCAGGTCACATGCCTGGGTTGCCGGTGGGGTCCCCAGTTGTGTTCATGGGAGAGGCAACTGATTGATTTCTCTCTTGCACATTAATGTTTCTCTCCCTCTCTTTCTCCCTCCCTTTCCCTCTCTCTATATGTAAAATTTTTATTAAAAAATATGCCCTCCAGTGTGGCAGATACTGGCCAGCAGTATCCACGGTCGCTGCAAATGCTTGAGATACGAGAGAAATACACACAGACTACTGAGTCCTGAGGAGGAATAGGGACGGCATGGCTACCCTCTCAAGGGGAGGGTGCTTCGGAGTGGTCTGGCCACTCTCTCAAAGGAGAGTGCCCTGAGCCGCTGCCTGAGTAGGCTTTTATTAGGTAGTTTTTGAGTAGGAATGCAGATACAGTTTATTAACCATTGTCTAGCAGTGAGGATCAAACAAGTAGATAAGTTCAAAGAGTTAGAAAGGGCTCACACTGAGTTGGGATCTTATCACCTAGACTACAGAATTTGAGGGGCCAGATTCATTTCCGGCCCGGGCCTTCATAATCTAATTAAGAGCATCCTCGGCAAAGGGGGTTTCACAGGATTTTACATATTCTTTTTTCAGGTCTAAACATCCCGGGAAGTCTGTTATCCCCAGCTTTGTCAAAGCTGAGGGGCTAGGGTCGAACACCCGCTCTTTTCCACAGCCCCCTGAGTCTTTCCCTGAGGGCCTTCGCATGTGATCGTGCCTGTCTGAAGTCCATCCTCCTCTGAGGAATATTACCCGTCATTGGCTAACCAACCAAGCAGTGGGGCCCGGCAAGGAGCAGGCAGTGCTCCTGCCAGGGAGATAAGCTTGTCTCCTTAGTGTCTCCTGGTCCCGAGGTCTCTCACTCAGCCTTAGCCATGGGGGGTTACAACTCCTGAAACCAGGCAGGGTGGTTCCCAACACTCCAGAATGGGGGAGTCTTGCAGATTTGCTAGTGGGCATGAGGAAGCAGTAGCCATTACTGGTGGTCTGTCTAAAAGAGGACCCCTTCCTAAGACCACGAAGAAGCTAGGACCACAGTGCAGGCCCCCAGGAGGGCCAGCAGGAGGCTTCTCCCCTTTCTCTTTCCTAAAGAGTGGGTTCTGAGTCTGGTTGGCCCACTCCTAGGACCCTGTAATCAGACTCAGTCCTGAGGGCAGAGTGTTTAGAGGATGGAAGGTGTGGCTTTTGGGGGAGGCTCCTCTCATCCAGGGCCTGGGAAGGGGGCCTGGACTAGCCCTGTGCAGAGGTCTGGCGGATGGATGCTCCTGGACTCTAGCTAGTGTCCTACCTGCCCTAGAGTGATCTTTCTTCTCTGTAGACCTGTGGGGGTCTGTGATTAAGGTTGGAATGCTGGGGTGGGAGAAAACAGTGGCTCTCACATGGTTCTGCAAACCGTTTCGATTTCCCGGTCTAGAAAAAAGCCACCAGACTAATTAAAATGCTACACTGGGGCTCGGGGTCCTTTGCATCCTGGATGAAAAAGTCACCGGTGGAATGGCTAGCTTGTTAAGGACTCCAGTACGTCTTAAGTGGTTTCTAGCTCTCACATGTGCCATGGGCCCCTCTGGCAGTCTGGTGAAGTCTCGGGACCCCTTCTCATCATTTCCCAGCCTTGGTTATGAAAGTGTCCAAATAAGTTGAATTTCACGGTGAATATCTGTCTACCCACCATCTGGTTTCTTCCATTAACATTGTACTATGCTTGCTTTATCATGTATTTTTCCATCTGTTCATCCATCATCTTGTTTATTTTTTAAACACATAAAAGTTTACGAAGAGCCAGTTAGATTGAACACGAGAATATTTTTAAAATTTGTGGTATGGAGATACATGTGCTTCTTTATTAATGCTTTAAGCAGCAGATCTAATAACTATGCTACTTTCAAAGTAATGATGACCTTAAAATGTATTTTGAGGTATTTATAGTACCTGTGAGGTGATGGATGGGAAAATACCTGTAGTTTCTATTGATGTTAAATATAGGTACTGCTAATCCGATGATGGTTTGTTGCCTATATTCATAATTGGAGGGATTGTTTAATTTCATCAAAGGGGTAGTAAAACTAAATAAGTAACACTTTTCCGTCCAACTTCACAGACTCTCTTCTCTATATGCTCTGGTCCATTTAATAAAAGCGTGTGTCCTGCCCCTGGCTCTGTACTCCAGCAGCTGATCCTGATCACTGAGGGCAGTCTTAGTTCTGTTGTGTGCTGGAGGAGACTGCTTGCCCAAGGCTGCAGGGCTGGTAAAGTGAGAGCCATGTTTCCCGTAGCAAGTTTTTGCATCTCCAGGTCCAGTGGGTTTTCTACAAAAGCTTGGTTACACACTGGCCAAGGCAGAGTGACTGTGGTGGTTTTCAGACTTTGCTGGGCTGAAGAGTGACAGTGGAGCTTAGCTCTTCAGGTTCCTCAGCCCTGCCCACTAAAGACGATGATGCTCAAGGCTGGCCTGGGAGTCGGCTTTTTTGGCAAGCACACCAGGTGATTTTGTTGCACGAGCTGTACGCTGTGCGATACCAGTTATAAGATCAGGGCTTGTTCACCTGATTACACTTTGTCAGTGGGTAGTGCTCAACACACTTCGAGTCTTTTTTTTTTAAATAGATTTTATTTATTTTTAGAGAGAAGGAAGGGAGGGAGAAAGAGAGGGCAAGAAACATCAGTATGTGGCTGCCTCTCATGTGCTCCCCACCAGGGACCTGACCCACAACCCGGGCATGTGCTCTGACAATCGAACTGGCAGCTCTTTAGTTCATGGGCCGGCGCTCAATCCACTGAACCACACCAGCCAGGGGCCACACTTAGTCTCTTGATGACTAAGAGGTTGCTTCAGGTGACAAATTTAACTTAATTCTCTGGTAGAATTAGCTCTTGAAATCTATGAATATACATACAAAAATAAAGGCTTAGCAACCTCAAGCATGCAGGCTAATGACAGAGGTAGAGTGATCAGGAATCATTCATCATCCCTTCCTCCCTTCTCTCCCCTCTCCCTCTTTGTCTCCTTCTTCTCTCCCTCCCTCTTCCCCTTGTCATTCTACAAGCTTCCCAGACTTCTGCATCATGGAGGTCCTGAGTACAGCATGGTAACGTCCTTTCCTTTCCTCATAGCCCTGGAACAACAGATAAAATATGTACCCAACTGTAACTCCATAAATTATACAGATCCTGTTCTTTGGAAATTTAGAAAAAGAAAGGGATCCAGGAGGGCTTTCATGGAGGCGAACCCTGTAAGCTGAGCCTTGAAGCCATGAAGGACAGAGGGAAGAGCAGCTGTGCAAAGGCAGGGCAGTTGGGACGTGAAGGATGGGTGAGGCATGGGAGCCCTGAGGCTGGGTGTGTGGAATGAGCGCTTGGCGGGAAGGGCAGGTGGGGACGGTAATAGCAATGAAGAATGCGAATCTCCAGAAGAACTGTGTACAAGGAACCACGAGGAAGAAGCCACAACCACTTGCAGTGTTTATATGAAGGTGTCTCCTTCCTTGTTTCATGGTTACCACAGTTCTGGGCACTTCAGAGTGGAGAGGAGGGCATGGTTGGCAGGGGTGTCACAAAGGTGGAGGAAGCTGCTGCAGGGAGCAGGAGGAAGAACAAGAGAGGGGAGCTTTTGCCGAGGTGTACGCGTTGTTACTGCTCCGTGGGTGTGGTTGACCCGAGTTTGAATCTTTATCCTTTTTCATGCCCAGTGGAGAAGCAATCTTTACTTTTTGCAAGTGTTTGAAACCTCAGTAGAGGTTTTCCCCAGGCCAAATTTTGAGAACTAAGTGATGAGTAACAACCCATCAATTAAGACAGGTCACGGGTGCTTTGATGGACTTGGAAATGCTTCCCACAGAGAGGAGCTTCATTTTTCCTGTTGACTGTATTGGAATGGCAATAATGCATTTGCTACTTCTTAAATGGACCAATAATGTCTATTAATGGAATGTGTTTATCATAGCAGGACTTCCAGAGCAGAAGAAAAATGAAAGGATAAATTGTAAAATGCTTTCCACGCCTCGCTTTTCCCACCCTCGTCCCTTCTGGGCCATCCAGGGTACAGAGGACTCTGAAGGAATGCTGGGTCTGGAGACAGCCCTTGGAGGCTTTGTGATGGATGACCTTTCGTGGCCCAGGAAAGAATCAAATCTCCTATCTCTAGGCCTTGCGTGAACCCTCCTCCTTTGGGGTGGGAAATAGAGTCACATTCACTATATGTAAGTAACATCTGAACCTTGACTCCAAGAATCACATTATTTGATGGGATTTGTGTTTTCTTTATTTTGCTTCCTTTAATTTTTTGGAGAACCCTTTCTGAGTTTGTTAGCCTCTCAGGCTGAAGGGAAAGCTCTAGTACTAGGGGAAGTCTTCACTCATGTGTCTTTGGAGTATGCAGGGTGAGTAAGTGCCACCTCCAAGTTGCTGATGGAAACACAATGGGACCCTGGGCATGTAGCTCAGTTGATTAGAGCATCGGCCCAATGCACCAAGGTCACAGGTTCGATCCCCAGTCGGGTCACATACAAGAATCAACCAATGAATGCATGAAAAAGTGGAACAACATATTGATGTTTCTCTCTTTCTCTCTAAATCAATAAAAAAATTATTTAAAAGAAACACAATGACGCTATTGACCACTGTCCTATAACCAATGGTTTCCCTCTTAGAACCTCCCTCTCATCCCCTAGAGAATGAGATTTTTTTCTTGATTGAAGGGGTGATAATTCTGCCTCTAAAGGCTCTCCCCATTGCACCATACTTGCTCCTTTGTAATCTATAAACTTCATAACAGGCACGGAGAATGGTATGGGGGAAAGGTGGGATTCAGAGGCAGGAGAGTCTCCAAGTAGAGCCCCCAGCACACTTCTTTGTGGGCAGCAGAGATGCTTGAGGGCCCACCATGTTTTTCACTAGAGACTGTCCCAGGACCCAGAGCTGAGCTAAATGATCCAGGAGTATATCCAAAGCACACAGAACAGTAGACTTAGAATGTTGGCAAATCTTAGGAGGAAGTTCAATATGTAAAGGGAAAAAGACCCTTTGTAAATTTATTTCATAATTCCCCATTACTTCACTGCTGGTACCTTAAACCAGGGGTCTCCAACCCCTGCGGCCTGGAACAGGAACTGGTCTGCAGTCTGTTAGGAACCTGGCCCCATAGCTGGAGGTGAGTAGCCAGCCGGCTTCTCCAGTTACCACCTGAGCTCCCCCTTCTGTCTGTCTCCGCCCTCCCTCCTCTCTGTGGAAAAATTGTCTTCCACGAAACCGGTTCCTGGTGCCATAAAGGTTGGGGACCGCTGCCTTAAACCATCCCACTAGACAAGGTCCCATGAACCAGATGAGAATGATTCACTCACCAGTCCTTTTCTTCTGGGTAGATAGCATTATAAATGAAGCCTGATTGGACTCTTTTGAGGGAGGGGAAGAGAGGGACACAGTGATGAGGCAGAAAGAGTAACCATTCACCCCTGACCCCTGACCCAGGGAGTGAAGTTTAAAGGCACCCAGTCGGTTCCTGGCAGACCAGGTTGGAGCTCTTGGCCCCTGGCAGCCCTGCCGAAGGTGCCCTTCCATGGACTGATCCCCCACTCCTGAGGCATCATGGGAGAGCCCATTTCCCCTCAGGAAGTACTCTGTGACCAGGTGAGCTGGTTCTGTTCAGGCCCCAGCAGGGCAGCTATGTGAGCTGCACACAGAATGTCATCCAGAGAAAGCCCAAGGCCCTAGAGGACAGATCCCTTCAGTGGATGGCCCGAGACTTTCTGCTAGTCTCAGCTTTTCAGGTGACCTGGGACCTCCTTCCATCAAGTGTGAAATGGCTGCACAGTCACCTCTCTGGTGGGGATCACAGTGAGTCAGGCCAGCTGATGTGAAGACTAAGGCACTGTGCTCACGGCCACGGTAGGGAGAATTTCTGAGGCTGGGAAGCCAGGCCATGTGGGTTCAAATTCCGGCCCCAACACTCACTGGAGGTGTGGTCAGAGACACATCTACCCTCTTAGGGAAAGGTAAGGATAAAAATTGTACCAATTACATAGGCTTGTGATGAGTAAATGAGCCCATACACATAAGGCATAGAGAACAGTGCTTGGCAAGTGGGAAGTGCTGGTGAGCATTCACTATGGTAACGGTGGTGAAGAGCAGGCAGAGAGGGCGCCTGGGGCTCTGGGACTGCTGACATGGGGTCAGGGAGAAACCAGAGAGGTCATCACTCAAAAGCAGCAGGCAGTTTTCTCTCATCTTGGTTTTAGGAACACCTGTGACTTGGGTTTTTGATAATGCAGATGTAAGAACAAAGGCCCCTGCTCCTGCTTTGGCTATGAAGAGCATTGGGCCTGACCTTGTGGGTGGTGAGCGGGCCCCAGCCTTGTGAAGGTAGATTGCAGATACCGGGGTTTGCGGCTTCTGGGAAATATTTTTCACATCGTTTTGCCCATGACCCCCAGGAAGAAATAGATTCTGTATCATAATGTCTTCTGTACATCTCATACATCAAACAACAACTTCACAAAACCATGACTACCCTTACTTGTTATTTTTAAAATGTTTATTAATTAATTTGATAGAGAAACATCGGTTTGTTGTTCCACTTATTTATGCATTCATTGGTTGATTCTTGTATGTACCCTGGCTGGGCATCACACCCACAACTGTGGCATATTGGGACAACACTCTGACTAACTGAGCTACCTGGCCAGGGCTTACCTTTACTTCTGTAAACACACATATTTTCTACCTCTTTCTTCCTCTCTCTCACTCTCTCTCTCTGACATCCTGGTTGTGACCCAGTAAATTGACTTCATGATCCACCATTGGGTCAGGACCTAGTAGTCTGAGAACCTGTGCTATGAGGGAGCCCCCAGGAGGGGTCTGGCCCAGCCCTGGGGACAGCCCTTTTCCCTCTGGTCATCCCTCATGTGGTCTCTAAACGTTCAGGATAGTTGTGTCAGAAATTGGAGCCTGGTCTTGGCTGGGCTATGGTGGGGTTCAGGAAGGGCTGCCCACACCGGAGGGCAAGTGAGAGCAGAACCCCTTCTCTAAAGCCACAAGGGGCAGTTATGACAAGCCAGAGGGCAGGGAGCTTGGCACTGCAGCCTCTCAGTAGCACACAGTAGGTGCTCAGTAAAGGTTTAAGGAAACAAGAATACGGGAGAGTGCCCTGGATTGGGGCTCGTCCTAGACTCTTCCCTGTGGCCTCGGGCCTCAGTTACTCCACCTGCAAAATGAAGGCCTGGCCTCTGGGGGATCCCCCAGCAACATGAAGAGACCACAAAGCCTGGAACTGCCTTGGGAAGTGGGGAAACCCAGTGTGGCACCATCCTATGTTCTGCTTGTGCTGGGTAGGGGCCCTGTGGGTGGGGGGAAGCTTTCCAGCCTGGAACCCAGACCGAAAGCTCCTGAAAGGGCACCTCCCCATGGACTCCGACTGAGGGGCATCTTCATAGGTGGGATGTCACTCCACTGAGGCTGCAGATCCCCTTAGTGTTAGAGAACCGTGTGAGGGGAGGGCTGAGGAAGAGGCTGGCAGGACATTGAGGAAGGAAGTTCTGGTGACAGTTTCCAAGCCCTTTCTCCAGGATGATGTCAACTTCTAAAATCCCTTGTCATGAGTGGGATAGGGTGGCAGCTCCAAATCCCTTTTTTGTTTAAAAAATCAGGCCTGAGACCTAGCCAGGTAGTTCAGTTGGTTAGAGTGTCATCCTGATATGCTAGGGTTGTGGGTTCAACCCCCAGGCAGGGAACATGTAGAAATCAACCAATGAATGCATAAGGACGTGGAACAGCAAATCAATGTCTTTCTCTCCCTCCCTCTCTCTCTGAAATCAAAAAATTAAAAAGATTTTTAAAATCTTGGGCCTGAGTTTGTTTCCTCACTCAACAAACATGTACTAAACTGTTACATGGCAGGCATAACAGTGGGCGTGGGATACAGAGATGTCCAGGGGTAAGGTCCCCGGCCTTCTGGAGCTTATGGTCCTAGTGCAGGACAGTCAATAAGTAAAGGAGACACATCCAAGAATGGCATGTGCTCTAAGGAAATAAGAAGAGGTAACGGGGTAGGAAGTTACTGGGGTGGGGACTACTTTTGGTGGGTGGCAATAACAACAGGCCTTTTTGAGGAAATGGCATTTGAGCTGAAACTGATGAAAAAGTGCAAAGATCTGTGCCCCCCAAAGGACAGTTCAGAGCAAAATGCTGATTCCCAGGCCCCACCCTAGATATAGCAAATTAAAGTTTTAGGGGCAGGGCCCAGGAATCTGCATCTCCTCCAAATGATTCCCATGCACACTAAAACTGGAGACCTGCCCTGGGCTTTTGCTTTTTAGAGGAAATCATACCTGGTGAACATCAGGCTCCCTTCCGACACCCAGAACCTGTGGTTCAGGGAAGGGAAGTTCTTGGGTGTGAGGGCCAGGCTCGGAAGCTGAGGGGGTTTCTGGCTGGATGGCAGGGTGCAGCAAGCCCATGAGCAAGCCCAGCTCCTCCCACACTAAAAGGATTGCTCACTGGGGCCTCCTCTCTGTGGCTGATCTCTGAGATGCCCTCCCTCACCCCTGCTATGAGGGTAGCCATCTTGGAGGCCTAGATTAGGTCTCTTGCTCTGGGAACATTTCAAACAGGTTGGCACAGACCTTTGCTGCAGATGTATTTTATGATCCGGGGCCTTGGTTGCCTGTACCTCCCTACCCCCACCCATCTGCCCAGGTGTGGTACACAGCTCTTCATGCTGTGGGCACTGGGACCTGCTTAGCAACCGACTCCCCAGGGGTGGGCGTTTTACACCTGCCATAGCTGCTGCAATGGGAGCACCCACTTGATTACAAGGTGCCATGGCTCTGTCACGTCTTGGTTCTCTCCTGGCCTTTGTGGTGGGGGCCTGGGTTCTCCCAAGGAGTGAGGAAAACCCAGAAACCTGTTTTATTCACCTATAAATGCTCTTTCCCCCTTTTCACACCCACTTCCGGTGCTGCAGGGTCTTGCTCCCTTGCCCTCTGTTTCCCCATCTATTCCATGGGAGGAACTGCTGCGATTTCTTCGGCAGTAGAAAAAGGGGGGAGGGGAGATTTGCTTTAAAAGAGCTCTTCTCTCATTCCCTGGTCTCCTCACTCCGCCCGTGACGCCTGAGGCACGTGTGGTCTCCAGCCTCCGCTGGGGCTTCCCACGCCAGTGGCGGGCGGACGGACCTGTCCGCTGGTGTCACTGTCAGCTCAGGGAGGAGAAAGGGGTGGCAGCAAGGTCGCAGGGCGCAGGGCGCCGCTCGGCGCTGCCCACGCCCAGGTCCCCGCAGTGCTGTCCGGGGGCGGGCAGCGGGCAACCAGCGCTCACTCTCCCCGCCCGCCCGGGCCCGGAGGAGCCACGCTCCGGGCCCTGTAGAGCGGAGGCCGGCGTCCCGGGCTGGGAGGCCTGGGCAGCGCGGAGGCGGCAGGCGCAGGAGTCGGGCGGGGGCGGCTCCCATGAAGCATACGCGTGGCGGCTCAGTCCCCAGGCCCAGGTGAGACAGCACCATGGGGCAGGCGGGCTGCAAGGGGCTCTATCAGTCGCTGTTCGACTACAAGACCGAGAAGTATGTCATCGCCAAGAACAAGAAGGTGGGCCTGCTCTACCGGCTGCTGCAGGTCTCCATCCTGACCTACCTGGTGGTGTGAGTGCTTGGGGGCTTGCCGAAAAGGGGGTCGGGGGGCAGCAGCGGTGGCCTTTCCAGGGCCCGGGAGTAGGCCGGTATGGGCATGGTTGGGGGTCTGTGACCCTCCTTGGGAGGCACTCTCCCTGAGCTCTTAGGTGTAAGGGTGTGGGGTAAGAAGGGAGCCCTCTACTCCCAGACATCAGCTCTGGAGGTGACAAGATGCGGCAGGGGCTTCTTGGTGCCTTGATCTATGAGGCTTTCCCCAGGCAGCTCCCTCCTCCAGGCCTGGAGCCCCCGTGCTAGGGCTGTGGGAAGGGGTCAAGGATGCAGGGGGCTGGGCTGCAGCTGTCGCTGGGGAGCCTCACACACTGGGCAGGTTATTTATAATCACTGAGCTCAGTGCCAAGCCTCCAGCTGGGACAACTCATGAGCTTGGCACGTCCCTCTGGTCAACTCACCCAACCCGACGCTGGCCGCTCTGGTGTTCAGCTGGGGGTCCTGCCCAGGTGGTCTGCCCTACCCACATCTCCCTCCCATCTGGCAGAAGCTGGTGCCATCTGCAGAGGGCAGCTCCTTGAGGTTGTTCAGGCAGGCACTGTCCAGAGCCCTCACCCCTGAGTAGGGAGGGGTTAGGTGGGGAGAGGAAGTGACAGCAAAAGACTGGGATGCAGATGCACCTTTTTTACTTCTTCAGTAAATGCTGTTGAGTCCCTCCTATCTCCTGCTTGGGGGAGGAGCAGATGCACCAGCTGGGAGGGCAGGCCTGGCATTCCCCCAGCTTACTCCTTAAGGCACCTGGCTGTCTCCTACCTGTTCTTTAACCAGGGGGCCTTCCTCCTCTACCTGGGCAATAGTGTCTACTCATTTTTCCCACCTGGGATGTCCCATAGCTCCCTCTCCTTTACTTCCCACATGTCAACTAATTTCCCACAGTGTAATTATATGCTTGTTTGGAGACTCGATTGCTGAATGTCTGTGTGACTCCCCACCAGGCTGGCAGGGGCCTGGCATCACCTAGCTGCTCAGGCAATAGGTGTGAAACGAATGAGTGAGTGAACGTTCCTTGAGTATTTGTGGCATGTTTCTGTCCAGGCCAGGCCCCGTGTGTCCCCCTCCCCCCCAAAAACAGCTGCTTGGCCCCAGGGTCTCAGCCCTCTCAGAGTTCCTAGAGACAGGACAGCCTCGGGCCCAGGACGTGATGCTAGCCCTGCCCCCAGAGATGAGGAGGGTGGACACCTCCTGGTTGGCACCTGACATACAGAGAACTCTTCCTGGCATCCTGGGAGGTGCAGGGCATCCCTCATCACCACAGCGTGACCTCTCCCAGCCTCAGTTTCCCCAGCTTTCCCAAGGTCTGGCTAGCCTAAATGATCTCTGACATTAACAGGAACACCAGCAAGGCATCGACGAGTTGTGTTCATGGAGCTCTTCCTCTGGGGCACACACTTCCTAGAGTAGTACAAGAGTAGTACAAAACTTTTAATGCCCTTCCCTGGATTCCCCAAATGTTAACATTTTACCACATTGGTGTTGCCCCACCTTCTCCATATATATGCAATGTTTTCTGGCTGCGTAAGAGTCAGTTGCAACGTGATGCCTCTTTGCTCCTGTATCCTTCACTGTGTATTTATTCAAAATAAGGAATTCTCTTATTCAACCTGGTACAAGTAGGAAGAGTAGGAAGTTAACACTGAAATGTTATTATTGTCTAAGCTATAGACCGTCTGTAAATTGTCCCAGTAATTACCTTTATAGCAAGGACAAATCTGGGCTCACACCTTGCACTCAGTTGTCACGTCTTCTTAGGCCCCTTTCATCTGGGATTGTTCCTGAGTCTTTGTATTTCATGACACTGACCTTTTTTGGAAGAATACAGATTTTTTTTTAAAAAAACATTTTACATTGAGATAAAATGCGTGGAACATATAATCCACCCTTTTAAATTACAGGACGACATGGTGTTTAGTACATTCACAATGTTGTGCAGCCATCCCCATGACCAAATTCCTGCACATTTCCATCACCCACCGCGAGGAAAACTGTACCTAGTAACAGTCAGTCATGCTTCTCCCCACCTCCATCCCTTGGCAACCGCTAATCTGCTGTTTGTCTCTATATATTTGTCTATTCTGGCCATTTCATATAAATCAAATCATACACGATGTTCTTATGGTGGTGGGGGGCTGGCTTCTTTTGTTTGTTGTAATGTGTTCAAGGTCCATCCCTGCTGTAACCTACGTCAGCACTGCATTCCTTTCTACGGCCGAGTCCATATCCCACGGGGAGGCTCTGCCACGTTTTGTTGATCCACTCATTGGTTGGCTGACATGTGGACTGTTTCTGCTCTTTGACTATCATGAATAATGCTGCTAAGAACATTCATGTGCAGGTTTTTGTGTAAACATACGTCTCAGTGCTCTTGGGTCTACCTGCTGGGTCACGACAGCTTGCTGAGGAACTGCCAGCAGCGTCCCCCAGCAGCCACACTATGTTACGCCTCCGTCAGCAGTGCTCCTCTCTCCACCTTCTTGCCGACACTTATTATTTTCCACTTCTTCGGTTCTAGCCATCTCATTGAGTGTGGAGTGGTATTTCATTGTGGTGTCTATTTGCACTTTCCTAATGACTAATCTTATGAAGCATCTTTTCATGTGCTTATTGGCTTTTTGTATATGTTTTTTGGAGAAATGTCTATTCAAATCCTTGGTCCATTTTTAAGTTAGGTTATTTGTCTTTTGTATTGTTGAGTTGCAAGACTTTTTAAAATATATATTCTGGATACTAGATCCTTTCCAGTTATATGGCTCACAAATGTTCTCTCCCCTCCTGTAGGTTATCTTTTTACTTTCTTGATAGTATATTTTGATGCACAAAAGTTCTTAATTTGGGTACAGTCCAACTTATCTATTTTTCTTTTGTTAATCGAGTTTGGGTGTCAAAAGGTACTGTATAGTTTTCACACTCTAGTTTTGCAGGCTGCCCCTCAGTTGGGGTTTGACTGAGGTTGCCCCATGCTTGGCTTCAGGTCCTTTGGCCCCCTCACCACCTGGAGGGGGTGCCGTTACACGGTGAACCCCCATAGCTCAGCGGCTTGCCCTCAGTCATGTGGCCAGTTTGAGGGTGAGCGTGTCTCATATCAAGTCCTCCCAGCCCCACTGAGAGCAGCGCACTGTGGCCTGGGGTTGGTGTCACCTCTGCTGCTTGTAGGACAGGGCTTCAGGCAGCAGCGGGAGTTGTGACCCAGTCCAGGAGCGGGTGGGAAGGGTGGAGTCCTAAGCCTGTCCCACTCCCCCTGGGCTTGGGGAAACCTGAGGGCGGTGACAAGGCTGATGCCCTCCTTGCCGGTCTCTTTCCCACAGGTGGGTGTTCCTGTTGAAGAAGGGTTACCAAGACACGGACACCTCCCTGCAGAGCAGCATCATCACCAAAGTCAAGGGTGTGACCTTCACCAACACTTCGGAGCTGGGGGAGCGGCTCTGGGATGTTGCTGACTATGTCATCCCCCCCCAGGTCTGAGCCCCACCCAAGCTGGCAGGGCCTGGCTGGGGTGGGTCACATGGGAAGCTGCTCTGGGACCCAGGGACCTCGATCTATTGTCTCCCTTGGCCCAGAATGGCTGCCAGAGTTTATTAATAGAGACCCCATCCATATCCTTCCCCTATTCCTGCCTCCTTCCCTCCTTGACTATGCCTCATGGCACCACCGCTCTGTCCCCAACAAACCCTGTGCCTGCTGAGACCAAATGGGGCTCAGAGAGTTTCCAGGTCAGAGGAGGCCCCTTAGATTGGCCCCTGGCCTGTTCACAGTCCACTTGGGCCGGAGCTGCCCCTTCACTGCTCCTTCTCTTCCCAGATCTCGGCTGGGACCCCAGAGGCTGAGGCCAGGATAGGGATGTATGGGGCAGGAGCAGTTTGTGGGTATGGGCCTGGGGTGAACCTATTAGAGGACATCTGCTTGGGACTCTGAGGTCAGTGGGCAGAAGGGTGGACAGGATCCACTGATTTTATGGCCCCATTTTCCCCAACGCCCATGCAGAGACTCCACCCCCTGCTGGGCAGCCCTGGGAAGGAGGGTCCCTGAGAGGGCACAGGGAGGTTCCTTAACTCCTGTCTGTTTCCTCAGGGAGAGAATGTCTTCTTCGTCATCACCAACCTGATCGTGACCCCCAACCAGCGGCAGGAAACCTGTGCAGAGGTTTGGTCTGGCGAGGAGAGCTGGGGAGGTGGTGGGAGGCCCACTAGCACTGGTTGGCCTCTACCCTCCTCCAGAAGCAGGGGTTCCTGTCCCCTCCAAGGGCTCTGGGGGGGTGTGGGGGGCATGTACCTGCACCGTTTGGGGGAGAAACAGGTTCTCAAAGGGTGTGTGGCCCTGGGCAGGGGAGGAACCTCTCCCAGCTCCCAGGGTGGGACCTGGCTTGGAGCTGGGAGGCCTGCGGGCACCTCCACACAGGCGCCCTTCCTCTCCTGGTAGAGCGACAGCATTTCCGACGCCTTGTGCTATGAGGACAGCGACTGCCCTCCTGGGAAGCCTGTCATGACTGGAAATGGTGAGGCCTGGAGTGGCCAGGGCTGGGGGCAATAGAGGGCCTGGAGCTGGGGGACTCCTGGCACTGTCCCTGTCCCACCCTGCAGGAGTGAGGACTGGCCGCTGCCTGCGGGCGGAGAACCTGACAAGGGGAACCTGTGAAATCTTCGCCTGGTGCCCAGTGGAGACAAAGTCCAGGCCAGAGTAAGTGGCTGGGTTCAGGACCCCAGGAGTCACCTGGTCCTGTGTGGCGGGGCCCAGCCTGACAGTGGAGACACACCCATGGGGACCCTCATTCTGAGGACACCCCACAAAGGCCTGAGCACCACCCCAACATGAGCATATGAACTGTCCTGCCAAGGCTCCAGGGCGCCCAGGGAGCAGGTGGCCTCAGCCCCACCACGGGACTGGGGGCGGTGCAGAGTGGGGCAGGGCTTCCTCACTGGCTGTCCCGGCTTGGTTTTCAGGAAGCCACTCCTGGGCAAGGCTGAAGACTTTACCATTTACATAAAGAACTTCATTCGTTTTCCCAAATTCAACTTCTTCAAGTATGTGGGGCTCAGCTACTATCCAGGGGTGGGGCCTTGGCTGGCCCTCCCCATGGCTGTGCGGGGTCCCTGTGTATGTGTGTGTGTGTGTGTGTGAATGAGCCACTGGGGGTGCCGTGGGGGTGGGGCTCTGCTCTCCAGCACAGTAGGATGTTAGCGTGGGATGTAGGTGCGGATGTAGGCGGGGCTGGAGGGGAGGGCTGAAGTCTGGGACTAGGCCTGGGCTGGGTGAGGACCCCTGTGACTCCTGGGTCAGATCTAGTTTCTGGCCTGGAAACAGCAAGTCTCCCTTCGTTTCACTGTCTGCTCATGGCCTCCTCCCAGGACCAATGTGCTGGACACCAAAGACCTGAAGTACCTGAAGTCCTGTCACTTTGGCCCCAAGGACCCCTACTGCCCCATCTTCCGACTGGGATCTGTGGTCAAGTGGACGGGAAGCAACTTCCAGGAGATAGCGCTGCAGGTGGGTGGTCTGTGCCCAGGGAGCCTTCCCTGGAGGCCCGAGGGCTCTGGGCCTGGGCTCTGTATTGAGAAGGGAGTGTGTGTGGGGACCCATGGGGTGGGGTGGCCCTGCAAAGTCACCTGCCCCAGGAGCTGCTGCTTGCAGGATTTGCTGTGACACACAGCCTGTTCGGACACTCGGTGAGGGGCATACTCAGCACCTGCCGTTTGGCTCTCAGGCACTGGGGCAGCAGCTGAACCTGAACCAGAAGGAGCCCCCAGCACACCCTGGTTTGGTGTAAGGCTCCTGCCTGTTGTAGGTGCTCACTCGGGCAGTTCTTGTCCTCTTTGACGCATGAGGCAGGAGGCCACTGGGGCTGGGAGCTGTCAGCAACGCACTTTTCCCAGCCTCTCGTGGGCCTTCTACCTACCTTTCTTCCAGAAGGGCGTACCAGCCAGGCTGACCCCTGGCACCAGCACGTCCCCCAGCTTGTCCAGCTCTCTGTGAAGAGCTGCTCTGTGACTACTGTCCTTCTCCAAAAACTCCTGTGCACCGACTCCTGTCTCTTTTCCCCCCAGGGTGGTGTGATAGGGATCCAGATCGAGTGGGACTGCGACCTTGACAAAGCCCCTTCTGAATGCAACCCTCGCTATTATTTCAGCCGCCTGGACAGCAGATTTCCAGGGAACTCTGTCTCTTCCGGGTATAACTTCAGGTAACTGGGGCTGTGCCTGCTGCCTTATGGCTCTGTCCATGTTTTGTGTCCTTTCCTAGGTGCCAGCGCTATGGCAGCCCTTCCTGGGCATCTGTGTCAGAGGGGGAGGTGAGGGAGAGACAGCTGAGGAGAGGTGAGGGTGGCCTTCTGTAGGGCCTCTGGGGGAGGAGAGAAGAGTCAGCCATTGCCCTGGGCGCGCCGTGATGCTGAGGCTTGACTGCTCAGCCGGATCAGCTCCATCAGTGCTTTGGTGACCCCAGGATGGCCCAGCACGTGGTGGGAAAGGTCTTGTCTCTTGGGGAATGTCTAGCAAGGACTTCAAAGGTCTGGATGAATTTTTAGCATAAGGTCAGCAAGAAGGTGGGCAGCTTCTGGAGCTGCTGTGAGCCAGGTCCTGGGAGTGCTTATAAATCTCCCAGGCAGCCGAGCCTGTGTTGCCAAACAGGGAGGGCCCAGCGAGGCTGAGGTCTCCCCTGGGCTGTGTCTCCCCAGGTTTGCCAAATATTACCGTGATGGAGCTGGGGTGGAGTTCCGTACCCTGATGAAAGCCTACGGGATCCGCTTTGATGTCATGGTGAATGGCAGGGTGTGTGAGCTGGGCAGGCCCAGGGCGGGGCAGACGTGTTGGGCGGGCTCTGCTTGGAGTCCCTGGGGATCCTGCTGTCCACCTGCCTCCCTCACCATGCCTGTCTCTCTCTCTGCTTCAGGCAGGGAAGTTCAGCATCATCCCCACAGTCATCAATGTGGGCTCGGGGGTGGCACTCATGGGTGTTGTGAGTACCTCTCCCTTCCTTCTCCTTTACTCCCTGAGCACCAGTGGGGGAGGGGGACACTGCCCCCCGGGAGCTGTCCTGATGCCCCAGAAAGAGCTGTCCTGTCAGTGCAGATGCCGGTAAAGAGGCCCTTCTGGAACTTCATGCCCCTGTAGTAGTCCCTGGGGGCAGGGAGTTTCTCTTTCCAGGGCCAGAGAGGCATCTGCCTGTTGCTCTGGAGCTGGGGTTGCGGCTGGGGTTCTCTGGGATGCTGGATTGGCCCCTGAACTTCTTAAGCCTCATCTCCACTTGTAAAGAGAGGTAGGATCCAACTATATACAGGGTTTCTCAGCCGTTGCCCTGTGAAACAAGGAACTGGTAAAAAAATGTTTTCGGCATCTGGGGGTGGGGGCAGAAAGAGGTGTGCAGAGCCCAGGGTCAGAGGACCAGGTGCCCCTGTGGGCACATCCACCAACCTGCTTCTGTCCCCCACCCTCTCCTCAGTCATTTCGGAAGCCCCCTCTGTGTTGCCGGTGGATTCGCCCTCTGGTGGAGGAGGCGGGCATTTGCACCAGGCAGTCTGGTCTGAAGTGCAGGTGCTCAGGTGTCAGTGGGTCCCAGCTGGGTTAGCTCAGGCCGCCGCCTCTTTCCTGGGCCACCGCTGTGGTGTCCTTGTTGTTCAGATCCCCTCCAACCCATCGCTCATGCTCACTCCCAGAAAGATCTTTTTAAAATGCCACGATTGTGTGTACAGCCCCCATTCAAAGCCCTCAGTGCTGCCCCCTACAGGATTAGAACCAATGCCTTGAAGAAATTTTAAGGAGCTTTGCAGGTTCTTCCCCACAGGACCGTGGAATTTCCCAGGCGGAATAAGCTTGTTCCTACCTCTGCAACGCCCTTCTCGAGCTTCGTTTTTCCCTTCATACAAACTTCTATTCAGCCCTCCAGACTCAGCCCAAGCTGAGTCAGGTCCCGTCTCCTCTTGGCTCCCTTGCTCCTCTCCAATCACAGGACCTGTCATTCTGTGCTGTCAGTTACGTGCTTGTCTCCTGCACCAGAGGGACAGTCACCAGGGAGCCTCATTGTCTTATTCCTCCCTGCACCCCAGCACAGTACCTGGCCCATGGTGAACGCTCTGCAAACACCTGATTTGATGGGGTCAGGGTAATGTGGGAGGTGCTTAGCCCAAAGGATCGGATGGATGCCAGGCTGACCTGGGTTCTACCATGGACCAGCTTGGTGGCCTTAAACAAAGGTCCTCTTTTGGAGCTCAGTTTTCTCACCTGTGAAATGGGGTCAGTGATGCCCCCTTCTGGGACTGTGACAGGATCGAATGGGATCTATGTAGTATGGTCAAATGGCTGTGGGCTCTCCAGAAGCCTATGGTTCTAGGTCAGAGACCCCCAACTCTTCTGCAGGGGTCTTTCCTCTGTGACCTGGTACTCATCTACCTCATCAAAAAGAGCCACTTTTACCGCAACAAGAAATTCGAGGAAGTAAGGTGAGTTACACTTCCTCCCCAGTGGCCCTCCCTTGGGGAGCCCTGTGGAGATGGCTCTGCCAGCCCCCCCACCCCTGCCCTGTCTCAGGACCTTTACCCTGGGTAGATGCCTTCCCTAAGTGCCTCTCGAAATGGAAGTTCTGGAGCCGCCCTTGCCTCCAGAGGGTGTTGGCTGTGCTGACAGGTGGCCCATGGACTGCCCTTCCCTGGGGCAATGTCCTGGGCAGTCTGTTGGTTCTGCAGGTGTGACCACGGCCTGGTGCAGGAGGGAGCCCTGGGCTGGGTCAGGAGGTGGCCTTCAGGCCTGTCCGGCCTCTGCCTCCTGTGTGCCCTTGAGGTGGGGCCTGGCCCTCTCTGGGCCTGTTTCCCCCTACCCCCATTTTGCCTTCCCCAGTGGAGGCCGTACACAGGAGCCCCTGCTGCTCAGCCAGGCTCAGTTCTGTGCCTCTCCTCTTGTAAGCCACATCCCGGGAGGAGGGAGTTCACTGGCCTGGGGTGGACTTTACTTCCGCCCCAGCTTTCATTCTTTGCTGACTCAGGGGTTGGCAGCCTCCAGCCAGGAGCTGGGCCTGGGCAGGGAAGGGGTAAGGAAAGGACTGGGATAGAAAGGAAGGGCAAAGGGTGGAGAGGAGTGCAGGAAGAGAGCTTGTAGGGCCTGCAGCAGCTGGGGCAAGAAGGAGGAGGAGGCTGGGGGTTGGCTGGGGTAGGCCGGGCACCCAGCCACCCCCACATGCTCTCTGAGCTGACTGTCACTTCTTGGGTGCTTGCCTGAGCTCCTTAGCCTGTGACAGGGAAGAAGGGCCACCCTGCCGGTCTCGGAGCAGCCTCACCTGTTGTGGGAGGCATGAGGCTCCACCGCCGTGGCTGCTGCTCATTGCTGGGACAGCTCCAGAGGCCTCCTCAGCCTGAGCACCTGTGTGTGTCTGGGCTGCAGCCAGGGAACCCAACACACTGCCTGTCTGTGCAGATACTCTGGTTGCCTGCAGAGCTGCCAGCCAGAGGCTGCTGTGGGTGGAGTCTTCTCTTGGGGAGGCTGTCCCTGTCCGCAGGGTTCCCAACTTCCCCTTCCCTGCTCCCCACAGATCTGGCCACCCGGTGGTGGTGAACGGAAAGGCGAATGTGGAGCAGCTGCAGAACCTGCAGACAGTGGAGGCATAGCCAGAGACATGGGCTGAGAGTGGATTTGGTGAAGACGTCGGGGTAGACTCTGGCAGCTCTGAACTGGAACAGCTCCAAACTGGAACGGCCTCCTGTCTGTGCCTGTGTGGGACCGGGGCTTCCAGACACTACCACCTCTCCTGCATGTTCGGATCTTCCTGCAAGCTTTTTGTTGTGTGTGTGGGGAGGGGAGCCTCCCAGTGGCCAGCGTGGCTCAGATCTAGAAGAGGAGACCCTGGAGAGGGAAGGGGGCCGGCCAGGGTGTCACTGATATAAGAGCATTTTCATTTTTTCTGAGAACCTAGCTGGACATTCATTCACTCAATATTCATACATGCAGTAAACATTTTTTTGCTGTGGGCTGGGCCCTGTCTAAGAGATTCTCAAAAGAGACGCTGACCTGGCCTCCAGGGAGGGGCACACACTTGTCATTCCTTTCAGAGACAACCGACATCACAGACAGGCTCAGCCACTCGGGCCTTCCTCCAGCCTCTAGGTGAGACTTGCACAAATTCCTGTAGAACACGATGGCTCCTCAGAGAAAGACCTCTGCCTCCAGGGATTCAGTTTAAACGTGGCCAAGGGGGGGCAACCAGGAGAGGACTAAACACTTCAGGAGGCAGCTGGCCCTTGAGGGGACAGGCAGCCTCTGAAGGCTTCTGGGTAAGGTAGGGAAGGGGAGGCAGGGGCCTCTGCTCCAGCCTGGGGAGGCTCTGGGCACAGCAGCTCATCCACATGGGTGATCGTTGCCTGTGATTTGGCTCTGGCTGTTCTGTGGGGTTGGGTGTCTCTGCCCAGCTTTCCTCCCTCTCTCCTCAAAGGCTGGCTGGGTTTGCAGGGCTAATGACATGGTGCTCACTCGGCAGGTGGAAACCCTTACCAGGGGTCCCTCCACCTCACCCCTGCCCCTTGTCCCCCCCGCCCCTCCACCACAGCTGCACCCTGCAGAACTCTGCTGCTTCCCTCACCTGATGGCTGTAGAGCTTCATTATCCAAAGTGTGGTCCCTGGACCGGCCGAATCACGTCACCTGGGAGCTTGTTAGACGGGCAGTCTCCGGTCCCTCCCTTTCTCCTAAGTCGGAACCTGTGTTTCAACAATGCTCCCCAGTCGTTCACGTGCCCTGTACATTTTGAGAGGCTCTGGTTGAGGAGAGCTGCGAAGCCCGGTTCTGAGGGAGCAAAGAGCCAGCTTCGGTGGGTGGTGCTGATTTCTAGGTCAGAGTCACACACATTCTACCTGGAGGCTGGCAGGATTGCCCCTCCCTGCTCGAGGGAAAGGAGCATCACAATCCATTTAAATTCAAGTGTTTGAACTAGATTATACATGATTCAAAATCTGAAAGGTACAAAAGAATAGAGTGGACGCTTCCCTCCCAGCCCTGTTCTCAAGGCAACCTGAGTTTCCAGTTCAAAGAGGCTCCCTTGTTTTCAAGCAGAGAATGCACTTGGTCCCTTGTGTCCTCCCTCAGGAAATGAGCGTTCCCTCACACGTGCAGCGTCAGGCCTCGGCTCCTCTGTCAGGGAGGAACACGGAGCAGCTTCAATACCGTGCTGGGAGGCAGCTGGTGCGCTTCCCCTCTCCCAGGTCTGAGAAGCCCCTGTGCAAACTGAAGGGGAGATGCCGAGAACTCATCACCGCGCGGCAGCAAAGGCCACCAGGGCTGTGTTCGCACGGCCGCAGGCCCCTAGGCCGCGTCCTCTTTGGAAGTGATCTCTGGGCCTCCCTCCTGTTTTGGGGGGTGGGGCTGGCTCTTCTCTGCACACAGAGGAGAAGGTAAGCTTCCTTCTTGTGGGGCCTTTGGAGAGGGTCAGCAGGGTCTGAACGAAGGTTTCTGGAGCAAGCAGCTCCCTCCCTCTGGGCTGCCGGGTAACCAGTCCGCAAGCCCACCTGCTCTCTGCGTGGAAGGTGAACAACCTGGGCCATCCATGACGGTGCTTTGCTTCATCACTAAAGCAAACCCTTGGACAGAGTACTGCAGCACGTTTTATGTTTGGGAGGAAGTGAAAAAGGTCAAGCTGCTCAGGAAGTTGTCTGGTTGCTCTTAACCTGTTTTTGGAATTGCCTGCCAACAGCCATAAAACCTAAAAACAGTTGTGCTATTTATTTTACATTGGAATGAAATGTCTTCCTACACTATTCAGTCAGTAAAGATTTACTGAATACCTATTGTGTCAAGTGTTGGATTAAATGCTGGTGATACAGTGGCAAGCAACACGGGAACAGTCCCTGCCCCAGCGCTTCCAGCCCTGGGGGGCTGAATCACCAGCAGTCACACAGGTCACTACAGCCCAAACTGTGTTTTCAGTGGAGTAGCCAGTGGAAATTTCCTTCAGAAAGTGACATAGAAATTGAAATCTGGAAGGTCAGTAGCAGTCTAACCAGGTGATGGAGGAAGCATCCCAGGTAAGGGAAGCACACATGTAAAAGCCCCTTGACGAGAAGGGGCAACGGAGGAACTGGATGACGACAGTGCGACTGGAGCTGTGAGGCTTTCCTCCACTTACGCTTTTTTCCTCACTGATTTTAGAGCGAGTGGGAGGGGCAGAGGGCGGGGCAGGGAGGGAGACATAGAAACATAGGCCAGGGGAATTGAATTCGAAACACTGGCTCATCTGGAGGATGCTCTAACAGTTAGTTGGTTGGAGTCTCATCAAGTAAGCTACCTGGCCAGGGCTCTTTTTATCAACTTTAAGTAAGGGTTGACCCACTAAACTTCACTCACTACCTTGGAGGACTTGCTCAATCTAAACTGTTTCTTCAAGTCCAGCAAAGCTTTCGAGGGGGTCTCTCTATTACATGTCAGGGGCACTAGGCTCAGAAAGGGCAGTGACCCCACTACAGCTTCTGGATAGTGCTGTGCATTTGCATATCGCCGAAGTTCCCTTGCTTTTGCAACCCCCCCCCCGCCCCATAATGTCGGTGCAGAAATGCAGATGAAGGCACAGGAACTCTAAATGAGCAAACCTGAGGACCAGGAAGGCATTGATAAGACTGGCACTTGTCATTCAATGAGTAACCTGGTAAGACTCTGGAAAGCATTTGGAATTAAGTTTTAATCTTCTGCTTTAGCTCACTAAATTTCCTCCAAAATACAAATATGAAAACATTCATTGCAATATTTTTTATAATAGCGAACATTTCAAACAAGCTTACTGTTTAACAATAGAGGAAGTAAATCACCTCATTTACTTCCCATCCTCCCTCACCGACCCCGCCCCCCGCCCCTGGCCCACTGCTGCTTCTTCCTTAGCCCACACCGGGAATGAAGCTTCCCTTCCCACTCAGAGAAGGCCCTGCGAGAGGACTGGGGAGTTCTGGAGAGGGGGTGCGAACCATTAATGCGAACATCTTCAGTGGTGGTCAGATGAGGTACTAGGGGAGAGAAAGGCAAAGCTGTGGCCTCAGCTGCTTTTTGGCTTCATGTGCAAACATGTAGTCCAGAACCCAAACGGAATTCCGGAGGCCTGGGTCCCAGATCCATTTCTATCACTGGCCATGGGCCAATACTGTCTTAGGAAACTCGAATTCCGAGTTTAGATCAGATCCCTTCTGATCTAAAACCGATTATTAAAAAATCCAAATCTGATCATATAACACCGAACTAAAACTTCCAAAGGCCTCCCCCAGTACTTCCAGACTTCCTTCAGTCGCTCTTAGAATCAAAGCCATACTCCCCACCGCAGCCCTCCATGTCTCCCTCATGGCTCCTCTGATGCTTCAGGTACGGGCCCGACTCCTTCCAGCCCAATGGCCCTCACACATGTGCTTTCTTGCAAGGACCCCCTTCTCCACACCTTCCTTGGCTGTTATTTAACCTTCACTTCTCTGTTATTTCCTTAAAGAAGCCTTTCTTGCCCCCACCTACCAACCTGTGTTCAGCTTGGGGTTCCAGTGTACTCTCTTCATAGCATTTACCGTCATTAAAATATTTGTCAAACTAGGTGATGCTGTCTTCCCAGTTAGACTATAAATTCTATGAGCAACATGTTCCCTCTAGACAAGCCCCAAGTTTAGTTTAAAAATGTCCAGTCTGTTTAATCTTCATATCTTAGAAAAAAGCTTGAGTTTATTTTTTTTAAATGAAAATGACAGCTAGCTGTAACTAAGTGACATGGAACTGACAGGCCCTAGTGTAAATGCAGGGAAATCACAGAAGGGTAAGCCTCAGTGCCAACACTCCAGGAGGCAAAACTCGGTGATTCTGCACCCACGACAGACAGAGGGTATACGTTAAGGTAGGAAAAAACTCCGTCAAGTGTCTCACGCTTCATTTAATCTGAAGAATATTACAAGCTCTTCGTCTTTTGATATAAGTTATTTATAACGTTACAGAACAAGCAGCGAATTCAACAATTCAAAAACTAAGTAAGTCTACACGGTGTTAATTTCTGGCAACAGTCTTCCCAATCTGGTTTTTTAAAAAAGTCATCCCTGCCCCCATTTCAGTAGACGTGCACCATGCCATAGAGGAATGTCCAGAACAGGACGTAGGTGAAGAGGCCTCCGATGAGACCTCCTGTAAAGAGAGGTCTTCGTGACTTAAAATATTTGTTCCACCTCCTTCCCGCCTTGAGAATTAAGAGCAGGGAGAGCAGGATGGAGGCAAGCAGGTAGAAGATGAAGCCGTAGAGGCCGGTGAGGCCGAGGATGCCGGCCGTGGCCCCCGACAGCGCTGACACTGAGGTCCGGCAGTAATCCAGGACCGCGGCGTTGCCTCGCACAGCTGCCTCACTGATGAACGGCGGCCCTTCCCGCTTGGCCACCACAGCGGCCATCGCACCCGCCGGGGCTCAGCCTCTGCTTTCTCGCGGAGCTGCGGAGAAAAACCAAGTTACAAGTGGCGCCCCGAGCTTAGCGAGTTGGGTTCATGCCGTCCCTCCCCCTGGGGCTTTCAAAACCTCGCTCCACTCCTGGGTCTTGAACCTTCAAAAGATGCTGAGAAGGCTGAAAGCTCGGGCAAGCTCGGGCCAGTTCGGGGTGCGGGGGGAGCAAGAGCACGTCTGCATTCCCCGCCCAGGCTCGCCCGGTTACCTGGAACACGGCAGTGGATAGTCACTTGGCCTTCCCTCAAACAGTCTGCAGTACAGATTCCCACGGCGCCATCTTGCTCTAGAGACTGCTGGGAAGGCCCAGACTGCGCACGCGCCAATCCCTCACTCCCGCCCTCTAGCGCATGCGCCGCGGGACTCCCAACCACGCCCCGACCCCACCTCGTTTTACTACGCACCCACTGGGACTTCTGAGAGCCGAACAGCCATCCGGTGGGTGATTGGTTGGAGATTTGTTAACTATTCATGAGGAGGCGGGTCCAGCCAGACGGCCTTTGTTAACCAGAGGGCGCGGTCCCGTGGATTTTCGCTGCGGGTTTCGCCGAACGGTACTTGGTTGCCAGATTGGGGTCGAGATGTCCTACATCCCGGGCCAACCGGTCACTGCCGTGGTGGTGAGTGCGCTCGCGCGGGTTCCTCATCGTCGTATCTTGCTCCCACTTTGCAGAGCGGTAAACTGACAGCCCAAACAGGTGGACAAAGCTTCGAACCCTTGGCTCCTGCAAACTTCGGCTGGAGCTTCGGTCCCGGTTCCAGGCGCGGTCTCCTCAGCCGTGTAAAGAGAAGGCTGGGATCCAAGAGCCTTCTCACAGCCTGGACCTAGCTAGAACCCGCGTGCTGCCGTTGCTGCGTTGGACAGCCGTCCGGGGCGGGGAGGACTGAGGAGAAAGGCCGGGCTATGGGAATCTAGGAAAGCGTTCTGGGCCTTCCTGGGCCTGTGATCCCAGCTGGGTAGCCGCAGGGGGCAGGCGCCGGCCCGGACATCCTTGAGTCGTAGCCTCTGGAATGAGGAAGTGCTTCCTCCACTCCAGTGGGAGCAGCGGCTCAGAGGAGGATCTGAGGGGTGGAGGGGGTCCAAGGCCTGTGTAGCAGCCCCATACCCCTCCTTCCTTCTAGCCTTGCCTCCTCGGACTCACCACCGCCCGGTTGAGTAGACTCAACCAACTGGCTTGGTTCTGTTCGGAACTTTTCCGGGATCCCCAGACCAGGGTCTAAGTCCAGGTTGCCTACCTGGCACTTGGGGCCGGAGGAGAGACCTTTTGGTGTCAGCTCAGGCCCTTATTTCACACCCTCAAACCCACTCCTAGGCTTGTCTTGGGTGTCAGGTGCTATTAGAATAAAGTGAGGGAGGCCGGGGCCTTAGTCCCAATGCCAGTGCTACAGCTGGATGGGACCAGGAGACCAGGATGTGGGGAAGTGAGTCCCAGAGAGGTACCGTCATGGCCAGCCATATAAAGAAGCCCTTAGGAAGGACCCAGCTCTCTGAGAAGAAATGCCTGTTAGGCAGGCATTGAGTCAGATGGAAGTCCCTGCTCTGGGGCCATGGCTGTATTATCTCAGATGGGTGTGCTGGGAGTCAGCTGGTGGTGTGTGAAGTCACTGATAAAGGTGGCATGTGACAAATTTAGAGCAGCAGCTCAGGCCAGGGCTGGGAGGAAACATTGTTGGACTTGCTGAGAGCTGTCCTAACCTTCACCCTGGCTGTATCCACCTGACTTCTAGATCCCTAGCTACCCCAGAGAGAAAGGACCAGGCTTCCTCCAGATGAAGAGCCAGGGAAGGGTCAGTAACCCACCTGACTTCACCCAACAAGTCAGTGACAGAGTCTTAGCTTCCAGCCCAAGGGCCTGTATTTTTTGACCTTGAAGGTGGGTCAAAGGTATGTGTTGGAGGAGGTGGAACAGGCCTGCAGGAGCTTACTTTCTGGCATGTGGGCCTGGGTCCAGTGGCCCTTTGGGATTATGCTTCCTGCCCCCCCTCTGGTGTCATGGTTGGTCCCTGGGCCTTCCTCATAGCTGTAGGACCATGACCTCCCAATTCTTCTACCATGTTTGAACATAGTAGATGGGGTTTGGCTTCTCTTGGTCATTGGACTGGAGATGGGGTGGGGGAGGCTTCCTCCCTGGCTCCTGCGATCTCCCATGTAGTTAACATCTTGAGAATGTTAAAACCATTTCATCCTCTTGGATGCTCCAGATGGTTCCTGGCACTCACACTCAGTGTGCTTCTCCTCTAGGATCTCCATCTGAGGTGGTTGTGTCCAGCCAGGCCAGGTGACCAGATGTTGACCATGTCTGTTGATCTTGCTTTCCAAGTAGTTCTTGTCTCCTGGCCTGTACATCCCACCTCTGAGAGATGTCCATTTTCCTACTGAGTGGTCATTCCAGCATCCAAACTGATCACAACCAGCCCTACTCCCCAACTCCAGAGAGCTCCAGTGGGCTCAGAATGGTCAGGTGGCCAAACTCCTGATAAAGCCCAGATTAAAAAAAAAAAAAAGCAAAAGACCTTTTGCTTTTTTTCTCCTTCTTGTTAAAACTCTCAACTTTTGGGATAGGGTGATCTGGTCTGATTCCTAGCAACCAGTGACTGAAGCATGGCTGCTGAAGGCTTTGAAAGGAGCCTGGCACAGTTGGGGAACCACAGCCCCAGATATGGTGGTAGAACTCTAGGACTCTCCTCCACCTCCTACTCTGCACAAGAGCAAGGTTTTGGGCTTAGGGAGAAAACCCCTTCCTGGGAGCCAGTCTGCTAGGCCTGGTTTTCATGGCCTTCCTGTCTGGCTCCTGCCTCATCCCACCTCCAGTTCTGGCCCTGCACTATACACCCTGGTCTTATGGACCTGTATTCACAGCACCTTCAAGCCTCTGTTCCTGTTCCTTGGCCAGCACGGCCCCTTCTCTCTTTCTGTGCGCGTCTGATTTCCACTTCTCTTGAGCATCTTCCGTCTTGCCCTTGATTGGGCTGACTCAGCAACCTGACCTGCCTCAGCAGGTTGCTTGCATTTTTTTTTCCAGGGCCTGACCTCTCCCCTGGGACACAGGCCCCCCATCCATAGCAAGCGTAGTGTCCTGGGTCTTGGGACATGAAGGGCTTAGAGCATGTGTGACTGAGACTGATTGATGCATGAGACAAAGGAAAGGGACAGAAGTTGGGACAGAGGATTGTGTGGGTGGGTTGATGTGTCTGAGTTGAGTCTTAATCCCCCAGCCTCCCAGGTTAGTGACCAGCTGGATATTTCAGGGGTCCCAGGGCCCCACCCTCCTGGCATGGCTTAGCTGCCCCAGCAGCTTGAGGCTGCTGCAGGAGACAGACCAGATTTGTTCTCCACACACCCACCAACCCCTACTTCATTTTTTTCTTTGCCAGCAAAGAGTTGAAATTCACAAGCTGCGTCAAGGTGAGAACTTAATCCTGGGCTTCAGCATTGGAGGTGGAATTGACCAGGATCCCTCCCAGAATCCTTTCTCAGAAGATAAAACGGATAAGGTAAGGGGGAGGGTCCTGGGACCTCTCTGCACCAAGAGGCCTGAGGGTGATGTCTCTGCTTCCTGGGCTTTTGTGGAAGGAGACCTCATCTCTCTCAAATAGTCTTCTCTAAGAAAGTCTAAAAAATGATCTGGTGGGAATAAGTAGGGGTAGGGGTGAGGAATGGGCCTCCCAGCCCTAGGAAGGCCTGCTCAGACACAGCCCAGGAGCAGCAGGGGCTGGAGCATTCGTGCCTGGAGGTTGGGGGTAGGCTTGGTGCAGGGATGGACAGATGGACAGCTGGGAGTATGCTGTGCTGGGCTTTGCTCTGTGGCTAAGCGGCCAGTCCAGGGAACCTAGGGCTTGAACTGGGCTGTCTCTTCCCAGGGTATTTACGTCACACGGGTATCTGAAGGAGGCCCTGCTGAAATTGCTGGGCTGCAGATTGGAGACAAGATCATGCAGGTAACTGAAGTCCCAAAGGAGGAAAACAAGGCTTGGGTCGTTGGGAGTGGGGTTGGGGCTGCACCTGTCTCCGGGGTCACTTGGGAGACTCACTGAAGCCATTTTGAAGAAGGCTTTTTGGAGCCCACGCTGGCCTTGCCCCCAGGGGAAGCTGGCTGTCTTCTCTGTGTGTCAGCTGTGGTGCTTGTCATCCTCCATCCTGGGGGCATCAGCTTGGGGCCTGCTTGGGTAACCCAGTCTCCCCAAAGCCCAGCCCACTTCCAGATCCCAGAGGGTGGGTGCTGAGGTGGCTGTCTTCTCCCCCTGGGTCAGGTGAACGGCTGGGATATGACCATGGTCACACATGACCAGGCCCGGAAGCGGCTCACCAAGCGCTCGGAGGAGGTGGTTCGCCTGCTGGTGACACGGCAGTCGTTGCAGAAGGCGGTGCAGCAGTCCATGCTGTCCTAGCGGCCCGCCCAGGTCCTGATGCGTGCCTGCCTCCTCTTGTACAGTGACACTGCTTCCACAGTCTGCTCCCCTCCTCTTGGCTTCTGCTAAGTGCTGGGCCCCCACTTGGAGGGGAAGAGCTGGTCCCATAGGCCTGACCTGGCCTGCCTTCCCCTCCCACCAGTGACCCAACGCTCTGGGACCAACTCTCCCTCAGACACCAATGACTGGAAACAGTGGCCTGGAGCTGAGTCGTAGTCAGTCTGTAGTGACCACAGGCTCGGGCCCCAGACCCTGCCACCTGGCCTCAGCAATGCTCAGGTGAACAGGGGGCCCCACCTCTGAGATCGGCCACAAAGCAACAGTGCCAGTTGGGGCAAGCCTCTCCCACACTGACCTGGCTGCAGGGCTCAGCCCTGCCCTGTCTCAGCTCCGAAGTGCCTGTGCCCCACGCTTTTCCCTGTTGCGCAGGGGTGGGGGCATTCTGCAGTGCCAGAGGCACTGCGAAGCTGGCCAGGATGGAAGCCAGGCTCACAGTGCACCCATCGCACCCCCACCACTCTGATGGGCGTGGGCCTTCCCAGGGTTTGCCTGCTCACAGGATTCACACAGGATTGAGGCTGACATTTTAGGGCAGTTCTCAGGATTGCCCTTTTCCCTTGTGCCTGTGGGATTAACTTTTGTATTTTTTTAATTCCAATTTTGATACAAAGCATTCTTCTCTCACCACTTGGAAATGCCAATTCTACTTTTGAATGTAGCATACTAATTCAGTCTGGGAATAACAACTCTTAACAAGTCAACAAGCCTTACTTTGGTCACTGTGGAAATGGGGCAGTATGAAGCCGCCCCATCTTGTACGTCTTGAAACCAAACATCTTGTGCCCAATAAACAGTGCTGGAATTCACAGTGCGTCTTTGCTGAGGCACAGAGGTGGGCTATTTGGGGCTGGATTATAGAGAGAGCTTTGGCTGTAAGGCTGGCTGAGCTGGCCCCAGCTCTCTGGGATGAAGCCCCACTATTCCGAGGTCCACCTGACATGGTGCTTGGCCTGGCCACATCTACGGTAAAGTGTGGGGGCACTATCACTGCAAGAGAGGCAGGGAGTGCCCAGCTTCCCTGTGAACTTGGTCTCCGTTCCCACCCAGGAAGAGCCTCATGGACCCCAATGAGTTCATGGGAAAAACACCCACCCCGCAAGACTCTTAAGAGCACTCGGTGGATCACAGCCAGAGATGTGACCCCAAGTGTTCCCAGGGCTGCCACGCCACTGGCTGCACTACCAGCTCTGGGAATTGTTGCCACGCGCACACCCACTGCCAAGTCAGACTTTTTAAAGTGTGACACCTGGTAACACACTGGGTGGCCCAAATAAAACAGGCGTGCATACGTGGTCAGGCTACCATCTCTAATTTGGGGAAACAAGATCTAAATTCTTTGATATTTTTATACCGGGGTAGAGGAAAAAATCTGGAAAAATCAGTCATCCCTCCACTCCCAAGGGCGGCCAGCTCTTAAAGGCCTCTTCCATCCCCAGCTCATAGCCACACCTTGAGCAGCGTGCCCTTGGTAAGGCAAGAGATGTGGCACCCGTGGGACCTACCTGGTCCCAAGCAGGCAGGTGTCCTGTAGTACCCAAGAGGGTTCCTTGATAAAGTGCCGGGTCAGCACACAGTCGTACTGGCGAACTTCACAACCCGTGAATGTCCTTACACGAAGTGAATGGGGCTGTCTCCCTAAGTCCCAAGGACTCGGTGCTGAAGCCAACACACGGACCTCCAGCATCTGGCAAACGCTCAGCATACGAAAGGAAACAACCGGTTTTAATTCAGGATATACACTCTCACACTGAGCTTGTAGTAGAAAGTTGAGAGTGGACTGACAAACTCAAAGCACGTACAAGGCACGTCTGGGCCCTGCCCCCTGTCCCCGGAAGGACAACTGGTTGGGCTGGGAGGGGAGGGGACTTAGGACTAGGGTTGGCCTAGGAGGACTGTGTGAGGTGGTCTTAAGTCCTTATCTTAAGGCCTCCTGAACAACCAAAAATTGGTGAACCTCAGAGGTCTGGGGAAGTGAAGGAAGGCAGGCCTGCCCTGCCACCCGGGGGGAGCTACTCTCACCACCTGGCGGGTCCAACAGGCCTCTAAGGCACGGACAAGGGGAGGGACTCACATGGGGCCCCTGACTCTGGGAGAGTGGAGGTAGGCAGATGGCCACGCCCAAAACATCCCTCCAAAAATTCTGAAAGGGGTGTTAGTGGGACGGAGATCCAGAGGGTGTTGGACGTGAGCCCAGTTCAGAACCAATCTGTTGAGCACCTCTGGACCCACAAATACTGTATCTTTACTAGGCGCTGGCCTGGGCCCCCTGTGACTGCCACTGAAAACTGAGTTATAGATAATGTGGCCTTCAGGGAAGGGACCCCGGGGACTAACCCCAAAGTCCTAGCCCCTCTGCCACCGCCGCCAGCACCTCTCAGTCCATTGGCCCAGCACCTGGCTGCTTAGTCTTTAGGAACGCAGCAGTGGCACCAAAACGCCCTTGGCTCTCCCAGCTGCAAGGTCAGTCCTTCGAGCTGCTCCCCGACACATTGGGTGCTCGGGCAAGGCCTTCAGCTCCTAGCTCAATGTCCAATCCTGCTTGGGATGGCTGTCAGAACCTGTGGGTGCTGCCTGAAGCCTTAAAGAGAGTAGAGATGGCAACAGCAAGTTGCAGGAGGACCAGGTGACTGGCCAAGTAACACCCGAGAGGGGCCACCAGCAGTCTGGCTGTTAATCTTGAAGCACAGTCAGGTGTCTGTCCCAGAGGGAGGTTTCTCCCCAGCCCTGGAGAGTCATGGATGAAGGCGGTCTGGTTCATTTTTAAGGCATTTGACCCTGAGGAAGAGAGCGCTTCTCCACTGTTGGCATGTGGAGCCAGCCCTGCACTCTAGACTGCTTTTCCAGCCTTCCTCCTGGGCACAGGGCCAGGGCCACTTACACTGGGGCCCTGCGTGCTAGTTCACCCGCTCATACCCTGGTTTCCTTCTGTACAAGCAGAAGTGCTGGATGAAGAAGACAATATCGAAGAGGATGGAGAAGATTCCGAGTCCAAACTTGGTTGGGTCTCCAAAGATCAGTGTCCACTGGTCTGTTAACAACCAGAAGGGACAGAATTTGGTTTTAGGTTGGCAGCTTGTGGGGCTGTGGAGGGTGAGGGTGGGGGTCCTCCTCTCTTCAGGAAACCACAAACCCTCCAGCTGTGAATGCCCCTTGGGGATCTAGGGGCTGGGACTGCTAGGATGACCCAGTTGTGGGGCTGGGGAGATGGGGGTAGCCCGGCCACCTGCTGACTCACCATTGTTGTAGGACTGGAGGAACATCTGGAGGAGGCTGAAGGAGCCCCCAGTGAAGTCCAGAAGCACGTTGCCAATGCTCCAGCCCTCGGTGCTTTTGTAGACAAAGTTCATGTAGGCCTGGGCACACAGACAAAGTGATGGAGGGCGGTGAGGAGGCTGGGTGGCTGCCTCATGCACCTTGTGACTGCCACTCCAAACAAGAGTTGCTCTAATTCATCCCACTCATGTGCTCCGGCCTCTGTTCCAAGGAACACAGTGACCTTTGGGCTCTGACAAGCTTTGACAGAGAAGTTTGGGTGGGTCCTGGGGTCTTGGCAGCACGCACAGCACACAGCCCCCCTCCTCCCACCCCTGCACTACACAGCTCCAGTGGAGGGAGGCTGGCAGGTTGCTTCTCCATCTTCCTCGTCCCCCCCTGTTCTGGGACAAAACCTTACCATGGTTTTTCAGCCACTTGGATTTCTCTCATCTCCAGTGAAGACTCTCCCTAAACTCAGCCTGGACTCCATGATGTACTTGGGAAGGTGGCTGAAGTCTGCCCGCCTGGTTTGAAACGCCAGCTCCACCACTGGAGCCTGGTTTCCTTAGGAGAATTACTTGAATTCTCCCTCCATAGTGCGCTTACCTCCCACCTCAGCCCTGCCTGGGCTCCTGGGTCTCTGTCTCAGGTTTCCTGGGCCCATTCTGACACACACCCCTCCCTGCTGCCAGTGCCCCACTCCGTCCTCTAATGCCAGCACCCCCTGGGCTTCTCTGACTTGGCTTCTTTAGTGGTCTTCTCCCAGTCAGCCATCAGCCACAGCCGCTTTTTTGTCCTCTCCCTCCCTCTCCATACTTTCTGCCACCTCTCCAGTCATGGACAGTTTCAAATGTCTCTATGTGGGACTCCTGCCTCCCAGGTTTCCCAGCTCCAAGCTTCCCCACATTCACAGATTGAGGCCCCAGTTCCCTCGAGACCTTCCCCCACTCTGAAGCCTTCTTCCCAAGTCCCCCAGGCCCAGCTTCCTTCAGCCCACTTTTCTGTGTGCCTTTATGCAGGCTGCCCTGAGCTCCGAATGCCCCCTTCTCTAATGTCCACAGAATTACATCTTGTTTATCCTTAAAGGTCTGGCCCTGTTTGCAGGCCCTCTTGGGAGACTGGCCCTGACTCTGGCCAAAACGTTTTCCTTCCTGAGTGCATGGGACACAAGGTTCCTTGTGCTGGAGAAGCTGAAAAGGGGGCTTCTCCACTGAGAACGGGGCAAACTGAACGCCTCCACTCATAAGTGGAGTCTGCAGTTGGTACCACTTCATTTCTGACCTTGTCCTGGACTGTCCAACTATGGGGAAGATGTGTTTGACTCTCAGCCCCAGATCTGAGGAGGACTGACTACGCCCCTCAGCAACGCCCCCACAAGGAGACCCTGGATGGGACCTCTGAGAAAAACCTCCCTGGACGCGAGTGGAGGTGGTAGTTGTGGGCTCTCCCCCCACAACCTAATCTTTCCCAAGTATCCTGCTGCTGCTGGTCAGTAATGGGGCGCAGAACTGACGTCACGAGCTGGGATGGAGACGGGAGCGACCTGCACAACCCGCCTCTCCCAGCTGACTGTGAGCTCAGAGGAGCCTCCACTGAATTCTCTGTGTGATTTCTGGCTGCAGGGAAGAGCGCAGGCAGCAGTAATGGCCAGCTCCCACCCCCTGCCCACCCTCACCCCGTCCCACTTCTGCTGGGCTCACAGCTTCCACTGAAGCTTTCCACCAGTCTCCTCGCCCCAGCCAGGAGTAGGATGCAGGGTCTGTACTTCACTGACCCCTCACCCTGATGGCCAGTGAAAAGGCAGGAAGGCCCTGGAGGTACCTGTGGAAAATACTTGACCAATGTCACTGCGAGCTTGATGTAGGAGAAACAGAAGAGAAACTGCAGCCATGAGGTCACCCCGACTGCGGCCAAAATCATGATGATGAGCGCGAAGAGCCACGCGAGCACCAGGAAGCCAATGGCAGGCCAGGACACACGCTGGTCACCTCGCTGAGGATGAGGCGGGGGTGGAAAGACGAGAGTAGGTGGGGTGTCGGGGAGGGCACAGAGAGCCCAACACCAGCAATGCCCTTGTCACAACAGGGGTCTCTAGTCTGGTCCTTCTTGGACTTTAAGAGTCCACTTCTTGTTCCCACAATGCAGAACTGGGTGCTGCTCAGAGCCCACCAGGAGCGCTGGGTGTTGGGGACGGAGTCCAACTTCTCATCCCAGCCCTGGCTTGTTCCTCAATCCGGAGGGTGCCTGGTCGTCTCTGGAATCTGTCCCCTTCCCCTACCTGTCCCCAGAGAAGGCCTCCTTCAAAGCTGCACAGCAAAGAGTAAAGAACCTAGGAGACTCATGAAGGTGGTGCCCAAGCAGCCCCTGGCTGGCCCTGCATGTGCAAAGGGAGCTCCCTGAGGGAACTGGAGCACCCACAGGGAAGTGAAAAGAAAATGTGCACATTAGTGACCCCCTGAAACTCGGCCTACAACACCCTTTCCAGCTGAAGCATCAAAAAAACCCCTCTGGCAACACAGTTGAGTGCAGGCCCCTCAGCTTGGGTTCCAGACCCCCCCAGGATCTCTCAGGACCCTCACAAGCCTACTCCCCATGGTGGCACCCTAAACCCTGGCTACCCCATCTGTTCACAGTTCCTCATTGCCACCTGACCTCCGCAGTTCTGTCCCCCAGCTGGGGGAGCCCCGCCCTGGCCCTCTTCCCCATGTCCAAGGGAACTTGACTTATCCCCACTTCCTTGATGCCCTCCTCTCTCCCCCTCACTGGTTGGGCCAGGCCTTCCAAGAGCTGTTTATACTCTCCCCCCGCCCTCAGCTCTCGGCCTGCTGGGTCATCACTGCCTCTCTGTGTCCCTCACCCCAGACCTGTAGGTGAGGGATGACAGCCTGGGCTCAAAGGGTGGTCTCTTGGTCCAATAAGCAGATGCTGAGTGAACAAACACATGTCCTTTCAAAGGGTTTCTGTGTCTTCTGCAGTAAAGCAGCAGGTAGGAGTGGCAGGTGGTGGTGGGTGCTGGCCTGGCAGCCACAGGGCGAGGTGCCAGTTTTGTCCCTCACCTCATACAGAAGGCACTGCACCAGGACAACCAGGGTGAGGGCGACAGCGTGCAGGCTGAAGAAGACATCGTTACTCTCCACGGGGTTCACTCCATTCGGGTATTTGAGGAAAAACTGCTCCTGTTAAGAGGGTGGGGAGAAGCTGAGGAGGGAAGGGCAGCCAAGACACTGAATGGCATGGTCCGGGCGGTGGTGGGCGGGCAGAGCCATACCTTGATGTGTGGCACCCAGAAGAGGCCGATGTTGAACACGCTGTAAGCCACGAAGCCCGTCAGGTTCAGGGTAACAAAGTCAAAGCTGAGACCAACCACACTGTGGGGCGGGGAGATGGAAGACAAGGCAGGCCAGTGGGCAAGACTTGGCCAGTGAAGGCATGTGAGGGGCAGAGCTCCCAGTACAGGGGAAGGAGGGCCTGGTTGCACCCAGCAAATCATGTCCTCAGGTCCTCCTTCATGGCCCAATTGATGCCACCCAATCCCACCCTCTGGAGAAGCAATTTCCTCCTGCCTCAAGTCCTGGTCCCAGAGGGAAGTCTGGAGGCCTTCTTCACAAAGGAGGCCTCTTCCTCTCCTTGGGTACTCCCAGTGCAGCAGCCCCCAGAGGCCCATGCGGCTCGAGTGACTGCAGGAAAGCTGGTGTCCCTGGTGTATGAAGGCACAATCCCAGGCCCTCTTTGTCCTTCCTTCCACTGATGTATAATTGACATACAACCTCCTATTCATGTCAGGAGCACATCATAGTGCTTTGGTATTTAAATGCATTATGAAATGGTCTCTACGATAAGTCTAGTTACCATCTGTCACTACACGAAGTTATTACAATGTTATTTATACCCCTGTGCTATACCTCACCTCCTCATGACTTACTTTACAATTGCAAGTTCACACTTCTTAATCCCCTTCACCTATTTCACCCATTCCCCAAGTATCTCCTGCCTAGTGCCCACCAGTTTGTTTCCTGTATCCATGAGTCTGTTTCTGCTTTGTTTTTAGATTCCACGTGTAAGTAAAATTATCCAGCGCTTCTTTGTGTCTGCCTTATTTCCCTTAGCATACCTTCTAGGCCCATCTATGTTGTTGAAAATGGCAAGATTTCATTCTTCATTCTGGCTGAGTAACATCCCTTTGCATATATGTGCATATTCTTTATCCTGTCTGTCGATGGACACTTTGGTTGTTCCCATGCTTTGGCTATTGTAAAAAATGCTGCAGTGAACTTAGGGGTGCACGTGTCTTTCCAAATTAGAGCGCTCATCATCCTCAGATGGGTACCCAGAAGTGGAATTGCTAGATCATATAGTGGTTCTATTTTTAACTTTTTGAAGAACCTCCATACTGTTTTCCACAGTGGCCGCACCATTTTAAATTGCCACCAGTGTATGAGGGTCCCCTTTCCTCCAAGTCCTTGACAATACTTGTTGCCTCTTCGTTTTGTTGGTTTCTTCACTGTGCAAAAAGCTTTTTAGTTGGATGTAATTCCACTCGTTTATTTTTGCTTTTGTCGCCCTTGTCTAAGAAGATATATCCAAAAAGAAAACATTGCTAAGACTAACTGATGTTGAAGAGCTTACTGCCGATGTTTTCTTCTAGGAGTTCTGTGATCTTAGTCCTTACATTCAAGTCCAATCAAAATGGAGTAAGATAGTGGTCGGATTTCATTATTTTGCATGTCTCTCTCCAGTTTCCCCAACACCATTTATTGAAGAGACTGTCTTTACCCCATTATGTATTCTTGACTCCTTTGTCATAGATTGACCGTATATGTGTGGGTTTATTTCTGGGCTCTCTGTTCTATTCCATTAATCTATGTGTCTGTTTTTGTGGCAGCACCATGCTGTTTTGATTATTATATGCTTACAGTATAGTTTGGTGTCAGGGAATGTGACACGTGATACCTCTTCTTTGTCAAGATTGCTTTGGATATGTGGGGTCTTTGTGGTTCCATACTAATTTTAAGATTCTTTGTTCTAGTTCTGTGAAAAATGCCATTGGTAATTTGATGGGAATCTGCACATTGCTTTGGTTAAGTAAGGGCATTTTAATAGTATTAATTCTTCCAGGCCGTGAGTATGGTATCTTTCCATTATTTGTATCTTCATCAATTTCTTTCATCAATGTCTTACAGTTTTCAAAATACAGGTCTTTCACCTCCTAGGTGTTTTCATTTTTTAATGCGACTGTAAATGGGATCGTTTTCCTAATTTCTTTCTGAAACATTGTTATTAGTATACAGAAATGCAACATAAATGGATTTTCTTCATGTGTGGTCTAGGTGCCTTTTAAACCACTGTTTCCCTTGAAGAGGCCCTCAGTAACATCCCTGCCTGCTGCAAGTCTTCACGTTGGGAATGGGATTCCCTTCATTCTCACGCCTCCATCCCTCTCACCTTCTCCAGGTGGTCCCTCTACCCTATGTTGCGCAGAGGCTGTTCAATGGGCCCTCAGTTCTTCTTTGGCAGGAACTACTCTATGTGTAGGTGTATATTTGGTATTGTCTGTGGGAGGAGGTGAGTTCAGGGTCTTCCTACACCCATATCTGAGCCTTGCCTCCCCCCCTTTCTTTTAGTGTTCATTACTTTAAAAAAAATTTTTTTTATCCCACTTTGTTTTTAAAATCAAAGCAGAAGGCTTAATCTCCAAGGCTGAAGGATCCAACTCTGGTGCTGTAGCGTGACTCGACACTAATTCCTCCAGGGTTGGACTGACCAAGATGAAACATATTCAGAAGTACTTTATCTCCACTCAGCCCATTCTCCACTTCACTAAGAAGCCTCATTTTGTTGCTTTCACAGGAAGTAGCTGAATTTGGCAAGAGATCAACTGCCCAGTGGTACAAGTGCTACCACAGGCTCTCAGAGCTTTCAGTTCGACAACTTTCTAGAAAGGGCAGGAAGAGAGAGGGGTAAAGTCTGAACCCATGCTACCTACAGCCTTGCTGGAATGCCCGTCATACTGGCACCAAATGAACCTGCACGTATAGCTCAGCAGATTACCTTTTCCGCCTCCAGTTCATGATCACCTGAGGGTAGAAGGAAACAGACCAGGCTGCAAAGTAGATCCAGCCAATCACCTGGTTTATGATGTTAATGATGTTGCTGTGGATCACCAAGAAGCGTATCCTGGGCCTAGAAAGAATGTGGGGACCAGGATGAGCCGAGGACGGGCTCCTGAAAGAAAGCCCCGAGTGCCTGGCACTGCCTCCCTTCTCAGCGTTTAAGCCCCAGCTTACCCGGTTTGGTTGGAATGATTTCTATGCAGAAAAACAGTAATTTGTCCCACATTCTGAGATGTCACTTGGAAAGAGGTTTCTGTCACTCTGGGAGGCACCACAACCTATGAGGAAAACTGAATTTGATCCACGGCCATGTTACTGGAACTTCACTGAGCTCCAGGCTAAGATCACACAGGTCCCTGTATTCCAGGCACTTACTAACCAAAGGAAGAAATGTTGGACCAGCCAGCCACCTGGAACCCCCCATATACCTGTGTACTAGGCTTTCTGAGCAGAACTCGGTTCTGCCCTCAGGTCCACTCATCTTATCTCTGAGGGAAGGTGGGACGGCTCTCTTCCTCTGTGGATCAAGCTACACCTCAGAGAGCTGAGTGCCAGAACCTGCTGTTAGAACCAATGGCGTTTCTTAGCCTGTAGCAGGCCCTATACCCTGGGGCAGGAGTTGCATGTAATGATGTGTGACGTTTACCATGGGATGAATGAGACTCCCTTCTCTCCCAAGGTCCTTTTAGGTGAACACCCTTCACCTGACATGCTTCAATGGGGGCTCAGAGCCAATCTGTAGCTCCTTCCTACAACCACACAGGGTCTCATGGTGTGGCACGTGGTTATCAATTTCATCCCTGCATTCATCTTGTCTGTGTTTTTCTTTTTTAACCCTCATTTACTCTATACTGCCTCACCTATTGATGTTTTTTAAATCTAATTGGTCAGTGATTAGCTCAAATCCTTGGTAAGGCAGAAACAGGGTATATAGTAACAGACAAATGTATAAGGGCAGTGAATAGTTATTGGTGTGATATCAGACAGTTTCTGGCACTGGTTTTTGGAAATAACACTCAACCAATAGAATCTCAGAACAGTGCTTTGCAAACTTTAACGTGGACCGAAATCCTCCAGGGATCTTCTTGTTCATATGCAGATTCTGAATCAGTAGACCTGGAATGCACCTGAGATTCTACATTTCTAAAAGGTTTTCAAGCAGGGACAATGCTCCTGTCCACGCACACCCTCTAAACAGCAAGGTCTTACAAAACTATCTTAAGAATTTCTTCTACATTTTCAGAACCATTTTTTGCCTCAGAGTTCTTGCCATCACCTTCCTAATTACGTCTACATGGCAGTGGACTCCCACCCTCAAGGAGACCAACATGGCCCAAACCAGAGATTTCTAGAACGATGAGACAGGGGCAGCTCATGGTATGAAAACAAGGTGGACTATTTTCAGAAGCACTCAATTACAATGTTCTCTACCCATCAGTTTCGGTTCGTTACTTACTTCATCAGGGAGCTCAAGGATAGAAACATTCTTTGAACGAAATGTGATTTCAAAAGTGATCACCACGGTTGCATTTAACGGATGCCTGTGGGGGACAAGAGTCTGATTATTACTGAGAAGCTGACCTGGTGAGATCCCAACCAACATTCTGGATTTCACATGGGGCCTGTCATTTCTCCTGCAGTCAGGGTGAGGAAGTGCTTGTGCTCATCCTGAGGGGTGGAGAGGTGGCTCCCTGCTCTGCAGCAGTTTTCTATCTTTATCAGGAGATAAGGCATCCCTTTGGGGCTGGGCGAGACCATGAGAAGGTGTGAAAGTGGCTGTCAATGCCAAACAGGGTGTCCAGAGGCTGACAGGACCATGACATTTGCTGGGGGGGCGGGGCGGGGGGAAGGCTTCTGAGAAGACTCAGGTCTGAGCAGGGAGCAGTATGTCCCCAGAAAGCTGTGAGCTGTGTCTGACTGCGAGCAGCCCATGGGGCCTCCAGTCGGGACTAAGAGGCCTGGAGTTACTTTGAAAGGCAGTGGGAAGCCGCTCAAAGATTCTGGAGAGGGAGAGTTGTGGTGAGGGGATGACTGTCAGATTTATGAGGGGTCAATGTGCAGAGGTGGCAGGGGCTGGAAATGGAACGCAGGTCTGCTGGGGAGCCGTGGTACCAAAGCTTTGGTTTGAGAGCAGACTTCCCAGGGGAGGTGAGGAAAAGGGAGAAGGGGAGGGGAGGAGGACAGGGCTCCTGACCTTCATCGTCAGGAATCCTTGTGACTGGGAGGCAAGAGCAGGGCAAAGCAGGGGAGGGCACAGGAGGAGAGGGAGGCTCTCTGGCGCAGCTGGACTTGGTCCTCACCCTTGTGCCTGAACCAGAGGAGGTCTGCAAGACAGACTCTCAGACAAGTGAAGCACGAGAGCTGCACAAATGGGATCCACCAGATGGAGTCACTTCTGCTTTTGGAAGTGACCTAAGAAGCCCTCGATTCCTTACCTCCTGACCTTCAGGGCCCTCCTCAAATATTTAGAGCCTTGGAAAGGACCACTTTGAAGTCCGGCATCACCTACTGGTCACTCAAGGACTCTTCTCAGCTGGGGAAAAGGCTCGTGACTGGGGAAGCCTCCTCCTTCTGGTTTCTTCCATGGGAAACAGGGCTTCAGCAGATGGGGAAAGAGACTCTGGGACCTTGGTCTAAAGCCCAGGGCCAGCACTTCTCTTTCTCTGGCTTCCCATAAGGTAAAGAGGCAAGAGCAAAACACTTGAAACATGAACAAACTGAGCCAGCCGTGGGGTCAGTGAGCTGGGCTGAGGACAGCACTGGGCCTGGGAACTTACTGAAGGGTGACGCTGACATTGGCTGAGCTCCCATTTTCCAGCTTCACAGTGGGAGGTACAGAAAGGTTGACCGTTGACTCTGGAAGGACCCAAATCGATGGCATTAGTCATTAGGTCAGAGAACTTATGCTCAAAAGGAGAGACTGGGACAAGGGCCCCTGACACCTCATCTCATGAACTAACTAATGATAAGCCCTATCTTCTAGGTGAAGGCAGGGAGGTTCTGAGAGGCTAAGTGATGGCACTGGTACCTGAAGCTCTCCTTAAGCTCTCTCATCTTCTGCTACCAGAGACAGAGGGAGACACAGGCCTGAACAGGAGACGCTGTACAGCTTCCTCCTCCCCAACATGACAGGCTCTGAGGCTATGTGGCTGAGTAATCTAGACACTGTTAGAGTCATGGAGCCCAAAAACTGTCACAAAGGAATCCAAACCATGCTCTGGGGTTAAAAAATTGGGCTTGAATCACCTCTTCAGATGGAAATCAGGAGTCTCTCATCTTCCTGGAGCTTCAGTGGCCCTGCAGAACTGGTCCAGCCCTTCTTGTACCCAGACCCAGAGTCCAGCTACCTTGTTTCTGAAGAAACCCTTTCCGGCTCCTGTACGAACCTGAGCCCCTCATTCACTGACCCCCTTCCTGAGGCTGCCTCTGCTGGGGACCGGGGGAAGACTGATGAACAAGACACACCATTTCACTCTCAGGTACCTCTTGGCATTAACTCAGAAGGTAAACGGATAGGACTCCAGGGTAAGGGAAGAAGCTAGGCCAAATACCCTAGAGCAACTTGACCACAGAACATGAGTGAGTCAGCCTCTTTCTGACCTCTTCCTGCGTTCTTAGGGGGGGTCCACAACCCCGATCCCACCCCTGCTCCCAGGTATGCTCGGCACCTGTCCACCTCACCTCCCTTACCTCAAGGCCTTCAGGATTATGCACAACATAATGTGTGATTATGAGTCTAGACTGGAACTGGAAAGGGACCAAGGAGAAAGCAAATGCTCAGCTTGATGAAGATGGTCCTTGCTGGGTTAGTGGCTACAGGCAGGGCCCAGGGCTCCCTCTCCCCAGATCCATGAAAGGCTAAAGGTGAACACATTTTAGGTCTCAAGTCGGAAGGGCACTAAGAAGTTTTCCCCAATCTGATCCTTCCTCTCCATACTCCACCCTGGCAGTTTCTCTTCCTCTGCCTGGACACCCTGAGGGACAGTGACTCTGCTTCCTCCAAGGGAAAGGCCCAGTCTGGAACTTGTACTTCTGGGCCTGGCTCTGCTACCCGGGACCTCTCAGACCTACCTGAGCCACCTTCTCCTTGCTAACCACGTGTGCGTGAAAGCAGATGCAGATTCTGTCCCCTGCCTGCAAGTCTCCAAGCTGACTCTACCAGGGTTCCTGAGTGGCATGCCCCCTTGCTGATCCTTGCAGAGGCCAAGCTGTTCAGAACAGAGTAGAATGGTCCCTCCCTTATGTGTAGCCTCAGGGCTTGGAGGCAGCTTTGACAACTCTGCCTCTTCTTTTGCACACTCTAGTCTCATAACAACCTGTGCCTGTGTTGTGGGCTTGCACAGCTGGGGTAGGCCCCTGCTGTTACTTTCTTCCTAGCGCTGAGCACACCAGATAAGCAATATTGTGACAAGACTGTAACCAGGACAGAGTTGCTGAAAGTGATCCCAGGCAGTCGCCAACACCTCTGGGTCCCCAGGGCTCTGCCAGGACTGTGGTCAGGGTGAGTGGGAGTGCCCCATGGCCTTTGCTCTTCCACTGCCTTTACATTGTAAAAGAGGAGGCTGTGGACTCACAAAATAAAGCGGATCAAGGAATGTTTCCTTCCTCTTTACTGCCATTGAAGACAGCAGAGCTCGGCAAATGACTGTGCTCTGAGGTCAAGCAGATTCACCCTGGCCCTGTCACTTCTGGCTGTGACACTATGGGCAAGGTACTTAACCTCTCTGAGCCTGTTTCCTCACCTGTAAAATGGGGAGAATAGTACCTATCTCACAGGGCGTCCTAAAAATAAAGCGGTGATGTTTGTGACTTACTACATGGCCTGAGTGCAAAGTAATTGCTGTTGACAATTCTTAACATCATGGAAACAAGGCAGGCCAGATTTTAAACTCAAGATGGGAGGCAGTTAGAGAGCTGGCATTGAACCCTGAGAAAGCACATTTTAAAGTTTTCCCTGAGGCAGGGGTCTCTGGATACAACACTGGAATTACCAAATGAGTCCTAATAAGACCATCCTAAGTTTCCTCTAAGGAGTCTTTTTTTTTTGAACTAATGCTTATTGGCACTTCCTACAGTGCTCCTGACCCCACACAAGCCTCTCCACTACAATGTTAACTCCCAATCTCTTATTATTACAACGGGGAGAGGTGGGGACTTCCGACATAAGAAACTGAGGATCCCAAGAGGGAAAGTGTCTTGCCCACACAGCTCAGAAATGGTAGTGGCAGGGTTCAAACCTGGGCCTGTCTGGTCTAAAGCCCAGGTGTTTGCCACTAAATTGCAGTGCCTCTCAAGATTCCACCCAAAAAAGTCAGAGGCAAACGACTCTGAAGGCCCTGATGATCACTCCCCAAAGTAGGAAAGACAGGCCCGGCAGAATGAGGTCAGAAAGCCAATTCCAGTTAACTTGATTTTACGGTGGTTTCCACTGTTCATTATAATGACATTCAGGAAAGGAGGCAAAGTGATAAAATGGAGTAAGGACCCTGCACAGTAGGGAACCTTTGTCACTTTCTAGCTCTGTGACTTTGGGGAAGACTTCTATCCTCTCAGTATATTTGAGGTGAATTTGCTCTTCTTCTCTAGAGCAATACATTAGCATTATTAATGGAGCTTTAAAAAAGTACTTTATTTATTTTTAGAGAGGGTGGAAGGGAGGGAGATAGACAGAAACATCAATGTGTGGCTGCCTCTTGTGAGCCCCATACCGGGGACCTGGCCTATAACCCAGGCATGTGCCCTGAATGGGAATCGAACTGGTGACCCTTTAGTTCGAAGGCCTATGCTCAATCCATTGAGCTACACCAACCAGGCCTAATGGAGCTTTATTTAAAGCCTGCCAATGCATAGGTACATATGCATACTGAGGCCCTAACCCCAGAGACTATGACCCAGAAGGTCTAGAATGGGGCTCTGGCATCTGTACCAAGAAACACCAGGCTTCCTAGCCTGACCTTTCCTTTCCTGGAAACTGCTTATCCATGAGGTGTGACTGTATAGTGACATGACTGATTTTTTAATGAGCCTGGAAGAACTGGTCAGATGTTTGTGTTCACGGACACATAAAAGACCAAATAATTGTAATGGTGCAGCCACTGTGGCTGGATTTTGGGAAGCTTCCATAGGATTTGTATCGTTTGCATAAGATTAATTTGAAATCTTCAGTCAGGGTTTTTAAGATCTGATTTTTGACAATGGCCTGGGGTCCTAGAAGTGCTCAACACAACTTTCTCTTGTGAAAGGAATTTCAGCAACATTTTGGGCAGTAGGAAAATTAATAGAATGTCACAGGTCTAAAACCTAAAAACTCTGCTCTACAAGGATGTACATACCCTGCTGTTTTTTTTTTTTGTTTGTTTGTTTTGACAACCAGCTAGTGTTCTGTGAGGCCCCTAACCCTATTCTTTAGTCCCTCCTTAAGGGAAAGGTCTTCTCATCTTACAAGGGGATGATGGGCAGACTCATTAGGTGTTTGTGGCCTGGCAGAACCAGGCGCAACAAAGTGGCTACATTACCTGCTTCTGCAGCATCTCCCAGAACCCATTACTCCCTCTGTGGGGTCCACGGGGCAGGAACACAAGCCGCTCTTTATAGATATTATCCCAGATTGTTGGAGCTCCACAGTTCAGTTTAATTTTGGTGACACAGACAAGGCAATAGAGACATGGAGGCAGAAGACCAATTATTTATGGAATCATCTGGCTCCCTGTAAAACTCCTGGACCCCAGACCTGGGTCTGCTCCACCACCCAGTGGCAGCTTGAGCAAGGGCCAGGAAGGCATATGCAGTCTAGATGGTCCTAAATCCTTGGCCAGAAACAGGTCAGGCTACTCACTGTATACCACCATTTCCCTCTTTACAAAGCTGATGACCTATTTCTAAACTTACCACACTTCCCTATCAGCTTCAGGGGGAAAAGGATAAAAATAATCAGCCAACTCCTTATCATGTTCCTCGATTTCAAAGAGCTAGGAAGAAAAACAAATAGCAAGAGAAGTTCAGGTTCAAGTAGGATCAGCTCAGCAACAAGTGGACAATATAACCCCTGGAACCCTGGCATGAACAGTTCATAAAGGACTTTCGATTCACACCTGTGACCTCATGGGCTCTGCATCAGCAGCCTGAAGAACAGGACTCTAGGGTGGACTTAATCTTTCTTTGATATGTGGGGAAATGGGCTCAGAAGAACTAAGTGGGTTGTGTAAAGTCTCACTCTGAGGAAGTGGGCAAATACTGAATTCTCTCAACTGCTTCTTGCAAGCTAGCTAACAGAAAGAATGCAGTTTTATTGGCTGAGGATTCTTCCCCGCCCCCACAAAGTTATTAAAACCGTGGTCAAGTATTTGACTGTGTGAATCTATAAACCTGAAGGAAATTAATTTTATTCTCTATCTTGGGATAAGAGCTTAAGGATTGTTATTCTCCTTAACACTGTTGAAAACGACAACGCGCAGCTGTCCTTCTTTTCTTCAGCCTGGAAGCCCAGGAGGGCGGGGTAGGGTCTCCTCCTGCCCACTTTTCCGGAGCCCAGTTCAGAGGTCAGCACACCAACGGGAGATTCGGAATGGTCCCTCCAGGGTCTCCCACCACCAAGACAATCTACAAACTCCGCGACTCAGATTCAAGCGCCACCCGTGTAGGAGGGGAAGGGGCTCGGACATGCCCTGGGGTAGTCACCCACACACCTCAGCAACCCGGTGAACCCGACCTCCGCTCACCACCACCCGGCCCCTCGAACCTGAGGACTGTCCGGTGTCGCAAGGCTGGGGCTGGTGGCAGGGGATGCAACCCTGGCGTGGCCGAGAGGGGCTGGATTTGAGCCAGGCTGCCCAACCAGCTTGTTGCACCAGTCTCTGGGCTTCATAGAGTCAACCTGGGATATGGGTGGGTGGCTGTTGGGACCGCACGGGTTCTCACCTGAGATCCTCTGAGGCTCCACAGACCAACCACACAGGACGCAGGAGAGCCATCCCCTTCTCCCGCCGGCTGGACCTTGCGTGAGCTTGGGCCTGAAGTCACGTGAGTCGAGTCACCTGATTTACGCAGCATATATAGCCGCGCGATGCACTCTGGGAGGTGTAGTTTTAACGAGTCTTAGCGGGACAACTGGATGGGGTTGGAGCGGAGCGGAGGGGCGCAGGCACCTGGGGGAGGATGACGGCTCGGTGTGACAGCTCACGCCGTAGGGACGCATCCCAAGGGCCTGTCAGCGAGCCCTGCACTACTTGAGAGAGGAAAGCACGGCCTGCCCGAGTGAAGCACTAGCTGCTGCCGTCCCGGCACTCCAGCTCGATGGGGCGGTGCCCTCTAGGTCCCGCCTTCCGTTGCCTCTTCGCCAATAGCCGGGCCCATCGCGAGGGTGCTCGGGGCTCCGCCTTCCTGGACCAATAGGAAGACGACCAGCCTTCATTTTAGCGTGTCGGAGGGCGTAGCAAGCGAGGCTCCGCCTCTGTGCTACGGCCTCTGTACCTCGATCACTGGTGAAGTGTGCGGCTGGGGGCCCCTCCGCAGCAGACGAGACCGAAGCTGGTCCCCACGGCCATGGCTGCACCGTCAGTCACTCTTGGCATCGACCTGGGCACCACGTCTGTGAAGGCGGCCGTATTGGAGGCCGCTCCCGACGACCCATCGGGGTTCGTGGTACTGGCCAGCTGTGTCCGGGCCGCGCGGGCGGAGGCGGCGGCCCAGAGCGCGGCGGCCGGGTCGCAGGTGAGGCAGTGCCCTGGCGCCGCGCCGCCTCCAGGAGCCTCCTGACAACCCTCTTCCTCCCTCAGGAGGCCGCCCCGAGACCCCTCTTCCTCAGAGAGGTCTCCCTGACTGCTCCAGCCTGTAGGTCTCCCGATCTCTTAAGAGCTGGTCCCGGGAGCTTTCCTGCCTGTTGGCACTGGTCTCCCTACTCTCTGGCCTCCTGGAGCGCCCTTGCCTATGGTGCCCATCCCCTTGCTCTCTGCCCTCCACTTCCTGTATTCTGACCCGCGGGGAATTCCTCTCCTTGTGTAATTCTTACACCTGCCTGCGTCCTCCAGTTCAGGATTCAATTTGCTCCCCAGGGCAGAGTTTGGGTTTCCCCCTGGAAATCAGATGCAGAGTCAGGCCTAACAGGAGCAGAATGTGGACTAAGGAACTCCTACACTTGGTCAACAAAAGTCAGCCCCCTCCCCAAGTCTCCAAAGGCTGAGGCCCTTTGGAGGAAAAACAGAAGGACGACTAGAAAGGCCTCAGAGGAAAGTCAGACAGAAGTTAGGCTTGAGAGACATGTCATTAGAAAATGACCAGATTGATAGTTATACACTGTGGTGGTTTAGTGTCTTGTGAAAGCTGCAAGATAGAAATGGAGAATTTTACCACAATGGGCTTTGATGTCAGGTGTGGCTTCAGAAAGGATGTCAGTCCTCAAAACTGGATCCCATTAATTCCCTGAAAAAAGTAGCTCTATGTTTAGTTAATTGACAGTAGAAATTAATATCAAGGAACTTTGAGTAACCTCCCTTCTGGATCTCAGCTTGTTCTTCTCCAAGTTGAAATAGGTGGCCTCTGTGGCCCCTTCTAGCCACAGACCTCCCATTTTCTGAGCCACACACCACTCCCGAGAGCTTTGTTTTTCCCAAGCTCTGGCCACATATCTGGACTCAATTATTTAGAGTTCAAAGTCCGTCTTGCTCTGAAGCATTTCAGAAGATTAAGAATTCAGGAACACTTTGCATTTTCAGAGAGGCTTTCAAAATTAGTTTTGTGGGGGCATCAGGGCATTGTAGAATGAAGATTTCACTTTGTGAACTGCAAGGTGGAGGCAAAGTCAGCTCTGACTATGGGAGTGAGCAGCAGAGTCAGGATTGCAGGGAGTGGGTTTTCGGAGGGCCACTACTTGAACACTACTTTCCCCGCTTCCCCCAGCGTCCAGCAGGCTCTTCTGCGCTTACAGGCTCTGTGCCACACCTCCTGAGGGGACTAGGGGAGGTCAGTAACAGCCCCCCTTGCAAGCCTCACATGTGTGTTGTGCTCTGGGATAAAGAGCAGTCCTATAATTTCATCTACAGCAGGATTTCTCAACCTTGGCATTGTTGATTGTTTTGAGTTGGATGTTTCTTTGTGGTGAGGAGCTGTCCTGTGCCTTGTAAAATGTTTAGCAGCATCCCAGGCCTCTAACCCCCCACATGCCAATAGAATCCTCCTCCCCAATTTTGATACCCGAAAACATTTTCTTTTCTTTTTTTTTTAAGATTTTATTCATTTATTTTTAGAGAGGGGACAGGGAGGAGAAAGAGAGGGACAGAAACATTAACATGTGGTTTCCTCTCATGTGCTCCCTCCTGGGAACCTGGCTCGAAACCCAGAAATGGGCCCTGACCGGGAATCAAACTGGCAACCCTTTGGTCCACAGGCCCGTGCCCAATCCACAGAGCTATACCAGCCCAGGTCCCCAAAACATTTTCATGTTGTCATATGTCCCTAGGAGACAGAAAGCACTGGGGCGAGAACCACTGATCTGTAGAAAGAGCTGATGGCTCTGTTCTTTCCTCATGACCATACCTCTCAGCCTTTGGAAGTATTGTGCACGCTGTGGTCAAGCTTGGCAACCATATGGAAAGTCAGGCTTTTAGGTATTTACAACTAGGGTTTTGGAGGGAAGCTCTGTGACCCCTTCTAAGTTACTAATTTTTCCTCTCTGGGCATCAGTTTTCTCATCTGTAAAAAGGAACCTGAAGGAGGAGGGGTGACTGACTTATTAAGTTCTTTTTTCAAATCTAAAGTGCAAGGACTTGATCTTGATGTAGACCAGTTGATAATCTGAACCAAGGAATGGGGGCAGCGCCTTTCCTGTTACATTGTGGGTACACCCACTGTCTGTCCCCCATCACAGCACTAAAACTTGAACTGACTGCTGAACACTGCCTGTCTTCTTGTCTTCACTGCCATCTGGCCTCTTTTCCTCCTCCACTATCCCCATCCACACAGCTACCCCCTCCCCCTCCGCTGCCCCACCTATTTTAAAGCCTCTGTCCTGGCTGGATGCACTCTCTGATAGACGCGTTCGAACTCTTTAAATCAGCACTGTCCAACCGAAGTCTGAGCCACAAATGTGAGCCATACCTGTAATTTTCAATTTCTAGTAGTCATATTCTTAAAAAAGTAAAAAATAGCAAGTGAAATGAATTTATTGATTTTATTGGGGTGACAGTGGTTAATAAAATTATGTATGTAGGTTTCAGGTGTACAGCTCTGTAATCTGTTATCCGTATGTTGTGTTTGTTGTGTGTTCTCCACCCCAGGGCAAGTCTCCTTCCATCACCATTTATCCTCCTCTGTACCCTCTTCTACGTCCTCCATGCCCAAAATGAATTCTAATCATATTTTATTTAACCCAGTGTTCCCAGTGTAGTATCATTCCAGTATATAATAATTAATAAAAAATTATTAATGACATCGTGCACTTTTTTTTCCCCTATACTAAATCTGAAATCTGGTCTGGGTTTCACACTGACAGCACAACGCAATTCAGGTTAGCCGCATGTGGCTAATGACTGCTGTGTTGGACAGTGCACGTAAATGTCCTTCCTTCTTCTTCCTTCCCCCACTGTCCTCTTTCTTTCCTCTTGGGGGATTGTGCACAGCCATGTACCTCCTCCTTGTCTCCCACTGCCAAGTCAGTTCTGCTGTCGGCTGCCCTGTATGTGAAGAATCTTGTTAGGATCTGGGCTTGCCTCCTCAGGAAGGTGCTTTATGCTCTCTCCCTCCTTCCCCATTCTTCCCCTTTCCTTCTGCTCCTCTGTTCATGCTTATTAGGAGCCAAGAATTGCCTCTGACTGAGGCCAGGAGGCTGACAGGGCAAGTGAGGGGTTTGCTCCGTGGAGGAGAGGGCTGCACTGCTCGTAAGAGGGAAGCAAGAGGCCTGAGGGCTGTGTCTTCAGATGCTTTTCCAGGACAGTAAGCTTTTTCAGTTCCCCAAGGAACAGACTATAAATTTATTAAGAGCTGAGCCACATTTCTCTACTGAATTTTCCATGTGTTCTTCTAGGTATTAAATATATATTTATTTTGTGCCTTGAAGTTTTATGTAGCAGAAACATTTTACTTTGGTTGAAATTAAAGTAAGTATTCCACTTATTAAATTCTGAACCCTAGTTCTTACTTAAGCTTTTAACTTACCTTATAGAGCTTATTCCATTATAAGTCTAATATTTAACCACCCTTTTTGAAGGCTTTTGAATAATACTTAATGCCATTTTGGTAATGAAATACTTCATATGTTTTAAACTGCAGTTACACATTTATTTTTTAGGCACTGTAGTTGTCTGACCTAAATCTTTTCAGAGTACTTAAATAATTTTTTATAAATCTAATAAATTAAATATATACTTATACAAACCTTAAATGCTCTTACATGTTTTAAATCCTTTTATAAATATAGTGAGATTTGAATTTATAATCACAAGTCTAGATCACTTAGTTTCACATTTTATTTTTATCTTTTTAAATTTTTTCAATTTCACATTTTTAAAAAAAGATTTTATTTTATTTATTTTTAAAGAGAAGGGAAGGGAGGGAAAAAGGGAGAGAAACATCGATGTGAGAGACATCGATCATCTGCCTCTTGCGTACGCTCTGACCAGTGACCAAACCCACAACCCGAGCATGTGCCCGCCTGGGAATCCAGCCTGTGACCTTCCACTTTGCAGGATGATGCCCAACCAACTGAGCCACACTGGCCAGGCTCAATTTCACATTCTAAATTGGAGTTACAAAGGTAGTCTATGCCAAATTCTCTTAAACATACATTTACTTAAAATACCAACTACTCAAAAGATTTTTTAAGCACAAATACAGGGGTGGGCAAAAGTAGGTTTTTGGTTGTTCATATGAAAAACAATACAATAGTTAATAAATAATAATATAAGAATAAACTTTCATATGCAACTGTAAACCTACATTTGCCCACAGCCTGTATTAACACATAAGTATGATTTTTAAAAAATATTTATATCATTATTTTTTATATAACTTAAAAAAAAGATCTTATTCAGTTTTAGAAAGAGGGGAAGGGAGGGAGAATGAGGAGAGCCTCTTGCTCAACCCCAGCTGGGGACCTGGCCCGTGACCCAGGCACGTGCCCTGACTAGAAACCGAGCCAGCAGCCTTTTGGTTCGCAGGTCGGTACTCAGTCCACCGAGTCACACCAGCCAGGGCAAAATATTTATGTTTTTATTTCTTGATCTTTCCACTTTGAAATTTACTTATTTACCACGAAAACAATGATGCCCCTTGGGCTGCTTTCCCAAGTGCATATTTTGTGGCAGCTTCCTTAGCTTATTGAGACTTTACTGATCAGGGCATCTATTGAGATGGGATCAGA